TACTGACCTTTTACACAAGAAGCTTGTCTTGCTTGATATTCTAGTCGTATGACTGATGAAACCAAACGTAAGAAACTGAAATAACAGTTTCTCTGCAAAACAAAGATAAATGCAAATAGCTATTGTAAGAAAGACGTAAACACTTCTGTAAAATAGAAGTAAAATAAATGAAAAAAAAATCGATGAACCGAAGAGGGAAAAAACAGTAGCCAAGTGTAAAGATTGAGTTTGATCAGTATAGAACCCAAAAAAAGCCGTTTCGGAACCTGAAAATCAATCGCTCATCATCTTTTCCATAAATTAAGCGCACAAGGTTAAATCATCAAACAGACTAGATTTCCTCGGCTTGAATTAATTTGAAGTTTAGCAATGCTGTGCGATTTGTATATACTCTGCGTTACAACTGACACTGAAAAACCTTAAGCTTCATAAGAAGGCCGAGGAAACAACATTAGACGAGCCGGGCGAAACGGAGATTTTATGACTAGAAGATTCTCTGCTCATGCAATGAACATTTTCATGAAAAAAAAAATTCAATTTCGAATGGCCTTATTTTACCCATTTTTTACATTGGGAACACTAGCAACGGTTACCATCTTTCTAAATCTGAAAACTTGTTTTGCCGAAGAAAACTGACCGGCGCGTAAAACGCAGTGTCTACATCGTGTTAACATTTGTAAACTCCTCATGACGCTTTTGGGTGCACAGCGTGTTGATGCATCTCATGACGTTTTTGGGCACAGATTGGGCATGTCTATTCGATGAAATTCACACAAGCGTTTTGATTGTTATCCAACTTCTGGATAGGTATGAATGAAACGAATTAGATCCAACACGGCAGAAGTACTGATGTTAATACGTCAGATATTTTTTATTCAGGGAATCCGAAAAAAATTTTGAAAAAAAAAAAAGGGAATTTATTGACGATTTCCCCGCAAAATAGAGATAAATGACAATCTGACACAAGTGAAGAAAAAGTAACAGCTTTATCGCTAAATCAAAAAATTGTTTACTACGTGGCTTTCCAACTTCCCCGTAATTTAAATAAAAAACACGGCATTTTTATGTTATTTTTTTAAAAGATTTCAGATTAGACAATCTGATTTTTTCCGTTCATACATCGTGTATCTGTTTTTATTCTTTCACTCAACACCTAAGAATTGTTTAACCTGCAATTTCTTCCTACAGTATCAATATATTCTTCAGCCAACAGTTTTGGAGAATTAAGAAACTTATCAGCTGAACAGTCTCAAATTGACGCAAGACTTCATTCTCTAAAAATATTTACTGTGATATTTGTAACATTTGCAAAGCAGACTTAGTAAGGTGATAGAAGTTAAAGGCCTAAAGTTGAGTTCATCATTTTATTTTGCAGACTATGAAAAGTTTAAGTCAAGTTTTTAGAAAAAACAAATCTTTGCCAAAATTAAAGATTATTTCGAGGTTTAAGTCCTCTGGCTTCGAAAATCCACCGCAAAACATTTCAGTTTTGTAAAGCGGGAAAGATTGTTTCTAAATTTATTATTTTACTACTAACCTTTTACACAAGAAGCTTGTCTTGTTTGATATTCTAGTCGTATGACCGATGAAACCAAAAGTAAGAAACTGAAATAAGAGTTTATCTGCAAAACAAAGATGAATGCAAATAGTTATTACAAGAGAGACGTAAACACTTCTGTACAATAGAAGTAAAATAGGTACAAAATATTGATGAACAGAAGAGGGAAAAACGGTTACCAATTGTAAAAACTGTACTCGACTTGTAAAGAACAAAAAAAAAGGCGGTGGGAACCTGAAAATCAATCGTTCATCATCTTCTCCATAAATTAAGTGCACAAGGTTAAATTATCAAACAGACTAGATTTCCCCACCTTCAATTAATTTGAAATTTAGCAATACTGTGCAATTTTGTATCATACTCTGCGTTATAACTGACATTGAAAGACGTCAAGCTACTTAGGAAGACCAAGGAAACAACATTAGACATGCTGTTACATTGGGAACACTAACAACGGTTATCATCTTTCTGAATCTTCGTGAAACGCAATGTGTACATCGTGTTAACATTTGTAAACTTCTCACTACGTTTTAGGGCACAGATTGGGTATGTCTATTTGATTAAATTCACACAGACGCAGTTTGATTGTTATCCAGCTTCTGGATAGGTATGAACGAAACGAATTTGACTCAGCACGGCGGAAGTACCGATGTTAATACGTCAGAGATTTTTCATCCAAGGGATACGATGAAAATTTTGAAAAATGAGGGAATTTATTAACGTTTTCCTTGCAAAACTGAGATGAATGACAATCTGACAGGAGTGAAAAAAAGTAACAGCTTTATCGCTCGAACAAAAAAATTGTTTAGAAAACATTAAACAAAAGTACGTGGCTTTCCAACCTCCCCGAAATTTAAATAAAAAATCTGGCATCTTCATGTTATTTTTTTAAAAGATTTCAGATCTAAAATTCTGAATTTCCCGTTGATACTTCGCGTATCTGTTTTTACTCATTCGCTCCCAGACTCTGACACTTAAGAATTGTTTAACCTGCAATTTCTGCCTACAGTATCAATATATTTTTCAGCAAACAGTTTTGGAGAATTAAGAAACTTATCAGCTCGATGGTGTCAAGTTGGCGCAACACTTCACTCTCTAAAAATATTTATTGTGATATTTGTAACATTTGCAAAGGAGACTCAGTAAGATAATGGAAGTTAAAGGCCTGAAGTTGAGTTCATCATTTTATTTTGCAGACTATGATAAGTTTAAGTCAGGTTTTTAGAAAAAAATCTTTGCCAAAATTTAGGAATATTTCGAGGTTTAAGTCCTCTGCCTTTGAATGTCCAGTGCAAAACATTTCAATTTTGTAAAGCGGGAAAGATTGTTCCTAAATTTATTATTTTACTACTAACCTTTTACATAAGAAGCTTGTCTCGTTTGATATTCTAGTCGTTGACTGATGAAACCAAAAGTAAGAAACTGAAATAACAGTTACTCTGCAAGACAAAGATAAATGCAAATAGTTATTGTAAGAAAGGCGTGAAAACTTCTGTAAAATAGAAGTAAAATAGGCACAAAAAAATTGATGAACCGAAGAGGGAAAAACGGTTACCAACATTAAAGATTGAATTCGATTTGTAGATAAAAAAAAGGCCGCTTAGGAACCTGAAATCAATCGCTCATCATCTTCGCCATAAATTAAGCGCGCAAGGTTAAATTATCACACAAACTAGATTTCTCCGCCTTGAATTTATTTGAAATTCAGCAATACTGTGCGATTTTTATATACTCTGCGTCACAACCGACGCTCAGAAATGTTGAGCTACATTAGACGAGCCGGGCCAAACGGAGATTTCATCTCGAGAGAAATTTCTGCTCATGCGATGAACATTTTCATGATAAAAAACTTCGAATGGCCTTATTTTACTCAATATTTTACATTGGGAACAATAACAACGGTTACCATCTTTCTGAATCTGAAAACTTGTTTTGCCGAAGATAACTGACCCCGCGCATAAAACGCAATGTGTACATCGTGTTAACATTTGTAAACTTCTCATGACGTTTTCGGGCACAGATTAGGCATGTCTATTTGATTAAATTCACGCAAACGGATTGATTGTTATCCAACTTCTGGATCGGTATGAATGAAAAGAATTTGACTCAACATGCCAGAAGTACCGATGTTAATGCATTCGAGATTTTTTAGCCAAGGGATGCGACGAAAATTTTGAAAAAAGAGGGAATTTATTAAGAACGACATCCTTCTACAGCAGTTCATGTTGTGTAAAAATATTGTTCAATATAATAATGGTCTATGTAATAGCAGCTCTGATTACAGAGGCGTTGAAATATGAATTGGAAAATTGATAAGGAGTCGCATTAACATTTCAGTACATTAACAATTAAATATCGTACTTACCTCGACTCTAACACTGAACGCTTTACTGCTTTGTGTAGTGAAACGGCCAAATTTAGAATTAGAATCAGCAGCATGTGTCTATTTCAAGGTTATAGGCGCGTGGTGAATCTCAGCCCACCCCTGAGAGGTCTGAGATTGAGTATGCATGTACCGTTGCACTTATGTCCTCTCATTGTAGATATGTCCTCTGACGTAATGTGATACAATGGCCAATCATATCCTGTGATCTATTGAGCGACACGCGGTTTGGAAAAGGTTAAGAGAGTCCGTTGTAGTTATGTCTTCAAGCAAAAGTATTCTTTCAAGGGGGTCGGGATAAGTGGAAAATTTGATCAGTATTTTCCGGTAACTGATCTCAGGAAAACATGTTGTTGGCATAATCATTGCGAACCGGGCCATTGACCTCTCACATTATTTTCTTTGAAGAAAGAAATGGGTGTGATCGCATCGTTGTTAGAGCCTAATCGTGGAAGAACAACTTGCTACGTAAATAAAAAAGCGACTTTCGACCAAAGGATGCGTTATTGTTCACGCTTTATTGGCAGTCTTGCTTTATTTAATGTCTTCATTGTTCGACTTGTGACTCCATTGCCAACATTTTACACACAAGCTAAGACAAAAGCACATTGTGGCGTCATATCACAATTGTTTTATTTTCTTTAATGGTTGAAGATCGTAGATTATTGTTCGTCGGCATGAAATAATATATTTTTGACGCTTCGCTGATCTGCCGGAGGTGAGATCGACTGAGAGGTCAAAGTTGTGATAATTTGTCTGCATCACGAACTCTTCCTTCAGTCACAGAAGTTTGGCCTTCGGTTGTTTATTTTGAATATTATAGATTTTTGCTGTATCGCCTGAGCCATCAAGTAGTTGATTGTGATGTGATTTTATTGCGGTTCCGCTGATTTTAGTTGTTCTTTTTACTCGGACTTTCCGAAGGTAACGCCCGAGGTTCAAATTCGGCTTCGTTTTTTTTTTTTTTTCGTTCAGTCACAAAACGCGGTTCCTCTACAGCGCATGCGTGAAGTGTAAGCGCATGCGTAAAATGAAACTTAGAGAGCATGGTTTAAAGCAATGGCTGCCCTCGTGGACAATTCTTTGCTTGATGTACGTGAAAGAAATTCGATGGCTATTACGCCCAATACACAAACAAAGTCACACACCGTTCGCGGTAGACCCACACTAAAACTTGTGGAGCGTTTTGGGAACGGGTCGGTCCGCAAAATTTACGAGAGATCAATTTTACGATCGATCCTTTACGAGTGAACCTTTCATTGAGAAATATCAAGCGAAACCTGCTATATCAAACGAGTTATCTCATATTATGTTTACATGTAGCAACCGTGTATTTAGACGTGATCGAGAACCCAGTAGAATACCAGAAGCTACTCTGAAACGTCTCAGAAGAAAGGGCAGAAAACTGAAGGAATTTGTTTATGAGCGTATTCGTCCAAGCATACCGAAGTCCTCTTGGCTACGTCGTTATGTGAAGGTTAGAAGAGTTAAAAAGAATGATTGTAAGCTTAATACAAAGAGGGTAAGATTAAATAAAGTTTCAAAAAATGATAAGAAGTATTTTTGGAATTGTTCTGTAAGGGTATATCAAAGGATAATTAAATTAAGTATAAAGCAAGTAGGTACTTATCAATGTTTTCTTGTAATAGACCCATGTGTCTTTATAAGAGTCAGACACACGCATCAAACTATTGTTAATTTCAACTGAGTTCAGATATAGAGAAAAACCTTGGTCCTACTCCAATGTACATTGACCCCAGCAAAACAATAATGGCACCATATAGCCAAGCTAATGAATTGATATTTGGACAGAATTCAGGACAACAATGTGTTACAATAAGTTTGTGCTCTTTGATTTACAATAACAAACAAGGAATCAATTCTGCTAATGATCTCTTGTCAATAATGAATATCGGAAATCAGTTATATTCAAGTTTGTCTCAGTTAACCAGACAATCATTTTTAATGCAGACAGAATTACCCACACTTTTAAAAGTGTTCAAGACTGACTATGAACTTCAATACAGTGAGAGCTACACTGATACTATTCATCAAGAAGCTACAGTAGAAGGATGTCAGTTCGGTACCTCCTTAAATAGAGTCTTTCAATCACTTATATCCAAAAATTTCAACAATTTTGTCTTGACAATAGGATGTACTGCAGCTGCTATCTATTGTAAAGGTAATGTGGGCTTGAATATATTCGATTCTCATGCAAGGGAGAGAAGCCATCCTCAAGGTACATATGTGCTGCTTGACATATCATCCCTGAATAGCTTAGTACATTATTTTCAGAGTATACATAATGATGATATATTTGAATTGAAAGGGGTTAACATTAATAAAGTTCAAAATAGTACCCTTTTTCAGAGTCATGCTTGTGAAACCAGACAGTTCAATGTGAGTTGTGCTGTGGCTGTTTATTCACTCTGCTACTCTGTAATAAAATCATGTAGTTATTGGAATTCAAACGCCTTATCTGATGTTTATTCAGTATGGCAAAAGATTATACGAAAATTCATCTTTGAACAAGTATTTACCATTAGATGATTTGCCAAAAACTGTTGATGTTTGTAGAACTGAAGTAAGTTTAGATCTTAAAAGTGATTACAGTGATGGAATATTGTCTGATTCAGTTGACAGCAAATCACTTCTCAAAAATCTTGTAAGAAATAATAGTGAATGCACAGGGTTTTTGATGTGGTTTTCGACAAGCTCAAGGTTACTTCCCTTCATGGGTGTCCTTCGGGAAAAAATTCGTTTGCACGCTAGTTTCACTAAAATCTTAGCAAACTATATATCAGAAGAAGCTTCATGAATGCAGTTTACGATAAAAATAGACTTAAAGCAACCTTTCTTTGAAGGAAGTGTCAGGATCTCGTAAGGCATGAAACGACCGAAGGGTCTTCTATTGAATTTATCGGGTATGGGATGCTGCAGCACGAGCCAATTGGCTGCACAGTCTTATTTATAAGGTGTCAGTCAACAAAAGTGTAGTGATATTCTGATTGGTTGTATAGAGCAGGAGTTAACTGTTGTATTCCAGCACTGTTAATTTCCAGCCCCACACCACTGTTCTCAGTTTCTCAGCAGGGTTTACTGTTGTATTCCAGCACTGTTAATTTCCAGCCCCACACAACTGTTCTGAGATTACTAGCAAGGAATAAATATTATTTTCCAGTACTTACTTGTATTTTCAGTTGCATACTGTTTTTCCACATTTCCTAATAAATTAACCTATATTTAGTGGACACTTCTATATCACAGACACTGGGGGAGGTTCTCAGAGGGGTTACCTTTGATATTTTTATAATTATAGAAGTAATAGCTTTCACTGCAATTTAAAGTGATTTAATTTTTGAAATACAGTTAACTTCTCCACTAATCACACAACACCTGTGCAAAGCATGTCAATTATAAATAACAAATATGGAGAGTTGCAAATTACTTTCAGTACTTTATAGTGCAAGCAATGTGTTCCTTATTATCAATTTTCCAGTGTTTTCTTTCCATTTACAGACTCAAGAGGCTGCAATAAAACAACAAATTCAAACAATTTTACCTTAATACTTAAAGCAAGAAACCACAAGACTAAACAACAAGTGTAGAAACTTAGACCTACTTAGGCTAAAACTCTGATTCAAAAATAAAAAATTACCCCTCCGCAAAAAAAAATTGTATCACTGTCTTTGATACCATCCTGTTACTCTACTATTTTTTTTTTACTTTTCTTTGCTTTTAATTTGTAAACACATATCGTGCTTCTCCTCAGTGGGAAGAGTTTTCAAGAAAACCCAAATAACAAAAGAGTATTGGCAAGAAAGATAACCAAATGAGCAGTGGTATCGAATTAGAGCTTGGAGCAATTAACTGACCTGAATGACTGCTACACACCATTCTTTTTTCCCAGGTCTATGTGAAACAGATTTTGAGCACATAATGCAATACCTCACCAAACATCTGCCAGGATGACTCACTTAAAAGTGTGCATGAGTATCATCTCTTGCTTAGATAGGACACGTCACTTCAATGTTTTTATTACTACACATATGGGGGCTTTGGTAAGATTGTGGAAAGGAGGGACAATGTTTGAGCAGCTGGGAGGGACCAAAATGACAGTGTGGCAGCCATTTATTCCCACTTGGATGGCAAAGTCTGGGGAACCTTTCCCTGGAAAATTAAAAGTTTGGATGTCCAAAAGGGTCCATTTTAGGTCACTATTTCCCAAGTTGGCTAAAAATTATAGCTGCTACGAGGGAGAGTATTGACACTGAATTAATGAATAGAGTAACTTTTATGTAACTAACTATATAAGCATTATACACAGCAATGTTGTCTCTGTGATGATGTCTGTGTCATCTTGTTTGATTTTTACTTTTGCCTTGCTCAACAAATGAAATTGTGCTGAGGACAACATTAGATTTTGGGGTACGGTGCTGTGATTTCTAACACAGTATCTTTAATGCAATTACTGATGGCAAAGGAGTTAATTAGTACTTCAATGATAAATGTAGAGCACGGCAATCAATGAGACGATCAATTTCTAACCATGAACTAGCTCTTTTTCAGTGACAAGTTCACAAAATTAATATTGGTGAAGATTACTATATACAATAATTACTGTAAACCACCATATGAAAAAACATGGCAACTAGTACATTCAACCAGAACTCTTTGCACAAGAAAATCCTGGAACCACTCATAAAAACAAGCAGTAAAGGTCTGAAAAATTTAAACCTTGCATACATAATGTTGTTGTTTTGTGAAATGTTGCTTTCTACAAGTGCCTTAGCCTAAGAGTAATGGTAAAATGTACAGGTGCCATCTTTGTCTGTAAGTGGATTGAATCTATTGGGTGATCACCAGAAAAAATAGTAATATTGATGAAAATAAAATGAGGGTTTAGTATAGGTATGCTATGGTTTAGTACAGGTATGCTGTGGTTTAGTATAGGTATGCTGTGGTTTAGTATAGGTATGCTGTGGTTTAGTTTTATCCTCAATTTAATTCTTTAAATCTGGCACTAATTATCAGTACCAGACATTGGACAGACCTCTCGCTGGCTCAATCAAACCTCATACGTTTGCGCGGGCAAAGAAGGATTCGTGACCAAATGCCAATGATGAGGTCTCGACCAAACAACGGCTGCGAAGGTGACTACAATGAGTGTTGCATCAGTGCAGCCTATTATTATAGACCGAAAAAACCTGTGCCTGAGTTTACTTCGGATAAATTGAAAATTTTTTTAATTTGCTCTCTATTGAAGGATATTTTTGTTAGAATCTTTTGAATAGTAATCATTTTTTTCTTGTACAAAAATGTGAACGTCAGTTACTTAGTGGCTTATGTCAATTAACCAACCATCAAAACAAAATGCTTGCATGTATTGCATGCCTATGTTTACACACTTCGTGGTCAAGAACAGAAGAATCTCGTTTTACTGCGTCGTCTGACGAAACGCTTGATGCGATAAACGATCTGTTAGTCTGCAGGCTTGCTTTCATAAGTGCTATAGCGGACGTGAATAAGACGTATATTGATCCAATATATTTGCTTCAACTCTTGAAAATTAACTTGTAATTTCCTATGCATTATAATATCAATGCATTTATAATGTCCAACAAACAGATACAGAAAAAGACCAAGCTTTTTAGACATAGTGTTCTATTGATAAACGCCAAGTTCTCTCAACTGAATTAAGTGGCTATAAGGGAGAATTTCTCATTTGATCTTGAGAGTTTAAGAGTTAAGTTTGGCTCTCGATGAATTTTACGACTAACTTTGGCCTTACGAACAACAAAAAAAGTTATGCTATTTTTAATTCGGAATTTATGCTTGTGTTTGCTGCTTGTTCCCTCCTTTTCAGAGAAAATCAAGTCAGAAACCTTATTCATTGATGTCTACTATAAGCTGCCACGAATCTCCCATAGCTCATTAGTAGAGCGTCCGAACACAGGCAGACCACACTATGTGTTCGTGGTTAATAATTGTCGACATGAGACAAACAAAATCTATGAGGGTAATGAATAAAGCTCTCAAAATTACCTATCTAAATTACATCTCGGTTTGAAGATCTCAGTTAAGTTAATGGAATGTTAATCGACGTATTTGTGATATATCTTAGCCCTCATGGGCTGTTTGAAGCGTCTTTTTACGAAATTACTTCTGGCCGGAGGCTGTTAATGGAAAAAGTGCCGATGTGGGGGTGTGGTGGGTCCATAAGAATATTATAGAACCTAAGGGGTGGCTCAGGCATGTTTTATCCCCACACAACCAAAATCCTCCGTACCCCTCCTCCCTCCCAGGCGATGACGACCGTCCCTGAAGATTTCCCTTTTTACCGGCATGCGCAGTCTTGTTCAATGTCACCGGTGGACTTTGAGCTTCTGGAGTCATTGAATGCTCTATCAACGTTAACACCCTCGCACGGCCAATGTGACAGGGCAAAGAATTTATTTGAAATAAAGGACGGTGCGAATGTTTTTTGAAAGCTTTGTCCAGAAAATTATCTGGGTTCCATGTGAGATATCGCTTTAAAAGAAAACCTTACGAGCCACGGGCGGATCACCCTTCGAGTGTGTTGACATACATAAAACACCAAGGGAAATCGGAGAAATCTATGGAAATTATGGATGGAACGCTGACTGAATTATAAAGTTTAAACGCATCTTGGTCTGAAATTCTCGTCAAAGGAAATATCCCCTGCAACCGTCGACAAACGAAGTCTGAGGACAAAATACGTTCACAAGCAAGGTATGAACAAAAGTAAAAAAAAAGCTTGATTTTAGGGGGGGTGGGGGGGCCACTGGGGGGTGGGGGGGGCCACTGCTGTTTATCTGTTTCGGCACGTTTTCGTTGCATTCCCTATTCAAATAAGTTTTTTTTCTTTTGCTTTGATATGGAGCGAGAATGTTAGGATAAAAGAACTTGGACCGAAAGCAGATTGAGGCCAGAATGGCTGAAACTTCCTCGACCCAGTCCCCATTTGTGATGGCATCCTTTACTTCCGAGCTCGTGCGGCCGCTAGAGCTGGGAAAGCAGACTGAGGTGATTCCCTACTTGCGCACGTAATCTGGCGAATAAGCGCGTGCATTCCGAAAACAGGTTTTTTTTTCAATTGATGGACGAGGTTAAGATGTACTTTGGTCTTTGGCTCTTGGACGATCACGGTAACCTACAGTTTTTATTGTATAATTTTGGTGTACAAATTATCCCCTTAAATTGGAGAAATTGAAAAAAAAAATCGAAGGAAAAAAAAAGAGAACAAATAGTGTTCACGAAGCCCGTTACTCGATGATGCAAATAATAACCTTGACAGTAACGACTCGAGGAACGTTTTGAGTCGATGCCGTTTAAAATTCCGTGATTTCTAGTCAAAATACATATCAAATTGTTTCATACGCTCGAGACTTTCTACCTATTAAGATATTTTTATTGCTACTTTGAAAACCTTTGCTTCCAGCAACAGCAAAATTTGCCGTTAACGGATGAAATAACGCGCGTGATCAGTGCCAGTTCAGGCATAACCTGGGTAAAGTTGGCCCTTTATATATCTTAAGCAAGCACTGTGACCTATCTTTTTTATTGCATTTTTCGAAACAGATATGGTAGGGAACCTTTAAGGAAAGTCTAAAAGTAATTGTTCGATAACTTTTTTTTTTTTTTTCCTGATTAATCACCTTAAAGAGAAAATAAACTCTACGTGGTTTAGTTCCCATAGGGATTATGCGAGTTTTTTGGACACACTAAAGTCAATCTTTGACTGAGATTAAGTTTCATAATTTATGCCACGAGTCGAAAACACCTGCTTGCAAACACTGCAAATAACATGTCACTCGCATCAAACCCCACGCATTAAATTTTGACGGCTCGTTTACAAACACTTTGCAAAGTTCATCACATCAGTTGCGATGAACATCAATCCCTGCATCACACAAATATTTCAGAATTAATTTAGATCCGTGTTGTTATAAAATCAATTTACTTCACTAAAATCGAAGCAGCCGCAAGTGGCTCGATTTTTTTTTTCATGCACTCCATGTATGCCAGGTTGCAGTGTTCTGAACATTCGGTGAAAAACGTGACCAAGTCTCGTTTCCACCAAAAGAACACGTGTTCATAGCGTTGCGTGGCTTCTCTCTGAAGGAAGTATTGTTCGCTGTACAAACAGCGGTGACACTTGTCTAGGAAATCTCGTTGACATAGAATTTATTTCCTCTTGAGTCACTCTCGCTGTCCATTAAAAAGGTGTCCTTACTAAATTATGTACACATCCTGTTCTTCAATGTTCGTATAATGAAATATTTTTCAAGGAAAAATGTGCTATTTCTGTCCACCTGAGTCTGTCCAAAGACTTTTTTTCTCTTTTATTTACTAAATGCTCTTGCAATATGAATAAAAAAATTAAAAAAAAAAAAAAATATATATATATATATATACCGGACGAAAGAAAGCTATGGAAAAAACCATTCTTTTGCTCACTACATGCTCTTGCAATATTAATAAAAATGTATATACAATTCCAATGAAGTGAAAATACAGCCTCTATCGTCATTTATATGATAGGTTGAACTATACACGCAATTTGATTGGTTCTTACCAGTGATCTATCGGAGAGCAGACGTATAAATGACCTTTTCATAACAACATGTCTTTTTATCGTGTAAATCGAATAGACTCAAAGGCAGATGGCCTCGATTTTTCTCGTTCTTGCGAGTCCAATCCGCTTTGTTCCTGCCTAAGAAACTCTGTGGGATAGTAGTGCGGGCTCATTTCCGAACATCAATCTATTAACCTGAAAAGCTCCATCGTGTTTCTACGGGTTTCTTGCAGCTTGAGATGAAACTAACGAAAGCAGAGCGGGAAAGCCAGCGTGAAAGCTCTCATTGAACTTGCTAGGCCGAAGCTAGGCCGCGAGAGACTAAGGAGAGGTGGTCGGACGATACATCAAATAGTAAACTGGTACCGAGATCCTTCGGAACGCACCTTAACATTCTGCTACCAATACTTCATCGGATCAGGAAAAAGTTTTACTCACAATATATGACTAATTATCCAAGGTAACAAAAGTTACGAAGACGCGAAAACTAAGCTTAGCAAAAAATGAAAGCCACGAACAAAAAACAACTACGTAGTAACTTGTTCGCAATTTGTAATCATTGTGTTCGTTTTTCTAAGGCGCTACACTCAGTCTCTTTGACAAGAGGAGTTGAACGAGGTGGGTTTATTCAACAATGTTTTCTACCAGCAGGTTTTGCTTCGAATTACAAACCTTTACCCTTACATATACCGCTTTGTGCGCCGGCTAAGCCAACTGCGGTTGATACACCAGAGAAAATTTTAGGCAGAAAGGAAACTCCTTTTTCAAACCTGCCATATGAAAATAATTTTTTTTTGCACAAAAATAATCGAAAACGCTTTCTTTAAACTCTTGAAATAATGAGCGATTTCACCGCAGAACATACAAGGCGGTACCGGAAGTGATATTAATCCAAAAAATATGTTGGTTATTCAGTTCAGTTAAAAAATCTTAATGAACCAAGGCCCTTAATAACGAAGTGTCAGGTTCCCGTGCCTGGTCAAAGTTTGATAAACAAGAACTCGTGGTTTCACGTGACATCGTAAAGATTAAACAGAAGGACAACAGAGGAAAAAAACAAACAGCATTATACATTCTTTGGATTAACAGTAATAATTATATTTCTTTTTGTAATTCTTGATGATAAGACTGAGGTACATCTTGTAAAGCATAGGTATCTAAGCTTGAAGGGGGTGAAATAAGGAGTCAAACGGCAAATGATAAGTTTATTTGATTTCTCTTATTGACTTTTTAAGTTGAATACCTTTAGCGTGATGCAGTTACGATCAAGCCTTCTAGAAGACCACAAGGGCATACCGGAAATAGAATAAAAGACGACAAATTTTGCTAATCGAGGCGGTGGAAACTTTGTGTATTCCTTTAAAAATCAACAATTATTATTTCTCTCGTAATTTTTTAGGAAACGGAACAGTGAAGGACTTTGAACGCCAGAATATGATTTTTTTTAGAAGCAATTGATTGTTGAGGAGTTGTTGCCGTAGCAATAGAGGTATGAAAAATATTGCGTGTGTTGTATCAAGTTTCCTATAATAACAGGATTCATTAAAATCCAGTCGTGAAATAATTCCTTCACATTGTCTATATTACTTAAGATATGAGCAAAGGTCGAAGATTGGCAGATTGATTACTTGTAAGTGTTGAGCACATCACGCACTTTTTTATTGAAGCGCGATTAATGGAAAGGAGGGAGTACCCGTAAGTAACTGGAAGGAATAAGTGGGGGGGGGGGGGAGGGGAGGGACTGGTCATTTATTGGGCGAGGGGAGATCTGGCTTAGATCGATTTGAAGGGAGGAGGCGCTAATGACAAGGGGTAACAGGATTTCCGTGTACTAGGTGGAGCCAGAGGCGATCTGCGCATTTCCTTCTGCCATTTGGAGGCATGCCAAGATGTTACATCGAAGATCCATTTTTTTTTATCACTTTTGCGTAACGAAGCAGAAGGTCGAACACAAACGTAAAAACCAGGACTTCTCTCCCCCGCCCGCCCCCCCCCCGCCCTTCCCCGCCCCCAAAGCTTATACCCTGGGGCCTAACGGCAGAGCGCTGCTTTTTCATCATGCCGTCTGACTCATTTTGTTCTGAGAAAAAAAATTAATTATAAAAGGTTATCCCTTGCTGATTTAAATTACATGTAATCATTTAAATGTATTTTCGATTAGCTAGCCTGATGTCTCAGCAAAATATCCAATTGTCCTTCGAATTCTTAGTATTATAAGGAATCAATATCAGTATCTGGCCAACTGCCCACTTACCCCTCCCCTAACTCAACAACAGTCAATTGACAACAACTTAAGGTTAATGTTAGGTTAGGGGAGGGGTCGGTGGGCAGTTGCCCAGACACTGATATTGATTCATTTTAAGTAAGTAATTGTAATTTTTCTCAAATTGGTTCAAGTATGATACCATTGTTCTTAGACAGGTCTTGTTAAACAAATGAAAGAACTGTAACGGCCATAATTTTGTTATAAAACTCTTTACTTTTGTAACGACTTTAAATAGTATTAGGCCAGTCGAAAATTCGAAGCGAATTTCTACAGCTGAATAAGAGATGACCTGTTGCCAATCTTTCCGACAGCGACAAAATTGACTGTAAAGAAAGATAATTGAGATTTTTCCACCCATATTCGAAGGCTGCGTTTCACTAAATTTCGAAGCTATCCGGTTTTTATTAAGCTCAGGATATTGGCACGAATTCATGCTTTATTTCTTCTGAGTATCGTGTTTAACATCCAACACCTAAATTTCCGTTCTTGGTCGTCTGGAGCCACAATCTAACACGACCCATCCAGACAAGAATGGCGCGCATCATTTCAACAGACTGCTATCTAAATAGATTCCACATTTGAATAGACCTGCTTTCGGTTTCATATGCTTATTAGTTACTTAGCTACAGGAAATCATTTAATAAAATAGCGGTGCTTTGATTCGACTACTTAATTCCGCGGATCTTTTGCAACGCTTAAAAGTAATCAGTTGGGTTTTAATGAAATTTAAAATTGTTTTTAAGCCAGGGAACGCTAGGTTTCGGCGTTTTTCAAACAATGTTGGGGAGAAATGAAAGTATTTCATTGAGCGTGACTTTGTTTCACCTCGGCCGAGAGAGTTACTTCATACTGGATGTACTTTGAACCTTAGAAGAAAACAAGTGTTTGACATTAGGAGTTTAATGCTAATAATTATGCATAGTAATTACGTTTTTCATGATTATTTTCCCTTGAAATTGCGTGATTTCAACGCTTTCACGACTGTTTTAAAAGAAACCGCGCGCTGCGCAGTTTTCAAGTATCCCTTCAGTTCTCCGCACTAAATTTCTAATTGAGTCTCAATTTTGAAGGATGCTAAAAACACAGTATAACATTTGTGTCACTTTTGTGTCAATAAAGATGGATAACTCTGTTGATTAGCTTGCATGGCTTCCTAGGCAACCTTGATCAAAGCGATCAAACCAATCATTTTCGACATGTAAGGCAATAAAAATCTCCCACCTCCCTCTTCGTCAACCCCACGCCGTTCCTTACCGGAAGCTTTCTGGTTACGTAGTGTTTCAGGAATGGCAGAAACGAGGTCAAGGATCATCATAATCGTAATACGTGGATTTATGTGCACAGGCAGGAAAGCGGAAAATGGCTTTCATCCTTGTTACCAGGAAAAGGAGTTGTCTGTTTTATTTTTCTTTTTCTTTCATTGGTCGCTAGATCGACGCTTGCTTTGAGAGGATTTGGTTGTTTTGGTTTTTTTTTCTCACGCATAAGATTAAGATTACGCAGAGAGGAAGGCGCAGAGACAGGTTACCGGTTATTTTCGTCGATTGAACTAAATAAACATCAGTGCCCTCTGAATTCATATTTTGATACGTGTGTTATATGTATACGTTTGCAATCGCCTCCGACACTACCCTTATTGTGACAGATGTCAATCAATGTACCCCTACTAGAAGTGTAGCTGACCTTCGTACATTACACCATAAACTGTTAGCTCAATACCTGAACGAAAACCGTGGGTATTGTGCATAAATTATGGTGTCATCGTCAGGTCATTTGCTACGAATTACAGAGCGGTTTATCCTACTCAACAAGGTTTAAAGTCGCCGCGCGAAGCCAAGAAAAATTCGGTTCAAATTTCAAGCATGTTACGTCATCTTATTAATCACGTGCTAGGTCACATGCTCAGTGTGGTAAAATAGAAAGTATAATCAGCGATTCATTCTTCTTCAGAAAGGCGTTGGTGCAGGAGACATTTCGCTGAAGCAAATTTATATTACCTTGGGAAAGGCATCATTTTTCGATAAAATCATATCGAGGTGAGCTTAAATTATGTTTAAAAAATCTTCTTATTGCTTTCTGCACATGGTAGAACGGCATGTCGTGACTGGCGAGGCAAATCAACATTGAAAGAAAGCTTTGACCTGATGGAAATATAACCTAAGTGAACTAGCTTGGCACACCTCAGGCATCATTTGCAGTATTTCGTTACGAATCATCCTAGACCGTTGACCGCCAACATGATTTCGACGATGGGGATTTCTGGTGGCGAAAACTTCAATATTGAAAACAATTTAGGGCCAATATGGTGTATTCCGAAAGTTCGAACATTCAAACACGCGATCAGAAATTTACATATGGGTGCGCCATTATTGAGGATACACGATTAATTTTTATACTCACTCGATTGCCGCCAAAGTATTTACGCGGCGATACAAACCTATAAAGACGAGGAACAAAATAAAATTTGTAAGACAAGGGAAAGCGAGTGGATTTATCAATATTTCTGTCATCTTGATGTTGAAATCGGCCCGGTTTCGCAACGTGTTCGTAGTAGTATACAATATTACTGTTTTCAGTGTGTAGTTTTGAAATAATTGCAGCTATTCAGCGGAGAAACCAATACTGTTTCTTTATTTATTACTTCACTGTGTACTGTGTATAGTCCCTTTTGATCGCTTCAGTGAGTAATGTGGTAGAAGAAAAGTCTAACCGCTCGCAAGCTTGCGCCCGGCAAAATTGGCGTGGTCGAAGCAACACCCACACACAAAGATCTTTGTAATTTGTAAAATTTATTAAAGTGGCCTGTGTCTGCTTTAATCGGGCTGGCACTTGTATTTTATCGCTTCGATGTCAGCCCTGCCGTAGAGAAGTTTACCAGTGTTAAATTGAATTTCGTTCAAATCTGTTGGTAGGAAGCCCGCCTAACCTTTGTCGATCACGGTTCGTTAGATTCAAGCCATGTTTACTTAGCTTTGAAATGACGCATTAGAAAAGCGTCTTTGTTGTCGAATATTTTTGGCGCTCTATAAAAGTTATCTTCTTCAACCTACGGTGATGCTTTGTAGGCTTTGTAATGCTTTGTTTCCATCGTATTGTAGAAAGCAAAACAAATCCAGCTTGGGTCAAACCATGTTTCACAATTTCTCAAACACATGCGGTGTGTTTTCGAGGTTATAATTAATCGTTTCTCTTCAAAGTCAAACCTCAACTTCTAGTCAACGTTGGGGCTAGCAGTTCTTTTTATCGCTCTGCTTAGTTTCATTGCCATGTTTTACTTGTGCCCACTATAAAATAAGATTGCTTCATCCTACGGGCTTTTCGGTTACACTTGCACTGAAACTCTCCAAGCGGAAGCAGCATGTCGGCTTTCGCACAATAAATCCTGCTGCGAGGTTGTGTTTCGCCTTTCGTTTTCGATTACCCCGCTGTTTAATATTATTGAATCTAGAACTGGTAGACTGTTAGGAATTTCTGATGAAGATTTGCACAATCTACATACTGAGGCACGTGTTCGTTTTTTCGCCCTGTTTCATAACCTACTTCAGCGAATATTCAAATAACCGAGCTATTTTTCCACGAAAAAAACTTTGAATGCGTGGTTTTTGTTGTGACTAGCATCAGCAAAGGCCTCCAAAGTAACTATTCACAAAGTGGTTTGGAAACCGTACAGTAATAATAATGTAAATTTTTGGCAACTTGAAAAGCGGCCTGAAACGCGGCCAGAAACGAGTGAGTCAGAATTCTTAGTGACAAATAAGTCCTCATGGCAATTTCTTTTAATTTGAAAAGCGAATTTTCCTCAACGGGAAACGAGTTTTTCTTGAATTGAGAGCGCTTTAATGTAGGAGTTAGGGTTGTCTTTCTCGTTTCTAGGAATATTGTACTACCATAATCAAGTAGAGCGTGAAGTATTGAATAAACGAGACATGCTACGCGTGGGTTGAATAAAGAGACAAAACCGCAAGGAAAAAAAAAAGCACGAATAAGAGGAGGTCCTGTAAACTAACATGGTGCTGCAGATGGCTTTCTGAAGGAGACATGTCCATTTCTATTTTGTTTCCCGAGAATAAAACGTATTGAAATTGTAGTTCTTAAATACAATTAAATTATTCAAGTTTGTGTTGTTATTAGTCGATCGACAATTAAAACAGTTGTAATAAATTTGTCACCGATTTGAAATTATACTTCAATGTGTGGACTACTGTGTTCGGAAGTGTTAATGTATCCGAAACAAGGTTCGGTTGGAATGCCCGTTTGGTGAAATATGCGTGATCGCGGCTAAACAGAGCAGAAGACCTAAGTGCATTAAATTTCTTTATGTTTATGATAATCCAGCGTAATTAACCTCGTTACTGTTTTCCATGTATTGGCAAGTTTTCTATCTGATGAGATTTTTTAGATAGAATATTAAAAGATGAGTTTTATAAAAACATGCGGAACTGTTATGTTACATGTTAAACTGGATTTCTACAGTAATCACAATCTTATTGAGCAATTTTTTTGTCATTGTATCTTGCAGATGGAAAAAATTGTGATCTTTGCACTCGTTATCCTGTCATGCGGTATGTGATTTAATTTAAGAGGTAAAGGCCCATTTTCAACTTGATGCAACGCGCACCGCGACCCAATTTCCTGTAACACGAAATTCCCAGATCACTAAAAACCTTCTAAAATCGTCTTTCTCAAGAGCCATCCTGGACGTATAGTCACTGTTTTACGGTAAATACATTCGCCGGTCGTCATTTTGCAGTTTCCTTACAGTATTTTGAATTTTGTCCGGAAGAATCGGAAGGAAATATTTTTAAGTGTCACGCTTTAATCTCTTCGTTCTCTGTGAACAGAGTTGGCGAAAAGGACAACGTTCGAATTTTTTCACTTTCTAGAAGCGCTTGAGGATTCTCAATGAAGATAAAATATTTCCAATAGAAATTGATATTTTTGAAAAAGAAATATGGAAAAATATCAGACTGCTGGACGTTTAGTTATTCGAAGACCGCGTCCGGTGGTGTCCGGTGCAAATTTTCTGAGTGTTGCGCTTGGATCTCTTCGCACTCTCTGTACAAGGTCAGCGAGAGAGATAACGTTGGCATTTTTTCACTTTCTAGAAGCGCTTGAGGATTGTAAATGAAGGTAGAATATTTCCCAACGAAAAATTGGTATATTTCAAAGAGAAATATGGAGTTATTTGAGGACCGTGTCCAGCTGTGTCATTGAAAAGTTTTAAGTGTCAAGCGCTTGAATGGCTTTATACGTTGTATTCAGGGTTAACGAAAAACATCAAGCTCGAAATTTTGGGCTGCCTGGAAGCGCTCGAGGATTGCAAGTAAAGGTAGAACATTTTCGTATAAATATTTTTTGGATTCGAAGAGAAATATGGAAAAATATCGGACTGCCGGACGTTAAATTATTTAAAGTTAAGTTATTTATTGCAGGAACCTCAGCGACATTGACAGTTTGCGTTACAATTCTTATTTGCTGCTTTGCATGGACAACAACCTCGACCACTCTTTCGGGCGCAAGATCTTCTCCACGGGCAGGAAACTTAACTGACCCGTAGTCCTATTAAACAAGGATGGCAAACCCAATTTTAAAAAAATGATGAATGACGACAACAACATTTTCACCTTCTTAGTAATGCTCCCAAGGATTTTTGCGTTCTTCTTTAGCAACAACCGATCCATAAGCGTTTACTGCCTCGGAATCTACTAAATCAATGGATTCATCTGATTCCATACCGGATTGAAACGTATAGAACTGTTTTAAACAGAATTATTTTGACAAGTTCTTCAAATTCATCGGAGAACGAACAGAAGGAATTTTGAGACGTTACAAGGTAAAAATAACTGACCAATTAGAGGTGCTATTTAAACAAAAGCGGTGACTCAAAACAAAAACTAACGACCCGTTGCATCAAGGTTGGAAATGAGCCTTTAAGTCCTTTTCAGTGAGGTAAAGAATTTCAAAGGATAAATTTTTTTCTTCTCTGTTTAGTGGAGCTGGCTTTTTCAGAAAGAAAAAGAAAATATTCCCTGTTCCGATAGGAGACAATGGATACTGCCAACCCCAAGACAATCTCTGCAGAACTTTTGGTTCTTTAACCCTCTACACCCTAACATCTAAATGCATATTCTCCATACTGTTGTCTATAAATCTCCTAAGGCTGAGGACAAGGAGAATTTGCTGAACAATCTAGAGATTGTTTAGTTGGTGATCATTTCCTTTTATTCTATGACCTTAATGTTTTATTCAGCTGTGATATGCTGGTCATAAGCTTGACTTAACTTTAACCTATGACAGTTTCTAAAGCTTAAACTGTTGTAACAAGTTTTAAATATTTTGTTGTAGTTACACTTTCTTCAGGTAGTGACCATTCCACGTCGCCAAGTCCACCTGGACCAAAAGGTAACATAATTTAACCCTTAAAACTCTCAGATGTGATTAACATGTCACTTCTCCCTACATTATTCATGCTTTATCCAGCAAACAGATAGTAAAAATATTTAAACTTCTCAGGTAGAAGTTGTTCGTAATTCTCATCACTAATTTACAAGGAAATGTGTAGCAGCTAATGGAGAGAATTAACAATCATCTTTGGAATTAAGGGTTAATCATGTGGTTGGCATTTTCCACTTTTAGTATTACATCAAGAGAGCAACTTCTACATGATAAGATTGCGTATTCTCATTACCTGTTTGCTTGATACTGTATGGATATCTAAGGGAGAAGTTACATTTTACTCACTTAAAGCTATCCATACTCATTCACATTGTCAGCATTTGATAAATTACAGATAGGAGAGAGAAAGTTTGGAAAATCCCCAGAATTTTAATTGGAAAATGAAAAGAATTTTTAAGTACATGCAGAGAACCCTTTCACTCAAACCTGAATTCAAAAAGAGGGGCATTTTCAATCATATTTGGTGGACCATTTCACTTGTAATAAGGACCAAATAATACTTTCTGTCTACAATTTTACACAGAATGCTGATCAGCTGAAATAAAAACATCAATTAGGAATTTTAATTCAGAGCTAAAATTATGAGAAATTTACCCTAGAGGCAAGAAATCGAAGTTTAGGCTTTGAGTGTAAAATATTAAAGAGCAGGTAGATCATGCCCCTTTACGCCCCAGCATTAGGATACATTTTCTCCTGACAGCCCTCTATATCTTTCCTATGGTACTGAGAAGGAGAACTTGGTTGACAATCAAGAGTTGCTTAAGCTGGTGATCATTTTGTTTATTCTTGTGACCACAATGTGTAACTCAGGGGTGATACTGAATGGAGACATTAGACGCCAGTCACTCTTAGGGGTTAACCTTTTATACTTTGCACATTCTCCATACTGTTCTCTATAAAATTTTCTGAGGTGCCTAACAAGGAGAATTTGCTTTATAATCAAGAGCTCTGGTACTTGTTGATCATTTCCGTTATTCTTGTGACCTTAATATATGATTTAGGGATGATACTGTAAGGAGAAATTAGATGCTGGTCACTCTTAAGGGATAAATGGTTTTGACATAAAGGCTAATCTGCTCTTTCTTTTTGTTTCCACAGTAACACCTTCACCAAGTAAGTTGACATATCAAATTTGCCATGGACACAGTAACTTTTAAATAAAACTTTTAAATATTGAGTTTTTAAAACAATAGCCTCTATTTGGAATGAGAACATGCAAGGACATTTGACTGCTTTTGCTTTCGCTTTCTGCCCCGAGAAGAACAGTTTTGGGAGAGCAAATACTGAGGAAAAGTGTGAGCTTCCAGGATGTAATGTCTAAGGACATTCATATGAGCAAGTTTTTGCAACAAATGGAGGTTTTTGTTTTTAGTATCCATAACTTATTTTTGATTAGTCCATTCTTGTGTGACAACAGTTAAATGCTTACTCATCATGAAATCAAATTCTAAAGAAGGATCCACTTATCATATTGGTGGCAGATTTTGAAAATCAAAGGGTAGCATGTTATAACATTTTCTGAACTATGGGAAGAGTGAAGTTGAAAAAGGGAAAATAGATGTATTTTCCACTTTCTACATAACTTGAGGTTTTATTGCTTTGCCTTGAAATTTTCAGGTTCACCACATATGGGAGCATCATCACGTAAGACTGTTGATTTTTTTTCTTCATTTTTAAAGCCCAAAGGAAGCAAAGAGAGAATGTGCCTCAGAACGAGATTTTAATGAAAGTGGAATTGGCTCAGACAATTTAACCTTCTCTGCGGCCTTACTTAAAGCTCTCAAGTCCTGCACATTGAGCACGAGACCTACCCAAACACATTCAGTCTTAAGTTGAACCAATTATTTCATGCATTTAAAGTTTCTGATTAAGTTGTTGATTCTGAGTGAGCCAATTGCTGCTTTAATTCTTATGCTTTAATGCTTATAAATGTATTGTACTCCTTGGTTTATAAAGGAACTTACTCAGAATAAAGGAGTGCATATCTTAACCCTTTAACTCCCAGATCAAATTTGTAATTCTCCTTACTCTCAACCATACAATTCATATAATGTTAGTTCAGAGAATTAGTATTGGATCAACTAATTATCCCCAAATTGATATTTTTCTTAATTCTCATCACTTACCTGGGTGATATTGTATTGATATTTTAAGGAGAAATTTTGTCTTGGTCACTCATGGGAGTTGAAGGGTTAAGTACTTAATTTTTTTCACAATTTTTGGGCAGAGCACAGTTGGTCTTCCTGCCCATTTCCCAAGGTTCAGCCTTCAATTAAGTTACTAACACCAGTGTTTTTCTTTTCTTCTGTCCCCCTTTTTTTATTTTTTCATCTCTGCAGCTGCTCCAAGTAAGTTGGATTTCGTACTACTGTCAAACTTGTATTTAGCTTCACTGCATTAAGTGTTCATCCTGTGTTAATTGGTCAGTTTTCAAAGTACTGAGATTTTCTCCCTTCAATTACTGTAATTTTCACCTTAATAAAGTGGTTGTGGTCAATGTGAGTCCTAAAGGCCTGTTTTTATCATCCTCTGCCAAACAATCACTTTAAGAGGAACCAAACAAAGAGAACTAAGAATAATCTTTCAAATAATATTTAATTGAGGCGTATCTCCCTAAATAACAAGTAGTAGTTTTAAGTGAGTTTATGCCAATTATGGCACAAAATAATATTTACAGGTGCAAAATTAAAGCAACTGATCAATATAAAAAGGCAAATGTTAGGTTTGTGCATTCAGCTTTAGGATATCAGTATCCATTGCACTTGTTGCTGCTTTCTGTCATTTAAGGATATCTCTGATAAAAACTAAAAACAAACAAACGCAAGAAATATAAAAGCCAAAAAGCAATCTTCCTGTTGGTATTTTGGTTGGGTAGGGGAAGTACTCGTAATGGAAGTTCAATTGTAAATGGTGTTTTTTTTTTTTTCCATCTATTACAATCAGCTACTACTAAGAAAGATGGTAAACCAACACCAAGTAAGTACGAGTTTTTTGGCCTCATAAAATAACAGAAACCTGCATCTGATTTTCAAAAAAAATGAAGTAGGTTATTATAAATCTCTTAATTTGAAAAATCAAATTGAGCAGGCGATTTTGTAGGTTAATTTTAACCCTTTTACTCGGAGTCCCAGATTTTCAATTCTCCCCTCTAGCTGCTGTAAATTTCCCAGTGATATAGCTACAAGAATTTGGTATTTGATCAAGATATCAACATTGAGTTTATGAATTTGAGTACTCTCATAACTTTTTGCTGGGTAATGTAGGGATACTGCAAAGAGAAAATACTTTATAATCACTTCTGGGGGTTTAAGGGTTGAATACAGCAAACTCTTTCTATTTCAAAATGATATGAAAAACCTCAGTTCTGCAGTGAATTTCAATTTCTGCAGTGAAATACATTGTCACCTTGTATCAAATTGCTTATTAGCATTATTAGCAGGATGCCAATGGCAGTCCACATTGCTTGAGTGTTGTTGTATTCAGTGATAGAATTAGTCACATGCTTGTCACAAAGTTGAAAACTTTCCTGTCAGACATTTGAAATGCAAACACTGTCACATGCCAATGGATTTTACAGGTTCTCACAATGTCTTCCAAGTAGGTGTTTTGCAACCTGTAAAATTCATGATCTCTTGTAGTTTTATTAAAAAGTAACATTGCTTTTCAGCAAGCGGAACTGTTTCCTTCACAGCCAGTGCAGGCCTGATTGTTTCTCTCGTTATGGCTTTGTGAGTATCAGAATTACACTTTTTTTACTGTCCAAAGATAATTGCTCTGTCATGGTTTGTGGTCTTACTAGGAGTTGTACTGGCCTACTGTTTGGCAGAAGCAGAAGTAGGATTTCTTACACTTAAGCCAGAATAATGTGCCAATCAGTTGAAAGCTTTAAACCCCCCTCCCTCCCTCCCTCCCTCCCCCCCCTCCCCCATCCTGCAAAGCAACCCATGGGCATTTGACTCTCTTTTGGACCTGTTGAGTCTTTTAGTGGAATAGAAGCTTGTGTCTGTGCTCTTTAAATATGAAGGTGTTTAAGGAAAGAGTCCACTTTTGGGAGCAAATGGCTCAGAAAAGGTCCATTAGTCTTGGTTTTCAAGCTTAGTCAATGACCAGGAAGTCATTGTCACTGATATTACCTTTAACGAAAAAATGACTATCAAACCACACAGGTCTGAAATGGGGGAGGAGGGGGGGCAGGGTTTGGACACCCCCAGCCCTCCCCTGGCTAAGTTATTGTGTTGTGTTCTGTTGTGAGTTGCTTGTGTTACATTGGCTCTCTCCTCTGGGGAAGTCATATGAGGGGGGGAAAGAGGATTTTTACCTGTGTTGAACTTGGGGGTGGGGGGGGGGTCTACTTCTGTCCACCTCATCCTATGGTGTAGCCTAACCCACAAGAGTGCTCACTTTTTCTTCTTTCTCTGTTTTTTTTGTTTTTTTTGAATGCAGGTTGCACTAAGCAAGAGGACCTCTCTTTGTGTTTCAAGCCATGTGGTTTTTTTATTTCTTAGTATTGCTTTTAAAGGGTGAAACATTCTCACCAGCTTAAATCTTGCACAGCATTTTAGACTCCAGATGAATGAAAGGGAAGCCTGGAAGTTGCCTTCTAATGCATACATAGCCATGGTTCCCTGTGTAATAATGCTTACTAAAAGTCTAGGCAGTGTCTGTACTAGAAGCAAGTTTGAAGTTTAATGCATGTTCAAGGGTTTGGCTGAATTTTTCAGTATTTCCCAAACTTGTATATCTCTTAATACAAAAATAGAATTTTGATGTATCATGTAGGATTAGCCAACACTTAGCAATTTTTGTGTCTATGATTACCTTTTTTTATATAGAAAATTTGCCTTGTCAGTGAAGAATAAAGCAATATGAATATGTATACTCATGTGAGCTTTCTTGGCTATTAAAGGAATTGCAAAATCTTAAATTTAGGTCTAATTTATATCTGTGACAGATTTTAAGTAGTCCCTTCCTTTTTGGCAAATTTTGTTGCATAAGTCAAAGCTAAAAAAGGTAAGAACAAAATTGGATGTTAGCAGAACAGAACTTAGAGGGTGCCTAATGAAGAGAGTCAGTGTGACATAGAGCTTCCCCCTTCCCCTGCATGTCCAACCCTAGGCACTTGAACTTAGAGGGTGCCTCACTCTCAGAGGTTTGCATGGTGCAAATTCTGTTGTAAATGAAACCATTCTACTGCAATTGTTTTGATTACTACTGTGGAAATAAGCAGCCAGTCTACAAGAATTTAACAAGTTATTTTATTCACTTGGCAAAATCTTCCAACTTTTCTGGTAAAAAGTGTTGTGCCAAACTTAAAACATCTCTTGCACTCTTCAGAATTGAATTTCCTCAAAGCGTTTGTCCCTTCATCAGCAGCGACTTTGAACTTGAGCACTGCCACTATATTCAACACATACAAAATGAATAAAGGAAGATGTGATGCAATCCTGGATGAATTGGTGCATCCACCAGAGCAATGCTACTGATAACTTTAAACACATGATTTGCAAGGACAGAAAGCAATGCCAAACGTAGACTTGACAGTAAATAGTAAGGTTCAAATGTGGGGTAAAGAATCTTCGACATCAATTAATGAGTCCTCTAATCTCCCTCATTATGTTTGAATCCTTCTTTCAATCTCAAATACTGGAAAAAAAGAGATGAAAGTCCAACATGAACATTATAGAATGTGTAACAAGTTTCATCATTTAACCTCTAAGAATGACTAGCATCTAACTTCCATTTTAAGTCTAACATGAACCCTTTAACCCTTTAACTTCCTAGATCTGATTGTTAATTCTCCCCTCTAGCTGCTATACATTTCCTTGTAAATTGGTTATGAGAATTTGGTGTTCGATCAGAGTAACATCTTGTGCCTGATGGGTTTGAGTGTTCACACTACCTGTTTGCTGGATAATGTTTGGATATTATAGGGAGAAGTTACATGTTTATCACTTAAAAGTGGAGTTAAAAGGTTAAATCCTGAGAGTGATCAGCGTTTAATTTCTCCAACCAGTAACGCTGTTGAATCATTCATTAAGGATTGATTGCCAACCCAAGTAAATTTGATTTTTTAAAACACAAATTCTCCTTGTCAAGACCAAAGGAAATTTGTAGAAATAAGCATGGATACTGATGTTGGGGTGTAAAAGGTTAACCCTTTCACTCCCAAGATCTGATAGTAAATTCTCCCCTCTAACTTCTACATATTTCCTTGTAAATTAGTCACGAGAATTCTGTGTTAGATCAAAATAACTGAAACCTGATAAGTTTGATTATTCTCATTACATGTTTACTGGATTAAATATGGATATTTTATGGGAGAAGTCATGTTAATCACTTCTGGGAGTTAAAGGGTTGAGGTGGTAAATGATCACCAACTTGCAAGCTCTGTACTCATCTCCATACATTTTCTTTGCTACTGAAAAGGCAAATTTGTTTTATCAAAGCTTGCAAATAAAAATTAAAGAGATGGTATGTTTAAAGCTCTGTACAAAAATAGAGATCAATATTTTTTCACCTTGTCATGAGCATGAGGTAAAAAATTGTGGGGTCCCCATGAGGAATTGAACCTCAGACCTTCAGATCCCAAGCAACAGTGCTTTCAATGGTTTTTCTTACCTTTTTCCTGCTCTGTATGGCTTGTTCTGTCCACAATAGTTCCATTCCTATATGATCCTTTAATTGATGAAGTTTGACAGGATCAGTAGGGAGGTCATGCTTTAACTCTTTGTCAAGTCCTGTATCTGGAGTAAGATCAGAGATCAGAAATCACAAATCAAATATCCGAGATCAAGAGAGATCAGAGAACAGGGTTTAAAGATCAGAGATCAGAGATCAGGATCAGGGAACTGATAAAGAGGTGATAGATCAGAGTTCCAAGGTCAGGGATGAGGGCAATAATGGAGTTACAGATCAGAGATTAAAGGTCATAGTTAAGAGTATTAATAGAGATCAGAATTCATGGGTCAGAGTTCAGAAATCAGAGTTTAGAGTATTAAAGATCAGAGTTCCAATCTCAACTATTTATGAAATTGTTGTTTGGCCACCAAAAATCATAAAACAGTTGCCAGAAATAATAATTAGTTGGTGAGTTTGTAAGTTATGTACTTTTATGCAAATAAGGCCTCCAATGATTTTTGTTGGTTACCAGTCAGTCAAGCTGAAATAAAAGTTAGTTACCAAAAGGGGCAGACAGCCAATAGGTCATTTTATAGTTGAGTACTTAGTTGCCAAGTTAGCATGATAACAAAGTAACTTACATTTGAAAAATAACAATGTTTGCATCATAACAAAGTCACCTTCAACCCCACTCCTGTTCAAAGGCTTGGCAACCAACCATGCAACTCTAAAATGGACTATTGTTTTTGGAAGTTAAAGCCACATCTCACAGCTTAGTTATGGAAGTACCAAGAAGAAATTCCAAACTTTATTAGAAAAAAAGAATACTATTTCATGTACATCCTGGAAGTGATTAACATGTAACTTCTCCCTATAATACCCATTGAATATCCAGCAAACAGGTAATGAGAATACTCAAACTTATCAGCTAGAAGTTGTTATCTTAACTCTCGAAACTAATCCTCAAAGAATGTGAAGCAGCTAAAAGGGAGAATTAACAATCAGATCTTGGGAGTCAAGGGTTTAACTTAAGATCGAATATTATGTAATAAAAACATCACAGCCTTTTACTTGATTCCCAAACACATGTTGCCAAGCTGATGAAATGGTGGGGGAGGGGGGGGGGGTGTGTTAATCAATGGAATACCATCCTATCAAGGCTGAGGGGGGGAGTAGTGATACTCTTAGTCACTTCATGCTATGGAAACCAGAATAAACTCTGGCTGGATGAGCCACTGGGCTCAGGTATGATCTCATTACTAATTCTCCTTTCTGTCTGCCAAATGATTCTCATTATGTTAGTTTGGAGAATTTGGTATTGGATCAATTAGTAATCCCATAATTGATATTTTTCTTTATTCTCATCACTTGTCTGCATGATATTGTATAGATATAGTAAGGAGAAATTCTGTCTTGGTCACTCACAGGAGTTGAAGGGTTATGTATCGAGATTGTGGTAAGAAATTTCTATTTTGTCACTCCTGAGAGTGAAGAGGAAAAGGAACCAATGAAATGCATCTATAGATCATCTCACCAAATGATTTATCAGTCAACCAAGTGTCACTAAGAAGCGCTTGTTCCCTCAGATGTGGTGTCCTGGACACATATTCTCGAAGCGATGCCTCAGATGCACTGTCAGGTGGTCCAAAAGACCTCCTCATCTCTTGTTCATTCTGCCACCCAGGGTTAACAGTACTGTTAAGGGGGAAATGTGGCTCTCTGATATGGCGAGATGTTTCAACTGGACTACCATGTTGAAAAGTTAGTTCTGCATTTGCATTAAACAAATTCTGCCTTTCCAGATTTTGTCCTCCAAATAATGAAGCTTCTGTATCTGGCTTTTCCACCTGCAAGGAAGTTGTTCCATTTTGTAAACCAAACACATGGTTGATATGCAATTCACTACTGCAGTTAACACTTTCAGGGTTTGACGCACCAGGAATAGGCCTTTCTGGAAGTAGTCCTTCATCAGCGTCATACCTTTCACCGTCATCATGTTCTTTGAGTCTAGAATTCGCATCTACCATCGTTTTACCCTCTAGCTCTGCAGTACTTATCTTAAGATATGTCTCTGACGCTGAATTAAGCCTTTCGAAGCTTGAATCTTGAGGAACAGGGTTTTTTATAAGAGGATCACCCTCGCAGTTGTCATCTACATCTGATGAACCAGAACCTTCCGTGATGAGATATGTTCGTTTCGATTCATCGTCACTTTCTCCGTCTAGGCCTGAATTACTTTTCTCTATTGCTTTGTCTAGTCCTTTAGGATCCGTACTCATCAAAGGAAGCCCTGGAACTTGTGTCTTCCACCAGACAAAGTTTGTATCATTTTCCAGCTCACTCAAAATTTCCTCAAATTCTTTCCGGACTTCGAGTAACTTTTTACGCACAAGAAACCCCCGCACGCCTGCCTGTTTGATTTAAAAAAAAGAATTAATATGTAAAAACTGAAATTTTAATTTTTCTCGCGAAATAATCCCCTGTGGCTCGCCAGGAAGTTTTGAACTAACCTGCAAAAGTATAACTTTGTTTACACTCAAATCTGCCGCCATCTTTGCAAGATATCGCCGATGCGCATACTCTCTCAGACAGTATTATCGCAGGCTCATCCACAATGGCGGACAATCGAAAACAACAGCTGTACTGAGAATGATGCGTGGTGTTAGCTAAGACTCTTCCTCAAATCTGTGGTAAAGATGGCGAAAAGCCATAACGGAAATGGAGAAAAGCCCATCAAGTATGAGTGTATGTATATTTACTCTTGATATTCTCGCCTAGATTCTGACAGTTTTATCCCTGATATTTAGAATCGTCAGCAATTTGTTATGGTTGCTACAAAAGATACTGCTGTGCCTCAGTCAAACGTTAATTTAGCCCTTTAATTCCCAGAAGTGATTTATATATAACTTCTCCCTATAATATCAATACATTATCCAGCAAACAGAGAATACTCAGAAACGGAGAATACTCAGACTTATCGGAGAGAAATTGTTATCTTTATTTAACACCATATTCTCCTAACTAATTTACAAGGAAATGTGTAGCAAGTAGTGAGGAGAATGAACAATTAGATCTTGGGAATTTAAGGGTTAGCAAGAGTCAAACAAGCAGCAACAAATTTTTTTGGATATTTTTGACCATATCAGTGATTCTGACTTGGAAGTTAGAAGTTCTTGATTGTACATTTTGTTTTATTTTACTACAGATTTAGATCACACAGCTGATGTTCAGTAAGTGCTGCTTTCCTTGTTTCTTTTGGGGCTGTTAATTCTTGTGTCAGAATTGACTATGTATAAAAATGAGTAAAAGCGATCTTAGGAATTTCCGTACCTGCAATCAGCTTTGCATTTGTCTCAAGTTTGTCAAGTTATTGTCAAGGTTGTTTGGGTTGAATGAAAAATCAGAGATGATAAAAAAAATTAATTATTGTTAAGTAAGGAGTAGGGAAAACATTTTGAAGGGGTAAGGGTTAAGGAGAAGGTATTAAAGGGTGGAGAGTGTGGAGAAAGTTTTTGATGGAGAAAGTTTTTGAGGGATAAGGGGTAAGGAGAAAGTTTATGAGGGGCAAGGAGTAAGGAGAAGGTTTTTGAGGGGTAAGGAGAAAGTTTATGAGGGTTTTTGAAGGAGATGTAAGGCAAAAGTTTTTGTGGGGTAAAGGGTAAGGAGAAAGTTTTTGAGGGGTAAGGGGAAGGTTTTTGAGGGGTAAGGAGAAAGTTTCTGAGGAGTGACATGTAAGGCAAAAGTTTTTGAGGGTATGGGGTAAGGAGAAGGTATTAGATGGGTGAGGAGTAAGTGGAAGGTTTTTGTGGGGTAAGGTGTAAGGAGAAGGTTTTTGAGGAGTGAGGTGTAAGGCAAAAGTTTTTGAGGGGAAAGGGGAAGGTTTTTGAGGAGTGAGCTGTGAGGCAAAAGTTTTTTGGGGGTAAAGGGTAAGGAGAAGGTTTTTCAGGGATGAGGGGTAAGGAGAAGGTTTGTTAGGGGTGAAGAGAGAGCTATGGGAGCAGACAGGTGAGAAAAAGGTATGTTAGGGCTTTGAAGGTGAAATAAACATGGATATATGAAGGAGGGGTCTGTAAGGGGTGAAGAGAACTATTTTGGAGCACAAAGGAATAGGGTGAAAAGGTTGAATTGCAAATTTAAAAACTTAAACTACTGTAGGAGCAGAGATATTCTTCAAGCAATCCCCTAACTCATTATCCTTAACCCCTAAGATTGACCAAGAGTTTTCAATTTCTCCCTACAGTATCCCTCTTGAATCAAATGCTAAGGTCATGAGAATAAAGGAAATGATCACCAATTTAAGAAGCACCTGATTGTCATACAAACTCTCCTTGTCAGTGCTGTAGGAAATGTAAAGAGAACAGTGATGAGAATATGAATATTAAAAGTGGGATGTAAAAGAGTGAAGTGTGTCCTTTTAACCCTTTAACTCCCAGATCAAATTTGTCATTCTCCCTACTATTAACCATACAATTCCTATAATGTTAGTTCAGAGAATTTAGTATTGGATCAACTAATTATCCCCAAATTGATATTTTCCTTTATTCTCATCATTTATTTGATTGATATTGTATTAATGTTGTCAGGAGAAATTCTGTCTTGGTCACTCATGGGAGTTGAAGGGTTAAAAATAAAGGAGGGCATATGGAGCACTGTAATTGTATGACTGGTTGAATTACACAATTTAATCTGTTAGTGTTTCAAAAAATGTAAAGTCAAATTTCTACAAATTAGAAAGCTAATGAGTTCTTTTTGTTTTCTTGCAGACTTCATGCTTGTATCCTTTAAAATTTTGTGACTGTGATAGTGTGGTCTGATCGCTCAGGTGAATGCAGTCCCGAGAAGGGCTTTTGTTTGTAGTGGATACTGACATTTCGACAACCTGAGTGGATATCATCATCAGAGTCCAGTGAATAGTTGTCGTCAGTCGAATGTTTTAAGTGCAGTTTGCATAAACTGATTGGTTAGTTTTGTTTTTGATGTTATTGGCTGTAAGACTCAAGTGGTGTAGGTTGTGATTGGTCAGTCTCTATCCTTTGGTAAAGTTAGGTCATTCTGTTTAGTTTGTTAGTTATGTTAATGTTGTGGATGAGTCGTTTGTATCATGCTGGTAATAGTTGACATCTGTTGAGGTTGTCCAAATGTCATTCACCACGACTGACAACAGTCCTTCTCAGGACTACACTCACCAGGACCATCAGACTACACAATCACGTGTTACTCCAGTGTTCAAACCATTTACTGTAATTTTCAGATTGCAACTAAGGATTCAACTATTTTAACTAAATAAATGATGAAATGTAACCTTTCTTTACAATGACCATGTACTACCAATATTTTTAAAATGAGACAATTTTTCTTAATTCTAATTATTGCTGTTCCATCAAGGGGGTGATGATTTGAAGGAAGCTTTTGAGCAGGTATTGAAACTACTAAGTAGATATTGTGGTTTGTACACTCTGTTTGGTTGACATACTTTGTAGCAAATGCAAGGATGGATTTTCAAAATTTAATAATTTAATTATTAAGTGGGTTCTGAAATGCACGAAGAAATGATTTAAAAAGCAGTAATTTATAATGATAACAAACAAGGTAAATGAAAATGAAACAAAGAAAGGACAGCAAGAACATACCTGACAGTTAGAATACTTGAATATAATACTTAATAATATATTAATTAATAATTATGAATAATTCTAATATTAATATATTCATAACCATACTTGAATGAAATGACATGGAGATGCTCAAGAAAAAATTTGACTGCTAATTAATTGGTGTGAAAAATTATTTAGATATGCTGATACAGCGCAGAGATTGGAGACTATAAAATGGCTAAAAGATGTTGCAACATACTTGTCATTTCAAAAGAAAGCAAATGAATGAGCACTCAGATATAGAAAATTCCCAAAACATTTTCAAGAAAATTAGACATTGCTTTCTTACAGAAGTAAAGAGTTTCTTTGCTTTTTCAATTCTGAATCTTACTTAACCCTTGAACTCCCTTGATCTTGATCTGATTGTTAATCCTCCTCAGTAGCTGCTATACATTTCCTTGTAAAATCAGTCATGATAATTTGGTGTTAGATCAAGATAACAATTTCTACCTGATTAGTCTGAATATTCTCATTACCTATTTGCTGTATAATGAATGGATAGTATAGGGAGAAGTAACATGGTAATCACTTCTGGAAGTAGAAGGATGTCAAAGAATAGGTCATTACTGGGAATGGTCTGATATTCTCTATAAGAACTGCAACTGCTGTAAAAACAAGCAGATAAGCCGCACCCTGAATTTAGCTGCTCAAATTTTGGGAAAAGAAGGTTTTTTGAAAGAATCAAAAGAAATCCAAAGTCAAGTCTTGAGAAGTCTTCTTCATCCACTGTTCATCAAACGTAAACTCACTATTACACTGCATTCTAGTGACGATTTTTGGAAAAAAGGTGCAGCTTATCTGCGGGTTTTTACTGTATATGCTAAATAAGTGCCCTTTAACTCCCATGAGTGACCAACACAGAATTTCTCCTTACAGTATCAATACAATATTAAGCAGAAGAATGATGAGAATAAAGAAAAATATCAATTAGGGGATTATAAGTCGATTCAATACCAAACTCTCCAAACCAGCAGTATAAGAATTGTATGGCAAACAGTAGGGAGAGTTACTAAGGAGATCTTGGAGGTGAAAAGGTTCATCATGATTGATTCAAAAGAGCAGACAAGGGCAGAGTGCGAGTCTAATTTGTTTATCATAAGTATGAATACCAACAGAGTTGGATCATAGCAAGTCCTGCTTCTGATTAAACAAACCTGTGATAAGATCTGGGAAACAAAATACCCAAGGCCCACATAAAACAGAGGGATTCCTTTCTTCTGTGGAACTTAAATCCACAAGTCTATATGACAGATAGTTAAAAATTGTTGTGTTTCACTGTCCTATTACAAGGATTATGCACATTTATACAGTTTACCATCCTGTTAGTGTTAATTTGGGCTGCTGGTGACCAAACATTTTTGAGAATTTTGTTACAGTTTTGGTTACACCTTTGATTGGAAATAATATTTTGCCATTGCTAGTGCATCCCTCAGTTTTTAACTCTGTAATTTCTTGATACTTTACAAGGTAGCAACAGCCATGTTTGGTTATATGACAGAGTTAACTGCTGTTGAAATTGAAAAAACAATGGAAATCACAGCTCAAGGTAAGGTGACCATTATCCCTTTGTAGGAGTAACTAGCATCTAATTTCTCCTTACATTATAATCCTTTAATCAAACATTAAGGTCATGAGAATAAAGGAAATGATCACTGGCAAAAGAAGCTCCTGATTGTTAAACAAATTCTCCTTGTTATAACCTTGGGAAATGTACTGAGAACAGTATGGAGAATATTAATGCTGATGTTGGGGTGTAGAGGGTTATGTTGAGCATATGCTGTCCATTTTACAGCTCATGTTTCTCCTCCATTAGGTGATGACATGATAAACTTGTTGTTCCATTTTCTCGACGAGTTCCTGTTCTTGATGTGTGATGACCCATACTTCATAGTGAAGGTATTGCAAAAAAAAAAAGAAGTTATTTACCAGGAAAACTTTCCATTGTAGGAAATAAACTTTTGTCCACCCTTGGATCCCTGTGGTGCAAAACTTATAAAGGTTGAGTCTACTTAAACCTTTAATTCCCAGAAGCGATCAACATGAAACTTCTCCCTATAATATCCTTACATTATCCAACAAACAGGTAATGAGAATGTTCAAACTTATCAGGTACAAGTTGTTATCTTGATCTAACATCAAATTCTTGTAACTAATTTACAAGTAAATGTGTAGCAGCTAAAGGGGAGAATTAGCAATCAGATCTTGGGCATTAAAGGGTTAAAAAACCAATCTCTGCTTTGATGTTGTTTATTATCCTTTGTATATTACTAGGTCAAGAATGTGGTGTTATTTTCATCACTTATTTGGTTTTCCCTTTTTTTCCCAGGAAGTTGAAATTTTAGAGTTTGACAAGGAAAACTTCACAATAAGAGCAGTAGGGTAAATAATTATTATTTAATTCACATCCAAGATCTACAATAAAATTTCACTACTCTGTACTCTGCAACATACATTTCCTCTCATTTTGGCCTTGAGAATGTTATGGAAAATTCAACCAAAATATTCCCTGATAGATGTTCTCTTTTTCCTGGTCACTTTTCTCATTAGAAATGCTTTTTGGTGCCACAGATCCAAAATAAGTTGGGGCTGAATCAGCCACTTGACTTGAGATCAGATTAGGGAAGAAAACAAACCCTTCGTCTTTTTTCTGTAATTCAAAAATTTTCATGTTGTGGTCTCTTATTTTACCCAGGAGAGGTGAACTTTTTGACCTTAACAAGCATCCACAGGTAATATTTTTTTCTTTTGTAGAAATTACAGCATTCAATGTCCAGCACTTACATGACTTGTATAACATTCATCTGACAAACAGGTCGCAAGTTCATTTCTATTCATGACTTTTGCTCACGTTGAACACTCACACTTTGATGATCAAATTCTACAATCAAATCCCAAGAAGAGAATAATAGATTTTTTTATCTTAATTTCTGTTCAAACCTCTGATTAGCATTTAATTTCTGAATCAAACATTAAGGTCATGAGACTTAGGAAAAGATCACTGCATAAAAAAGCTCCTGATTGTTGTACAAATTTTCCTGGTCATCACCTTTTAAAATGTATAGAAAACAGTAGGGAGAAGATGCATACTGATGTTAGGCTGTAAAGGGCTAATGTTAACACACTCTTACCCTTCTTAACTTCATCAATAAAATCCTGAATTCACTCTGTGATAATATTTTTTAGTAATTGATCGATTGAATTTTATGATTTTCTTTCCTTTCAGGGCACAGAGGTGAAGGCTATAACTTACTCCAACATGCAGATATATGATGAAAATGACAAGCATGAAGTTTATGTCATTATTGATATTTAAAAACCAAAATTCAAAGGCAAACTCTATGAGTGTCAATTATTCACTGAAGGTATAGTGAAGAGTGACTTAGTCATTATACATACCAACATAAGTGAGTGGCAAATGGTCAATTAGTTCCATTTCCAACTATTTGTTAAAGGCAGCTGGGAAAATATAGTACCCACCAAACTGAAAAATCTTCAATAGCATACTGAACTGTATCTCAATCTTCTCTTTTGCATAGAGAGGCTCACCCTTCAAAGAGATGTGAAATAAAAAGTTTGGAAAAAATATCGCCTGCAACTTCTCCTCAGTTTTCATATTTTAAAACATACATATGCATTCTGCTGTGGTGAAAGAGCCCTGCAAAGAAGACCCTCCTCTGATGAGGCCTGCCTATTACTTCCTTATTGAAATAACCTTTCACATTTAAAGTTTCATTAATAATTCTCCTTACTATCATCCATATAATCCCCATGGTACTAATTGGGAGAATTTGGTATTGCATCAACTTATAATTTGCTAATTGATATTTTTCTTTATCTTTTTTCTCATCTCTTGTCTGCTTGATGTTGTAATGACATTGTAAAGAGAAATTCTGTCCTTGTCACTCATGGGAGCAAAAGCTTTTTTAAAAATCCTTTTCATCCCTAGTGCAACTTGAGGCCATACCCAAGAAATGCTTGGTTTCCAATCGCCATTCCTCTCTTGAAAGTGGGTGGTTGGGTCAGTCAGCCAATTACCCCCCCCCCCTCCCCCTTCAAAGAACAAAAGCTAAAACAAAAACCCAAAGTGAAGAAATAGATTAATGATAGACAGAAAAGAAAGGAAAATAGACTTATTCTTTTTTTTTTTTTTTTTTCCAAAAAAGCGTATGACCCTGAGATCATACTGACTCACACTTGAAATTGCGGATCATTAACTTAAGGTATCACAAAAGGAAAATTAGCGTTTTCATTTAAACTGAGATAGCGTGAAATTACGCGCAAGCTGATAGTTGTTGACTGCCAGAACAATTTGATCTGTGCGCGACAATCAGATGTACCAAACTCGTCCTTAATCAGACTTCATCGACTGGTTTTTCCCATTTCTTCACCCCCCCTGCCTCGCCCACTCTACTCTCCAATTCCCTTGGTTCGTCTCTTTCTTCTCCATCTTTTATGGCCGATTGAGGATCTGGGAACAAGTAAAATATTATGCATGCGCACTGATTCTGTAGAGAAGCGCGGGAAAATTCTTCACGTGAGAGTGTAAACATGGCGACTCTGTTTTCGTATTTTACTCCAAAATCGAAGAAGCCCTCGTCTCCTGTTTGCGGTGATACTGCAGATAAAAAGAAGAATAATTCGCCAAAGGAAGGCGCGCAGGGGTTTTCGCCAATAAACGATAAGAAATCGACGTCGCCAAACACGCCGAAAGCTTCGAGGACGCAGAAAGATTTGAGCGGGGAATCTGGCTTGGTGAAGATTGAACAATGTGGAATTGTATGGGCGAAACTCGAAGGACACCCCTGGTGGCCAAGTTTGATCTGTGATCATCCTACGCAGAGAGTTTACGAACGAGGAGATAAGTGCCATGTTCAGTTTTTTGGAGACCCTCCGAGTCGAGCTTGGGTAAAGCGAAGGTAAAATATTTACACGCTCCCTGATCTTTCGAAAGTTCGATTCGGTTAGTTATATCATGCGATCATTGCGTTACAATTTACGTTCAACAGCGCTTTTGTTAAGAAAAGTTTGAATCGGATATTAATTTCGAATTATTGATTGTTTTTCTTGTTAGTTGTCTGAAAGATTGTAAGCTTAGCGATCATCTACATTGTCTCTCGTGTCTTGTAACTTCAGCTAAACAATGGCCTTTGTTTACCCAAAACTTCTGCACATTGTTAGGCTTTGAAAAGAACAACGCGGGTTTCCAAAGCTAAATGTGATCCTAAAATAAGTTTTCTTTCATTTTTCAAATGTTGATGGAATGATTGTAAAGAATTACGTTTCTATGCAAACCAAATCGTAAGAAATTTAAAATGCTTTGATTTAGGGTTCTAAAGGGTGGAAAAAATTAAATGTTGTGTCATCTGGGAAGTGTCGGATGAGTTTCCAGTCAATTTAACATTGAATTCTTGATCAAGGATTAGAAAACAGACAATGCCAATCATTCTAAGCAACGTGAGGCAGACTGTGGCTTTTCCCTACATCTAGGCAGTCTGGAAAGCCGTGAAACTCAGACAAAAATTTATCTTTCAATTTGGTACTCTTAATCCCCAGGGTATCAGGGGATGGTTTTCTTTCCACTAATTTATCCTTGTGTTTGTAATGTTACAATATTCCCACCAATAGTGTAGCTCCATCTTTCTGTGTATAAACCACACACAACCCACAATTCCTCCATATGCTCTGACAAAGGGCTAATGCTCGAAATTTCAGCTTTAGAAACTGTGCATGGGCCAATTTATAACATAAACTTAGTTGATAAAACCAGATTATCAGACAATCTCAGAAACAACATACCAACTGGATACTGGGATTCCAACTATTGGTATACAATACAAGTTTTTTTTTTTTTTTTTATAAGAATGTCTTGGAAAACATTTTTAATATGTATTGAAAGTTGTGTTTTATCCGATTTCAATAAATCAATCTAAAAAATGTCCTTAAGTATTTGAGTTAATTTTCCTGTTAAACCACAGTTTTATATTTCTGTTGCGTTTATTAATACTTCTTACAAAAAAATGGGCAAAATGAGGCAGTTTGTAACTGACTTGCTGCCTGGGATGTTCTTAAAAATTTTGGTTAATCTCTGTTAATCTTTTTTTTTATTAAAAAAACCAGTGTGTGTTGATAAATTATGGAGCTACTGATTGTTAGATGATCTTTTTTAAACTCTTTCATTTCTGCCAGGCAAATGAAACAATTTTCAAAAGATCAAAACAATCGTGTGATAGATCCCAACATAAAGAATGCAGTGCAGCAAGCTGAGGATGCCTTGTCTCTCACACTGGAACAGCGAAAGGAACTTGTCAACTGTTTACCTTCTGATGAGGAAGAGAATGGAGAAGACCCTTGTGATGAAACAATGTTAACAGATGATGAGAGCCCCAAGAAAGAATCAAGCGGACAGAAGAGGAAGAACAGTGGAGGAAGTTCCAGAAATGATGCTAGTGACGAGAAAGATGATGATGAAGTTACAGGAAGGAAGGTAAAAGAATGGTACCTAAATTTTTGTTGCAGAGTTCTGAGGTCATTTCTCATGGGATCCACCATTTCAATTGGAAACAGCTGTGGTTTTTACACTTTGATCCTTAAGAGTGACAAGAATTTAATTTCTCATTACAATATCACCCCTGAATCACACATCAAGGTCATGAGAATAAAGAAAATGATCACCAAGTAAAAAGCTCTTGATTGTTAAACAAATTTTCCTTGTCAGTACCTTGGTAAATGTAAACAGTATGGAGAATGTGTTTACTGATGTTAGGGTGTAAAGGTTTAACCAATTTCTCTAGAGATTTTTGTTGTGGTTTAAATTGAAAACAGGTTGGAATCACACAAGTTTAAAATTTACCTTACCCTTTAACTCCCAGATCAAATTTGTAATTCTCCTTACTATCATGTCACAATTCTTATAATATTAGTTCAGAGAATTTAGTATTGAATCAACTAATAATCCCCAAATTGATAGTTTTCTTTATTCTCATTACTTGTCTACATGATATTGTAATGATATTGTAAGGAGAAATTCTGTGTTGGTCACTTATGGGAGTTAAAAGGTTAAAAAATATCAAAGTTCAAAAGAAAATTATGAGTGATAGTAACTGTTGCACTGCATATTTCTGCCTCTTAATATTTGTACACAGTACAACAGCAAACGGCCCCGAAGGAAAGCTGCCACAAAGAATAAAAAAGTAAAGAAAAGACGCATTATAGAGTCGGGTTCAGAAGACTCAGCAGGTATGTGGTGATATGTGTTACATGAGGCAGTAGTCTAGGGAACAGGAGGAGTGTGAAATATAGAAAAGGATCACAGAAGTGATTAACCTGAAACTTCTCCCTATAATATCCATACATTATTCAGCAAACAGGTAATGAGAATATCCAAACTTATCAGGTAGAAGTTGTTATCTTGATCTAGCATCAAGTTCTCATAACTAATTTACAAGAAAATGTGTAGCAGCTGGAGGGGAGAATTAACAATCAGGCGCGGGTTGTTCGAAGGTCACATAACACTATCCACTGGATAAGTCTCTATTTGCTGGATAACACCATATGTTTTGCTATCTCTTATCTGCTGGATAACAATTTATCAGTTGGATAGCATTATCCGCCCTTTATACAACTGGACCCAGATCTTGGGAGTTAAAAGATTAAATCATAATGCTTACTGTAAGGAGGGGCTCTGAATAGAACTACTCTTTCTGACGAAGGGCTGATGCTTGAAATGTCAGCTTTTAAAAACCCAAGTACTTCTTGCAAAGGGTAGGGAACATAGCTCCTGGCATTGACATGTCCTTGTTTCCAAAAATTCCTAAATTGGGGGCCCTGCAGGATTTCCTTTCAAAAATTGTAAACTGCTTGATGCAGTTAGACCAAAGTCCCCTGCAAAGTGTTGCAAAGCAGATTAGAGCATACTTATATAGAGGATGGACCGTATAATTGTATCATTATTAATAATGTCTGAAAAATTGAAGCCAGGCAGTTGTGGCTGAAGGTCAGCGCTGCTCTCCTTTGAGCGTTAGAGATCGGTTGTGGCATAGGGAAAGTTTTAACTTAATACCTACTATAAATGAACTTTGGCATGATTTACATGTATCACTTTCTGAACATTGTCACAGATGATTACAAGCCTGACGAAGATGGTGATGATGATGATGATGAGAGCTGTAGTAGTGGAGTTGATGAAAATGAGTTGGAGGAGGACAGTCATTCTGAGGAGGACATTGACGATATTGTAGAAACGGTATTGAATGTTTGATTTTGACATCTTCCAGTAAAAGATTATTCTGACAAATAACAGTAATTAGCCAGCAGTGTGAAGGCAAATGCTTGTTTGATTTTAAGATGAAATAGCTTTAGATTACTTTTTGTTCAGTGTAAATAACCATTTCACTCCTAAGATCTCATTAAAATTCTCCTTACTGTCTCTCATACAATTCTTATGATGTTAGTTCAAAGAATTTGGTAATGGATTAACCAATAACCTCCTAATCAAAATTTTTCCTTATTCTCATCACTTGTCCACTTGAAATTGTACTGATATTGTAAGGAGAAGTTCTATTTTGGTCACTCATGGGAGTCAAAGGGTTAAAAATAAAATATTTAATTAGAGACTTGGAAAATATAATTGAAATAGTCTTTCACTGCTAAAAATGTAAGAACTGCAGTCAATTTTGCATACTCATTTCTCTGATCCCATTTTATCACAAGTATTAAATATACTTCAGGGCATGAAATTAATTTTTTTTTCTGATAGCCACTTGGCTCCTAAATTTTTCAAAGTGGTAGCCAATTCAAAAAAAGTTGGTCACCATTTTTAAAGACAAATAAAACCTTTTTTTAACGCTGTCAGCATTCTAGATAGACCCTCCAAAATTAAGTTAGGAAAAAGATCTTTAATGTGCTACAAATTGGACACTAGGATGTCCAATTTAATTCACTTTATCTCTAAGTAAGGTTATGATGAAGCATTCTAGTCACCAATTTGGCAACTAATTTTCAGGATTTGGTCGCCAAAGTGAAAAATTTAGTCGCATTGGCGCCTGTATTGGGCGCAATTTCACACCCTGTACTTTACAATGCATTAAATCAGAGTGTTTTTTCCTTAAGTGATGAAAGTGACCTTCTACACAATTTTTAATGGCAAAGTCAGACACAGGATTCAAACTGGTTGATGGTTGGTTATGTTTGACAAATTCATATGAAGTCTTCTTTTTGTTTTTCTGGTCATGTTTTTGGCAAGAAAACATACCATCCCTCTTGCACACAAATTTTAAATGGTATAGAACTGTTTTATGGGTGATAGGGTATGTTTTGTTTGTCATTTGGAACATTAAAACCTGGCTGGAGTTCGTGGAATATGGAAGCCATAGAAAAAAAATGCCTCTATTCAGTGGGTCTTGTGCAAATGAAGCTTTGTGTCCATTGTTTTCTACATCTCAATTATTCCACATTTGAATTGAATTTTTTCTTGGAAAAGTTCTGCAAACTCCCCAAAACTTGTTTCTCAATTTGAGAAAATTGATGTTGAATTATGAGAATTGAAACTTGAAACTTAAGTGTTGAGTCTCAATTCTCAATTATTAATGGTAACACTTTCAAGAATCCAGGATTGACTTAAAGCTGAGGCTGTCAACTTACCAGTACACTTGAGGGGTACTGTGGGTCAACTTGTAAACACTCTATTTTACAAATTTCTCATGTTGACACATTTCCTTTATCTCATTACACATATGACCAACAGCCATCTCGTAAACGTAAGAGAGGCAGTACCTCTACTCCACATCAGAAGAAAACAAAGAACAGTACACCATCAACTCCCTGTACCCCTGCTGTCAGCAAGCAAGCTCTACTGAGTACTCCATCACCTTCAGTCCTGTCAGGATCTTTTGCAAAAAAGATGTCAAGTTCTGCTAGTAAAGCAGCAGTTTCACTAGCAAGATTTCAGATGAATTCGTCCCCAGTTCCAAAGGCAAGTGCAGCTGATGGTGAGGGAGTGGGAACTTATACACATGAGAGACTGGAATGGTTAAAGGAAGACAAGAGAAAGTGAGTTTATTAACCCTTTAAATCCAAGTATTGACCAAGATACAATTTCTCCTTACGATATCAATGCAATATCAAACAGACATGTGATGAGATTAAAGAAAAATATCAACTAGGGGATTATTAGTTGATCTAATACCAAATTCTCTGAACTAACTTCATAAGAATTGTATGGCAGATAGTAAAGAGAATTACTAATGAGATCTTGAAAGGGAAACACTGGTTTTAAAAATGAAGAATGAAAAATTTTGGAGGGATTGCGGAACGTTTTTCCACACAAAGACATTCACAATAACAGCATTCTTTTACCGGTAATAATTCCAAGATTTTTAAGTAATATTTTACACATGTATGTGCTTCACAGAGATAAACAGGGAAGGCCAATGATACATCCAGAATATGACCCAAGGACACTGCTGGTAAGTATAAAGGGTGTGATAAATATTAATTCATCAATTATTAATTTGTAGAGCTCATATCAATAACTAAAAAAAGAAAGAAATGAAAGCAAATTTGTTTTCATCATTGGAAAAAAAAAAATTTTTTTTTTAAGAGGTTATGAAGAGTCTTGAAAGTGTGAAAAATTATGTAAATTTGCAAACTAGTAATATTCCAGCTCTGGAAAAGTAGAAAAATAAAGTAATAAATTTATATTCTTGAAAATCTAGATTTTCTTTTGGTTGTAACAAGAGCGTTACTGCTTATCAGGTGAAATCTTAATGATTTAGCTGAATTTCACAACATACGTACTCTTTTTTAGAACATTGCAATCAGTGAATTTTCATCCTTCAGCCAGCACTTGATAATTGTTCCATTTTCCAAAAATCCACAGGTTCCCTCGTCCTTTCTCAACTCCAAAGATGCTACACCAGTAAGTAATTTTGTTCTGATTCTATGAACCTAAGGCTTTGACAGCTTCCCTTATTATATATATTTTAAGACACAGCTATACTTCATACTACAATCAACTAAAAAAGGATTCATACACACATGATTGCTAAAGATTCAATATTCTAGAATATCATAACAGTTCTGTCCCTTGTACAATTCCTCTCACCCACCCCTCCCCCTCTATGTCTCACTTTTTCCTTTTGTGACTGTAAAACTTTTAATGGGGGGAGGGGAGGGTTTTTGTGAACTGCACTTCAATTTAAACCTCATTTTACAATACTTCCTTTAACACAGATGTTGTGTCAGCTAATTTTCTCAGTGATTGTAGGCTAGCACCAATTTCAACCTTTGGCACACTAAAATCACTTTAACTTTTTCATTTCCTTCTAAGGCTATGAAGCAATGGTGGCAGCTGAAGAGTGACAACTTTGACACCATCCTGTTCTTTAAGGTAAATTAAAACTGTACATCAAATAATGTATTCAAGTCATGGATTAACGACCAATTTTCTGCAATAGCAGGGTTCTAAAAATTCAGGGCAGTGTGTGATATTGCCAACCACTGTGCTGTGGTAGAAGACATTTAAAGACCTGGGTCCAAGCATTTTATTGAGTCACTCTGTTGTGTTCTTGGACAAGACCTTTCACTTCCACAGTTCCTCTCTCCATCCTGAAGTATAACTTAGTACAAGCAACAGCACTTACTGGTGTCTTAAAATAAATTAACTTTAAATAATTTTTGCTCCTCCTCAGGAATCAACGTTCAGAATACTTCTGAAGTACAAATGAAAGATCCTGAGTTACTTAAAAGTTTGGATATTTTTCTTGACGGTGTTCTTTTCCTTCCAGGTTGGCAAATTCTATGAATTGTACAACATGGATGCCACAGTCGGTGTGAAAGAACTTGGATTAATCTATATGAAGGTATTTACAAATCACAAATAATCAGACTTTGACAGGGAAGCTTTCTTCACATAGGGATTGCAGGTTACAGGTTGTCTCTTGTACAAGAAACACTTTAACTCCCATGAGTGACCAAGACAGAATTTCTCCTTACAATGTCAATACAATGTCAAGCATGCAAGTGATGAGAATAAGGAAAAATATCAATTATGTGATTATCAGTTGATCTTACACCAAATTCTCTGAACTAACTATATAAGATCTGTATAGCAGACAGTAAGGAGAATTACTTATCAGATCTTATGAGTGAAAGGGTTAACTCGATTTTCTCAAAGCTGAAATTGTAAGAATGATATGGCATTTAGCGTGGATAGTTGGTTTCTAGATCTTGGAAGTGAAAGATTCAAAGCTGTATCAGTTGTTCACAACAAGTTGTTGGATAAATTTGTTAGAGCTTTTGGTTTCTCTTACAGGGTAATTTTGCACATGCTGGTTTTCCTGAAATTGCCTTTGGACGATACTCTGACACACTGATTCAGAAAGGCTATAAGTGAGTTACTCATAATTTTACAGAATCTGTCCTTGGCACAAACATTAAACAATGTAATCAGAGGTGTCTATGATTCCTGTGGATGGGCAGCTGGTCTCAGCAGGTTCCAAGAAACTAGAAGAATATCAATTATTTAATGAGCTTAAATATGATTGGCTCTTTCTTATCATCTATTGGAGGGCAGATGTGTAACTGATGTCACTATCAAAAATCTTTTGCTTACTTATCATGTAAAACAACAAATTGATCCCACATTGCTGTGGGTCTGTACAGTAGTAGATCACAGAAGGCATCAAAATGTTGTAAGCACATCAGTGACACACTCAGCTGTGTCCTATGGGCCACATTTTTTGTTCTTACCATATTTTGTGTAGGGGCCCGCCACACTTGGCAAAATAAATACGACACAACAAATTCTATGCATCCAGATTCCTTGTATTCTTGTACAGGATAATCACAATGAATGACAAATGAGGATCTATCTGGCAACGATTTGAAGTTATTGCTTCTTACACAGCCTTAAATCCTTTGCTAAAACTAACTTGGCAAAAACTGCCAAAAAAAACTGTAGGCAACGCTCAAGCAATGCACATGGTGTGGAAAAACTGCGCCCCAAGTATCTTGTCAGTGGCACTATAAACTGTATGTAAATGCAATGAATCATACATTTTTACTTCATCTGTGATATATTACTGAACAGACACATACAACATAATATCTACTTGTTCAACTGATATTAACCCTTTAAAGCCTAAGAGTGACCAGCATCTAATTTCTCCCTACAATATCTTTCCTGAATTATACATTAAGGTCATGAGAATAAAGAAAATGGTCACCAGGGAAGAAACCTTTTGATTAGCAAACAAATTCTCCTTGTCAGCACCTTAAGAAATGTATAGAGAACAGTATGGAGAATATGCATACTGATGTTAGGGTGTAAATGGTTAATTTTGCTTATTTTTTTATTGTAGAGTGGCACGAGTAGAGCAAACAGAAACTCCAGAGATGATGAAGGAAAGATGCAAGAGAAGTATGTCTGTTTCTTGATTTTTTACTCAACTCTTTAACTCCCGAGATCTGATTGTTAATTCTCCCCACTAGCTATTACACATTCCCTTTCAAATTAGTTACAAGAATTTGGTGTTAGATCAAGACGTCAACCTCTAAGTGATAAGTTTGAGTTTTCTCATTACCTGTTTGCTGTGTAATGTATGGATATTATAGGGAGAAGTTACGTGTTAATCACCTTTGGGCTTTTCTCTCATTCTCATCCATTCAGTGTACTATCTTAAAATCCAACTTTTGAATTTTATTTACAGCTCACTCAAATTTAAAGAGTGATCAAGTGGTGAAAAGGGAAATATGTGCTGTAATCACAAAAGGTATTTACTGGCAAATTAAAGATTTCCTCAAGATCTGATTGGTCACTCTTCCCTCCAACTGCTACTCACTTCCTTGTAAAGTACTTATGAGAATTTGACACGGATCAACATCACAACTTTTACCTGTACCTGATCTGTTTGAGAATTCCCATTACTTGTTTGTTGGATTATTTACAGATATTATAGGGAGAAGTTTTATTTTGAGATCACTTGTGGAAGTCAAGAGTTAATTGGTTCCTGCTCTTGACACATTTAAGAATAACTGATATGTCATGTTCACCTCTGCAGGAACAAAGACATACAGTTTTGTGGATGGGGATTGTACAGAAAGTAGTGCTGCCTATCTTTTAGCTATTTCTGAAAAGGTAAAGATAAAACTTAAAAAGGAGTGTTAATGCTGGATCTCCTTTGAAAAAAATTTATCAAAAGTCATGAGACCCCCACTTGCAATCCTATAGAAAACCACAGTGAAAGCTGACATTTGTGGTGCTGAACAGTTTGATGTGAGCCAGTCTAGCCTTTAGATCACACAGTTCTTTTTCATTTTCCAAGAACATGGATCAAAATTGTGGACTGTAACTTGAAATACAACAATGATAATATGAGTCACACTTCTGAACAAATTGTGTGTTTCTTGTTTTGTCTAGAAGCCAAAAAGGAAAAGTTTTTATTGTAGAAAATTTGTAGAAATTGTCCAGTGTACGCTATACATATACATCCTATTTAAATTGAAACAAAGTGTTCAAATTCTCCAGCACATACAGTGTAGTAGTCATAATTATTATGATAAAATGCCTATTGACTAAGTTTGGTCTGGCCAAACATGAATGTGTTTGGCTCTTGTTCATGACACATGGACCTCACTGTGCTCAGTCTAAATATCTGGCCCTCTCACTTAGTCAATAAGTACATTATATATTTTTTTCAAATTTTTTAGGGTTCTGATGATGTTTCTGGTGGGGAAAGTGTCTATGGTGTTTGCTTTGTGGACACATCCATTGGAAAGTTTCATGTAAGTGAACATGTCCTTCACCAGCTTATAAACCAGGCTGTGATTGTCCAGAAGCTATGTGTAAGATTTATCTGTTATAAATACATGAAACTAGTATCCTCTGTGTGAGTTTTTTCCAGATGGCTTTGACTAATACATTCCCACTTTTTTTGTCTTTTAGATTGGACAGTTCAAAGATGATCGTCAGTCTTCTCGATTGCGGACTCTGGTGGCCCATTTTACTCCTGTCCAGGTGTGTAATTTGCTTAATTGTAAGCGCAGCTAGGAGTTCTATCGCCATTGCAACCTGCAAGTTAGTGATAAGTGCAATTCACTGACTTATTTTGCACATAGAAGGTAAAACATATGACTGCTTTTCCTTCTCCTACTTTTTTGCTAAAAAAGATTGGTCATGGGGTCATCATTTGGTACTTCAAAATCATGAGAATTTCAGTGAGGAATTTCTTTTGCTCAAAGGTTCTGTGTCCCCGTGGAGGTTTAACATTGAAAACCCAACAAGTTCTCAACCATGAATTGATGTCTGCCATGAAGGAATACTTAACACAAGGTAGGAAAAACTTTTGAAGAACTATTGAAAAAACTATTAGATAAAATGGAAAATATGAGGAAAGGAGTAGTGGAAGGAAGGCTGTGGGGTACTGTAGCTGTCCCCACGTGATGGGATGATACTGACGAGTGTGGAGACGACTGACGACGATGAATGAACTCCCTTACCTGTTATTTCATTGACACCCCATTCTAGCCTCTCTTAAAAACCTTCCCCCTTCCCCCAGACAAGAACGGGGAGGGAGGGGTGCGTGTGCTGTTTAAAGGATTTTTGTTGGGGATGAGAGGGATGCTCCATCGTAGGTTCTCCATCTTTTCCCATGGTTCAAATGTAGTTTTGTGATGGCAAGTCTTCTTGAAATGCAAACCAAACCAAATATTTTGAATGACAGCATGATAATGATGTTCATGATTTGATAGGATCACAGTTTTGGGAAGCAGGCAAGACACTGAAGGTTCTTGCAGAGGAACAGTATTTCAATAATGACGAGAACAACGCTGAAAATCCAGTGAAGGTTGGTTAGTGATATAGAAATTAATTTATTGTGCTCAAAGCTATGTGACATTCCTTCAGCGTTGTAATGTCATTTACTTGCAAAATTGATCTTGAATTCTATTTGAGATTCTCAGGAAAAGATCTCTAAACAAGTGTACTTTATATCCACTTTAAGAGTGTTCTGGCTCTCATAAAGTTTAGTACGGTAATGTGACATCTCTTTGGGTTTCAGAGTTGGCCAGATGTTTTAAAGAAGTTGACTGATGGAGGTAGGACTGATAACTGAAAAAAGTTCTTTTCACACACGCGAAGTATTGAGGCGTTCTCTGACGTACGGTTCGTTCATAGCAAAAAAGGGGCTGTAGATTCCCGCGTTTTTTCAAGCAGAAGCAACAGGCAATTGTTTGGAGTTATAGTCTAGATAACAGAGGTCCTGAAATGTTCTGTTGTTAGTAATTGGAAGTAATGTTTTCGATATCATCCTCTGATATTAATCAGAGCAAGATCACTCACTGTCTTCTACAACAGACATTCACTCTGACGAAGGGCTAACGCTTTAACCGTCAGCTTTGAAACTCTTTACGGTGGCCGATTTACGTTATCAACTTTGTTGATAATAGCAAAGTACCCTGGTATACTCTCCCACCGACGCAGCACCAAAATTTCTTCAGAAACTTAGCCTCTCTATTCATTAGACTTTGGAAGACTTTTTTTTTTTGTGGATAGTCACACGACATGATACGTGCTGATGTAAGAATTTTTGTTTTGTTTGCCGCAGATCCTCTGGGTTTAATGCCCGGTGAAGGCAGTGAATTGGCTTTGAGTGCTCTTGGTGCTGTGATTTGGTGAGCTGAATGATACACAAAAAGAATTAACACTCTTGGTGTTCTTTTCAGATATCAATTTTCCTTCTGGAATATTAATCTTTATTTTATTTTGCTGTTGCAATCATAAAGGTACCTGAAGAAATGCCTGATAGATGGAGAAGTCTTATCAATGGGGAATTTTGAGGTACTGTATTCATGTCAAAGCGCATTTTGCTCCAAAACCGAAGTAATCACAACGGCATTGGAATTAAGTAAAATACCCTGAAGACCAAAAAGGGCGGGAAAACGCGGGCGACCAAGTCGTGATTGGTGTTAGGTTTGCATCGGATTGGTCGAGAGAGTGGCGCGAGTTTTCTGGACCAATCACAGAGCAAAGTAAAGCAAAACCAATGGAATCTAGAATTCAATGCTCAGTTGAAAATTGCTCTGACATGGATGTCCAGTTGTGTTTTACTGCAAACTGAAAGCATTTCACTTGTACTTGGCTCACTTAGGAATACCTGCCGCTGGACAATTCTCCTGCCTGCGGACAGAACTCAAGTTTTGTGAAAGGGAGGCAGCACATGGTATGCATAACTTCTAGAATGAAAAAGCTGTCGCAATCGTGTACCTGTGCATAAGGTACCAGTTTCTCTCGGAACTAGCGTGTTTACGCTGTTCCGAACAAGGTCAAACCTCGGCTTTAGAAGCTAATTTGCCTCTGCTTTTTGGGACTTAATTTATGTCCTCTCTAACGTATTACGCTTATGTTGCAAGCCCTAAGTTTATGGAAGTTTCAATGGAGGACATTGTAATCCAGAGTCATTGTGTGAAATTTAAGTTACGACACTGAACAGTTCAATTTAGCCGAGTGTCATAGTCTCATGGAACAATTCTACACGTCAGTTACGTAGAATTTAGAGCGATTTTTGATCGAGTGGCATAAGAAACACCACCAACGAAATCACATCAGCCAATCAGATCAAAGGGAAATGTTTCATTGAGCCATTGTGAATGGGAATTTACGCGGATTTTCTGAACCAATCACAGAACAAACTAAATTAAAACCATGGCGACCCCAGCGCTTGTGTGTTTTGTGAGAAATTTCACAAACATGTACCGTAAAGGTTTTCTGTCTCATTCACAGATCCTGGATAACATCACTCTAACAAACCTGGACGTTATTCCATCTGGGCCTGATGCTTCACTCGAGGGAACCTTGCTGGAAAGACTGGATCACTGTTGTACCCCTTTTGGTGAGCACAGAAAATCTTTGATCTTGAATTTAAGACGCTTCTGATATTCCAGCGGATTAGAAAAAAAACATATATGTTTCCACTTTTTACAAGAAAATTACGTTGGAACTTTCTTTATTGTCATAACAGTACTCCGAAAATTTGTCTTAATACCCTCTTTTCCTCTGCAATATCTGTGAGAATAGCTCTGTTCTTCTCGATTAGCTGTTGGTAACTTAACCCATTAACTCCCATGAGTGACTGAATACTAAATACCAAATTCTCCGAACCAACATCATAAGAATTGTATGGCAGACAGTAAGGAGAATTACTAATGAGATCTTGGGAGAAAAAGGGTTCACTGACCTTAGCTATTATCTACTAGCTTTCAGGCGTTATACTTTTACCTAAATTTAAAGAGTGAACATACCTGAGTGAATACGATATTTTAATTCAGAACTTAGCTTTGGAGATTTTCTCAGACACATTTTTGTTCTCTCCACAGGTAAACGTTTATTCAAGCAATGGCTTTGTGCACCTCTATGCAACCCGGCTTCCATCAATGACAGGTCTGGTGTTGCCTCTTCCAGGCTCTCTTTCTCAGAGGAGAAAAGCTTAAGAACAGGCGGGCAAAAAAGTATCTTTTCCGTTTGCTCTGACAACCACTAAGTGTTGCACGCCGGCGATCCGCTCGTCTCCACCGACCGAGAGAGCCTGGAACATACTCGTCTGTTGCAGCCTGTTCAGTCGGTTATATTCTCTTTCAGCGAAAAGTGGCGGTGTGGGGTTATGGGGAGAAAAGTCAGAGAGTCAGATAAAGAATTTTATAAAATCTGCGAACGGGATTTTTGAGCACGATGTTCGATGAATTTGTTTGAAAATTCTTAAAGGCATTTGATGAATCTCTTAGAAAAATATTTCTCTTAGAGTTAGGCAACATGAAGAAAATAAATCGCGTCTCATGCTGTTTAGTACGAAAGATTTGTAACAGTAGCAACGGGTTATTGGTAAGAACAAGAATCCCGAAGATTCTAATACAATTTGTTTTCCATTTCACAGACTCAATTCTGTAGAAGATTTGATGGCTAACCCAAGTTTAATGGCGGAAACAAAAGATGTATTGAAGGCCCTGCCAGATCTGGAAAGACTCTTAAAAAAGTATGAAACTTAATGACATGTCTTTCAAACAATGTATAGAACTGTTTTGTGAACAAAGATATTTTTCTTTCCTTCCCTATGTAGAATACACGCGTTGAGTTTGCCTCGAGACAAGAATCACCCAGCCAATAGAGCAATTCTCTATAATGAAGACACTTACAGGTGCTGGTTAAAGATTTATTTATGTATTTATTTAAGCGCTTTTCGATTGAGTGTCAAACAAACAAAACCAAAGTAATCACAACGGCCAATCAGGATAAAAGAAAATTCCGTTAAGAGCCAATCAGAACTCAAAGTAAAAAAACTGCCTAAAGCGCGGGAAAACGCGGGTGACCAAGTCGTGATTAATTTTAGTTTTGCATCTGATTGGTTGAAGAGATTGGCTCAAGTTTTCTGAACCAATCATGGAGCGAGGTTAAGCAATAACAACGCAAACACAAAGCAATCAAGGATTATTGTCAACACTAAATTGAAAATTGGCGAGTGTGATTATTTTTCTTTCCTCTGTATGCCAGTTCGCCTTCCAAACCACGCTTTTTGACTTAAAATACGACTGTTTTTAAACATGTTGTTGAGACCAGAAAGCTTACTTGACTTAAATGTAAAATAACAGAATTAGCCCGCCAATTATGAAATAAGTCTATTGCTTAATCCTTTTAATATTTCTGTCTTCTGCAGTAAGCGAAAAATAAATGATTTTCTCACGATCTTGGAGGGTTTTGATAAGGCGACAGAGATTACAGCCATGTTCAAAGACCATGCTAGTTCTTTCAGGTAAATCGTTTCTACTTGTGTATATATCCATTCATTCATTATTTATTTATTTATTTCCACACTTGCACTTTTACGAAGCACGTTCAAAGAGTTACATATTAAATGAATTTTGGTTTGCAGGTGATATGAACTGTTCTTTCTTTAAGGTGTTTTTGTGAAAATCTGCTGCAGGAATGATATATTGTCATGTAACCTAATGCATTTAGATTACCTTTGTACAACTAAAGAACTTTCTTGCCCTCTTTACTCGCAGGCTCAAAACTCTTTGTTAATTTTGCAGTTCCAAACTTCTCACTCAAGTTGTCACAGAACAGGACGTTACCGGTTTGTGAAGTTATTGTTTCAAAATTAAAGACAATTTTCAATTGCTTCACTTCGCTTTATAATTTGCCTAGAAAACTCGCGCCATTTTCTCAACCAATCAGATTCAAAACTAAAACCAATCGCTACTTGGTCATCCGCGTTTTCCCGCGCTCTAGGCAGGTTACTTGTTCTTACCTTGAGTTCTTATTGGCTCCTTTTGATATTTTCCTTTGTTGTCATTGGCCGTCGTGATTATTTTGTGTTCAATTTTTACGACACTCAATTGAATTACCCTCTAAGGGCCTATTTACACGGTACGACTTTGTCGCATGCGACAAGCTTACGACAGGCTTACGACACGAATTGTTTCGTGTAAATCAAACCTTCGACGACTCTTAAGTCATGTCGTAGGCCTGTCGTAAGCTTGTCGCATGCGACAAAGTCGTGCCGTGTAAATAGGCCTTAAGATGTTTATGCTTGTATTCTACACACAAACTGTGCAAAGCGCTAACGAAGTAACTCTTCCTTATTCTTTTTAATTCACTCTGTAGCTGGACAGTCGAAAGTTAGTGGGCAGTTTCCGAAGTTGCACGATCTCTTACACGCCTTCAAGGTGCTTTAAATTGCAAATGTTTCTTTTATTGTAGAGTTTTGTTTTTCCTTGTTTGACTACACCTTCACGTAAGGACTATCGAGGCAAATCCGGGTTTTCACAAGGTTACCTTCACCATGCGCTGTGATTGGCCCAGAAAAACTCGCGCCAATCAGATGTAAAATTGAAATCAATTGCAAGTTTTTAACGCGCTTTTTCCCGCGCTTTAAACAGTGTGCTTGTCTTACTTTGAGTTTTCATTGGGTCCTCATGAAATTTCTCTTTATTTTGACTGGTCATTATGTATTCTTTGGTTTTATGTTCCACTGAAAAGCTTTCTCACTATAATTTTAGGATTCTTTGATTCATAACAATATTTTTCTCTTTTCTTCAGCACTCGTTTGATCACAACAAGGCTAGGAATGAAGGCGTTATATTGCCTAAGGCAGGTGAGGATAACGTGTTCTTTGTTCAGGAGATATAAAATCGTGAAGCAAATTGTTCTAATGTTGTTCACCAATTTTAACGGCAGGGGTTGATCCAGATTATGATCAAGCCATAGCAGATATTCAGTCCATGCGCACCTGGTTTGACCAATACCTGAAGAAACAATGCGCTACACTGGGCTGCAAGGTGAGTAACAACACCCTGTATGCATCACGTCAGAGAAGAGTCTGGGTCGAGAGATACACTCGGTCCAATCTCCTAGAGATAAGAGCTCTTCGGATCCTTGGAAGAATTGCAGACCAAAATTAGTCTATAAGCGAGATACAACTTAATTTTTTTTTTAACAATGACAATATTTCAGGAGGTACACGTAGGTTTAGAAATTAAATGTGAACGTTATGAGGATAATTTTACCAGGTTTTTTCCTTTTTATGATTTTTATTTCTTTTCTTTTCTTTTCTTTAGGCTACGTATTGGGGCTCAGGTATGATTGAATGTATTGTATGAGTTGCAAATGAAATAGGTTTGGTCTTGGAAGTGTATGTTGTACCTCCCGTCTTAAAAGCATCTCTTAGTATGAGCCTCTTCAAACCGTCATTTCTTCTAGTGTATGAGCAACACTGACTTAAAAATTGTCTCCGTCAGACATTATCCTTTCTTTTTTAACGTTCAGTCATAAGGGGTTTTCCTACTTTAGGGGGGATCGAATGCTGGTTGATCACAGGCTAGCCCCAGCTTTTCGTAAAAATTTCACCAGTATTTGTTTGTACTCCTGGGTGGAGAAAGGCGCTGGGAGAAGATATTGTTTTGTTAAGAATGCATCACGATTATCCGGCGAGAATTTTGACCCAGAGTTCAGTGTGCTAGCCGTTTTACTATCGCGTCTACCTGAATTTTCTTAATCGCTGTAAGCCATTTTTAAAACACATATGGTCCTTTTTGCTGGATTTCAGCCAAGAACCGTTATCAGCTTGAAATTCCTGACTCCGTCCGTAAGATTCCCGACGAATACACCCTGCAGTCGCAGAAGAAAGGATTTAAACGATACTGGACAGCAGCGATTGAAGAGAAACTGGCGGAGTTAGTGGAAGCCGAGGAAAGACGAGAGGAAGCTTTGAAAGACACTATGAGACTTGTGTTTCACAAATTTGATCAAGAGTTAGTATAATTACTCTTATTAAACTCAGCTTTGTTTTTTCTCATACATGGAATAAATGTTCATTTTATTTCGTCTAGAAGAAACGGGGGGGGAATTTTTGGCGGGAAAACGTTTATACTGGAAAAAAGCGCGGGAAAATGTGTGGACGGCGTCGGATACCGATCATAGCGCGGGAAAATAGGAATATTGGAAACCGTTTAAGTTGCACAGTTTGGTCTTTGAAGAGCGAACTTCTTTTCCCTTGATTTTCTCATTTAGGTACAAGACGTGGGATAAAACAGTACAGTGTCTGGCTGTATTGGACTCACTGATAAGCCTTGCATCCTGCAGGTACAAAAAAATTGCCTTTTTTGTTGGCTCTCTTTCTCTTTCTTGTGAAACATCCAAAAAAAAACAAAATTCATTGTAAATTCCTCAGTTCGCAGGCTGACGGTCCGATGTGTAGACCTGATATCGTTCTTCCCGAGCAGACTTCTGATGAAGAATTTCAGGTATTACTTGTGGTAATTAAGATCATTGTAGAAACATTCATTGGAGCAACTGTTTACCCTCTGGGAATTTTGGGTAGAAGGCCGATGGTTTTTCTCGTAAAGTGAAAAAATGAAATACATGGGTTTGTTGGTGAAATTTCCCAGAATCGCATCGGTTTGAGATTGGATGAAATTAAAAAGAATAAAGTGGTAAGTTTCTAAGAAACTGTGGTGCTGCGTCAGTAGGGGAGTGTAACAAGATAAGAAGCACTTATTGGATGAGGTTGAGTATGATATCATGAATTATCAATGCCGAGGTCTGAGTTATTTGCCGAAGCCGAAAGCTGAGTCAGATAACACAGACACGAGGTTTGATAATTCATGATATCATGCGCAAGCCGAATTCACTAATTATTTTATTGTACATTTTTTAAACAATCTGCCAAAGGAGACACCTCTCCGAGAGAACACTACATTCATGAGGGGCGTGGAAACTAGGCAGACTTTAAACTCGACATAATTACCTAATATCTGCTGCAAGTATTGGGTTATCATGTCAACTTACCACACTATTGTATAATGACTATATGCTCACAATTAATCAGAGTTTTGATAGGAAGTCTAATGTATAATAATTTGGTTTTGTCAACTGAGTTGACAACGTAAATTGGCCACTGTTCACCCTTCCTAAGAGCAAATAGTGACTTTTCGTCCACGTCCGTCTGTAGGTCGAATGAAAATCTGGAGTTTTGTGGTTTTGTGGAAGACGGAAAATTCGGGGTCATAAATTTAGGTGGCGTGTGAGCTAACCCCCATTATTAGCTTTGTGACACGAGCGTTACTCTTCTCGCGAGAAAGTTTAAGGCCTTAAAAAAAGGCGAGTTGGTGAGGGGTCAGTGTGGGGTGAGCCATTTTCCTGCTTGAACCCTTGTGGACCTCTCGCGCGCTGATATCGCACAACGACTTGAAACGCACGGGCTTCGGCAGTCGTATTGCAGCGCCACTGAGAGCCTGCTCTTAGATTTAACTCTCTTTCAACAGCCTTTCTTGGAAATCCGAGAAGGACGGCACCCGTGCATTTCACGCACGTTCAGTGGCGGCGATTTTATCCCAAATGACACAGTGATTGGGATGCAAGATGTAAGTATCTTTTGTGTATTTGTTTGCTTGTTTCTTTATGTTTCCTCTTCTAATCCTTTTTTCCGTTTGGGTGGCACATTCCTATTTTCTGCTTCACAGCTTGACGAAGAAGACAATAATATGTAGTTCTATAAGTAACCAGTATGTTGAGTAGTTCCCATTATCTTATCTTATCTTCTCCCTAGGACAATGACTGCGAGGAGACAGCGGTCAACAGTCAAAGCACCTGCGTACTGGTTACTGGGCCTAATATGGGCGGCAAATCAACGCTGATGAGACAGGCTGGACTGATCGTTATCATGGCTCAAATGGTGATTATTTGAGAGATCATTTGCGTCGAGCAAAACAACTATTATGCTAGTAAACAAGACCACAAAATAACAATTTGCAAGAGAAGAGAAACGTTCTTTGGTCCTTTTGAGTGCAGATGGCTCAGAAGAAAAGGTTTACAAGAAAATCACGGTTGCTGATCCTACCTCATGTAAAAAAAAAAAAAAAGAAAAAAAAAAGGCCATCAAATCCGGCAGTTGCGCGCAACATTTGGACACAGTTTTGGTCCCGTGTGTGGCAATTTGAAAGAACTCATCTTCAAAAGGTTCAAATGCCTGGGGGTTGCCGGGGCAGTAGGGGGGGGGGGGGGAGAAGGGAGGGAATGTTGAAGCTATGAATTGATCGACGCAAAACGATGGAGAAGATTGACTCGAATTTGAAACAACGAGGTTGAAACATTTGGCACTGACAAGGAGAATTTTTTTGACAATCAGAAGCTTTTTAATTTGGTGATCAATTCCTTTATTCTCATGTTCTTTATATTTGATTCAAGGAAGATATTCTAAGGAGAAGTTAGAAGCCAGTCACTCTTAGGGGGTTAACTTTGGCTCCCCTTACTAAAAACTATCCGCACCTTTTAGGGCTGTTATGTTCCAGCTGAGAAGTGCCGCCTCTCTCCTGTGGATCGAGTCTTTACTAGGCTGGGAGCGCACGACAGAATCCTGTCAGGTTGTAAAAAACTATCATTTTAGCTCTTGCCTAGACACTGTTTCTAAGCAGTTTTATGAGAACTCAAGATATGATAGACAAATGTTTTGTATTGGATTTTAGACTGGTAGTTCTGTGCTCGGGCACAGGCCATTGTACTGTCACGGGGCCTCTTTTAACTCAACTGGGTGCTGCGAATTAATAGTAGATAAACCTTATGAATAGCTGTGGGAATATGGAAGGAGGAACAAGTATCCTTCTATGTATTTGCATCTTTCATTTTATGGCTGGCCCTGCCAAGATAAGGCAAAACCTGCGATCTGATCGGCTACCCGAGCCAGTCTTGCCCACTCAACTCTGAAGCTGCCAACATCAAAGCATATTGACCAAACAATCTTAGCCAAGAACACAAACTGTTTCTTGAGTTTCATAACCCAAAGTTGTACTATGTTTTGGAAGCCGGACTAAGATAACAAAACTCCTTGTTTTCAAATAGAAATATCAACAGAAAATAGGATAATTGTTGCTCTGTCGTTATCGATTCAACAAATCGATCCCATGTTGCCTTGCGTCTGTTAAGTAATAGATCACAGATGACGTCAAGATGTGGTAAGAACAAAAAAGAATCACGAGGCACAGTGTGTCACTGATGTCCTTACCACATTTTGACGTCATCTGTGATCTTTTGCTGCACAGACACAATAAAGAGCAAAAGCAACATGTGGTTGATGGTGACGTCATCTATGCTCTGTCCTCCAATAGATCATGAGTAGGAACCAATCAAATTGCGTGTATAATTCAACATATATATATTCCTGAACTGATCCTTCTTTGTCTGAAAGGTGGTGATCCTCTTTATAAAAACTGAAATTTATACTCCTTCTCCCTTTTCTAATCAGGTGAGAGTACTTTCTTTGTCGAACTGAGCGAGACTTCAACCATTCTCCGACATGCGACGAGGCATTCCCTTGTTCTGGTGGATGAACTCGGTCGTGGCACTGCAACATATGACGGTACAGCCATTGCTTGTGCAGTGGTTGGTGAACTTTCACGTCACATCAAATGCAGGACACTGTTTTCCACACACTATCACTCACTGGTCGAGGAGTTCTCCGCTGACCCGAATGTTCGATTAGGGCATATGGTGAGTTACTCAAGATAACCGAGACAACCCTCCCCTTTTTCTCTTCACACTTAAGAGAGGTCATTTACAAGGCTGCTACTTTGCTTGCTCTATTTCCCTACCCTCTCATCCCTGGTCTTTCGCTGCTAAATCGGAAATTAGCCTCCCATACTATTGACGAAGTGTTTCAATTTTTACGTGATGGGCGATTTTGAGAGTAACCAAGACAGAATTTTCCTTACAATATCAATACAACATCAAGCAGATAAGAGATGAGAATAAAGAAAGATCTTAACTAGGGGATTATTAGTTGATCCAATACCAAATTCTCAAAACTAATATCACAAGAACTATATGGCAGACAGTAAGGAGAATTACTAATGAGATCTTGGGAGTTAAAGAGTTAAAATAAAAACTGTATCAGTGGCACGGACCAATCAGTAGAGAGGAACATATTGCAAGGAGCCAATGACAACTCTAAATTAGACACGTTTTACCGAGTGGGTTTTCTCACGTATCTGATTGGTTAAGAGGGGACGTAAGTTTTTTTTTTTACCAATCAGAGCGCGGTAACGGAAAACCAAAGCAGTACTGGATTATTTTAAGACTTTCAAATGACAATTGCCAAAATCAGGTTTTCTTATTTTAGGCGTGCATGGTTGAAAATGAAGACGAGACTGATCCAAGTAAAGAGACAATAACATTCCTGTACAAGTTCGTGAAAGGCGCCTGTCCGAAGAGTTACGGATTTAATGCAGCAAGGCTTGCTGGGATACCGGATGAGGTAAATCATCTATCAGTACATCTTAGTTGCGTCCAATTTTGGCGAAATCCAGGTTCTTATAGGGATGTTTAGTTATTGTGCTGTGCTTAAACATTCAGGTTTGCGATTGAAACTGAAATGTGTAAACATTCAATTTGTACTGGTTACTTTTAACTTTTCAGTCTGTGGGTAAAATTTCTTTGTGTAACCTTTTAAGTGAAAGCTACCGAGCTTTCATCCCATGTGTTATTTTCCAATGTTTTTTTTTTGTTTTTTTAAATTTCCAATTTATTTCTCTTCTTCTAGGTAATATCTGTGGCTGTAAATAAAGCTCGACAATTTGAGGAGACTACAGATCGCGTCAAAATTTTCAGGTAAAGGAAACTTTAGATCAGTAAATGAAACCTTTTTATCTGGAAAATCTGCTTTCAATTTTGACTTATTTACCTCTTTCTTTGTTGTTAGGTCGCTGCTTAACTGCAAGACAGGGGATATAAAACAGCTACAGAAGCAAATAATGTGTAATTAGTATTGAAAGTGGGCAAAGTAGAATGTTACTGCTTTGATTTTTCTGAGCCAGATGAAGAAGTTCAAATTGTTCCTGTTTTAGAACACGTCAATAAAATTTTCATTGATGTTTTGAGCGCTTCTTGTCTTTTTTAAGTGTACTGTTTACCTTCATAAATTCTGTTGGAAATTATTTTGCTTTGCTAATGGTGTTTATTAGAGCAATCTTCAATTGTTTCGAAAGTAATCCGGGACTTCTTTGGTTCTTTGATGAACAGCGCTCTGATTGGTCACGAAAACTTGCACCGTTATTTTAACCAATCAGATGCAAAAACCAATCGAGTTTTTCCCACGTTTCAGGAAGTTTGTTTGTGTGTGTCCTTAAGATATTTCCTTTGTTATGATTGGTCTTTATGATTAGGCACGGAACCGATGTGCGCAGCAAGCATTAATTACAAAAACATGGCTTTAAAAGTTGCTGAATTTTATTAGAAATTATTTTCCTTTCACGAGGCTTATTTTAATACTGTACGACCTGCACAGCTTAGAGATATATCACCGTTACTTTCCCAGACGAATTTTTACCACGACTAAAAAGTTTTACCCTAAATGATTGCTCTTCGAACATTCCACAAAACACCATTTTGACTCCTTTTCGAAACTCAAGAATACGAATGTAATAGATGGAAGGCGTCAGTGCAGTACGAAGGAAGGTGAATGCGACGCACAACCGAAAGGCTGCAAAAAACCAATCATGTTGTGCACAATTTGAGCAGTAAACCTCGTACAATAGTAAATTCCAATATGGCAACAAAGAAATGGCAAAAAGGAGTACCACAAATATAAACGCGCTCGACAGGAGTATTTGTTTTTTGAGTCTTGTTCTGCATCTTGATTTTTTTCCAGAGGAACTATCACAGGGGTCTTGTTCCGCATATAGGCCATTAAATCTCCTCAACGCTTTGTAAAGCAGTGCTGTTAATGTAATCGTAGCGGCGAGTGGAATAACCACGTTGAAATGTAAATCTAACTTTCGTATCCACCGCTGAGCGGCAGCTATCTCGAAAATTGAAAAACCCACAGAGTAGACGAAAATGCTTGCCAAACCTATCAGAGTATTTTTCATTTTATCTGCACGAGGATGGAAAACTGGATAAGAAATATTTCCCAGTCTCTCCACCGAAAATGCGAGCATAACATAGTTTTCTGTGCGGATCAACAATGAGAAGGATATTCTTGAAAAAGCGCTCATAGAGTGAGCGGTATCTTCGATATCTTGTGCGCATGTTATGTAGCTTTCTGCTGCCGCTGTACTGACTACGCTTCCAAACAGCAGATGCAGAATAGCCAGGCTTGTGACATAAAGTGAAGTTGTTGACTTCAGTGATTTAGTTCGGTCTTTGTACAACACAATCAGAAGACAACTATTCAGTACCACTGCCATAAGAGAAAATAACAACATCAATACTGCGCCTGAAATGCATACGGTTGACTGGAAGTCACTTGCCATGTTGTCCAGTTCCGCTTCCGGTAGACCGTTTGGTTTCCAGCGGTATGGTTATCTTTAGGTCTGTACAGCGTACAAAATTATCCACCCTCTGTAAAGATATACCAATAAATTATGCATTTCCCCTTAGAACTCAAAGTTAGCTAGCTCGGTAATGATTTTGAAATAATTTCTGGCGAGAAACAAACGATTAGAGATAATGGCCTTGTCCAAAAATTTTTTGTTATTTTGGTAAAATTCCATGCACAAATTTTCTTAACCTTTTCATGCTCGAATTTATAATTCTGTGTAAAGACGGCGGGTATCGAGTTTCTGCACCAATCACAGAGCGAAGTTTAATTGAAAATCGCCTTATACGGAATAAATCGAGGTGACATTTAGGAAATAGCGATGATTAGAAAAACCAGGGATAGGCTCATTTAGTTTTTGAAAACAAATAGGAATGCAAATTTTCACTTGATTAACGCCCGCCATTGTTGTTTGCAAATTTCGGGGTAAAATCACTTGTAGGATGCATTGATGTGGATCCAGTCTCCCCCTCTCAAGTCTCCTTAATCATCGACATGAAATGTGTTAATGAAACTCTTCCGGTTGCGACTTTTTCAATTTACTCTGTTTGCCATGTTTTAGGTGAATTTAATCGGGAAATTGGAAGAAATTTGCAGAACATCCTAATTCATTTAAAACCGGAATCAAACATAAAGCCAGTTCCAAAGTAGTCTTTTTTTAACATACAATACTCATGGTGTATTTTACCTCAAAACACTGAAAATTATTCTACCTCGGGAACACTTTCCGTTTCAAGGAAATTCGATGATTCAAATGACCTATTACTAAATTAAAACAAAACTACATTTCTTACCAACAATTTTAACGACAAAATCATTTTGTTATGACTTTTCTTGTACCGTTTTTCCAACTTCAAAACTACACTCATACATATTTTAACTGCCTTTTAATTTGGTTACCTAGTCCCACACTGATCAGATGTGATCATTTCTAGTGTGAAAATTCATTAAAACAAACAACACCAGGAAACAAATTTTTTTCGAAAATTGGGTTGAATATCTTGCTTTTATAATACATACACTCTTTGGTTGTTTTAATGTTTCCCGTATACCATCTATTTTTTTTGGTGGTCAGACAGACGGTGGATTTTAATTGAATAGCCTTACGGCATGAGATCAATTTTTTTTGTAAAACGAGACAGTAAAAAAATAAACAATACGTTTTGGATCTGAAATAAATTATTAAGTGATTACCAGGCTGCAGTAAACCACTCTCTGAGCTTAGGGATTTCCAATTATGAAAATTTAAAAACAAAAACCACAATTCCACAAACGAGGTGAATGAAAGGTAAATGTCATTAGAAAAAAGTAATAACTTTAAAGATCTATAGTTTTGAAGCAAGAATTGAAGAAAGTATGGTAAAGGATAAATGATAAAATGACTCTCTATATCTTCTGTTATGTGTTTCTTTTCTTTCTCTACAATGAGAATTTATCGTAAATATTTTTACTGTAATCCGCCTGGTTTTATGTTGTAATGTTTGTCTACTCTGATAAACTTCAACGTTTTGTCAATGAAAGTCAGCTCTCTTTGTTACCAGATATGACTCCAAAATTGGTGGTCTTCCCAGCTTTTTTAACGCCATAACAAAGAGAAATTGTTTAACTTCACAGGTCACAAAGTGGTCTTAACCGACCGCTGAAAAAAATAAAATTCCCAGCTCTCTTGAAACTATGACAATGGTTGGATGTATGGAAGAATTTCGCTTTATCATACTAAAAGCATCGGTTTCCCTTTTCCTGGAAAATTTCTTATTGTCCGAAACAATGACCTGATTATTTCAAATCGCACGAAAATTTCTACATATGCCTTCTACGGGAAAAAGCGACCTAATTTTCGATAGACAAACGTGCAGTTTCTGTGATATCCGCTTGGGCTAATGGTAGCGACTTCAAGCATAATTTCAACATATCATTTCAATACGCCAACTCTTGATTAAACTTACAAATACGTTTTAGATAAAAGATAAAAATGAGTGAACCTTACCTGAAATTAGTCCGGCTGCGACAATTATAAGACAGCGAGTTGAAGTTCAAAAAACAGATGGATAGAACAAAACTAATTTTCTCATCTAGCATGAGAACCCAATTACTTTGCTCGTAATGCCGCAAGACCTGCAAATATTTTAACTTTATATGGTTAATCAACCACATGAATTTGCTGTCGCAAAGCTCAACAAACACTGGGCAAAACAACAAACAATAAAAGATGAAATAAGTACTGTTCAATATTCATGTAAATTAAACTAGAAACATATTCATATTAAAAAAATAATTTACCACAGGCGAGTGGTAGACAAAACGAAACACAAGATAAATGGAAGACATCATATTTTAATAATTTAACAAGGTAAAATTTGAATTAACCAGGTTGTTAATTCGACGGCATCACATACATAAACTCCAGAGCTTCTTTTCAGCTATTTAATGTAAAGTTACAGTGTTTTCTTAATTCACTCATCTCTTTCGTTGATCACCGAAACGCGTTCAAAAATAAATGCAAAAGCGGTGAGTGTTTAATTTAAAGCGAAAATAATTGCTAAAAAAACAGCTCTTCTGGGACAGCTTTAATAATGATGAGCGTACAGGCGTTTTTTTTTTTTTTTTGTACGCTCCTCCTATCGCGCACGACTTACACTTCGCACACGCCTCACGCTTGCCTCCTTTCGATTGAAAACAGGAAGTAAATTAGATCTGTTCTGCAGGGCGCCAAACAATCACCTTGGCCTTTCGTGAGTAATTTGCAGTTCAGTCTCGTTTACCGGCATGACTTGGCGACCACGTGCAGTTTAATGAGATAAACCTTACATAATAACACGAACAGAAGGTTGAACAAAACTGAGGACTTTCCTATTATACATGGTCTTGTTTAACATAATTCAGAGAGCGTTAAAATCTTCCAGTTCTGTTGAACGTTGTTTCAAAAATCTCATGTTTCCTTTTACTGCAGAAAGCAAAAGCGTTCGGCAACCTGCCATTAGCGCTGAGCGACTTCAAAAGCTCCTTGTAAGTCTTTCCCTAACCGCATTGATTGGAAACCGCAACGCAAAAAGATTGAAGTGATTGTTTTTCCTCCAAGAACGGTCAGTGTCGTTACTGTGCGACCACTCTCTCAATAGCGTCACAACTATTTGTCCGAGAGTTTTCGGGTTCCACGTGATACGAAGATACAGGTCGAAAACTGTCCGAGCGAGTAACTTAGGCACACCGAGGCCTTGATAACGCCGTTGTTATGTGAACAAGTAAATCCAACAATTAGGTTAGTTTGTTTGATATCAGTTTATTCAATTCACTACTGCGAAGGAAGCGAAACGTGATATGTATAACAATTATCAACTGAAAGGGAGGTCAATAATGGTGGATATTTACCGAGCAGCGAAGGACTGAGACTGGGCAAATATCCACTTCTTTCACCGACTCTGAGGTGGATAATTGTTTTAGTATATGTCTCACAGAAATCGAGAAATTAGCTATTTCTGTCAATATTCCACAAAGTGGTCGGAAATTAAATTCTTGACGCGCGACTCGTCGGAGGTGAACAAAATTTGTCAATCACTTCCGAACTAGCCAATCAGCGCGCGCGAAAATGTTTGGTTTATACCACCCGAGGCGTGCGCTGGACAACTACTAAAAAATCACACAGTAAAAACCCTTTTCCTTTTTTTCTTCAAGTCAGATCAAGAAACTCGTACTTCATCGAGAACTGCGAGTCATTTTTCTCATCTATTTTATTTTTCAAATAAGTCCACAATTTCAACCCACTTTTAAGGGAAACGCAAAAGAGTCGTGTGAGCGCAAAGCTGGACTGCTTTTTCTGGGCCGGCTCACGTCAACGCGTTCGGCCCGACACACGTCAGCTTTCACCATGGTTTTCTAAGACATTGAGAACACGGTGTCTCTGTAAGTTATTTCAGAATTGAACTGTGCACTGATTGCCCTTTAATCCGTTCTATACTGAGAAACATGATCAGAAAAATTCACTCTTGTCATCTGACTGGGCTGTTCTTCTTGAAGTCTTTAGTAAATTTTAGAATAGAGAGTCTCTCTCTTCCTGCTTTTCTTTTCATTAAAACTTCACCACATAAGCCTTGGGACTCCAACATACTTATGACCTCGTCTGATGAAAGTGAAAAGAAAAGTAACACGAATGAATTTTAAAGAAACCGCAAGGAACTAGTAATGTGGAAATTATTCTTTGTTCACGCAATAACAAGGTCAGAACACAACAGCAGGAGCTAAGTTCCCCTCTCCTTGCGAGAACTGCATTGGCTCTTTAACATCTCACGTAAACCAGTACATGGAAGATACAGGATATGGGACCATAGCAAAGGCAGCACATTCTCCTCAGTTATGTTAAGACCCTGAGTGTTGGTCCGATCTAGAGCTTAAACTCTCGACCTTCCGCACGGCAGTCCGGTGCTCTACAACGTGACTGACCAAGCAGAAATATCATCTCCATCGAAACTGTATCGCGAAACAATATCATCTAAAAGAAACTGCCGACGGAGAATACTCACCAAGAACAAGTATGATACTTGTATCATAGAACAAGTATGATACTTACCTGTGCTTTTAGCGCGTATTCAATTGAGTGTCGTAAACCTTAAACCAAAGTTATCACGGAGGCCAATCGGAGCGATACAAGATATCAAAAGGAGCCATTGAGAACTCAGAGTAAAAACATGAAAACTTATTAAATGCGGGAAAAACGTAAGTGACCAAGTCGCGATTGGTTTCAGTTCGGCTCCTGATTGGTCGAAAAGGTGGCGTGAGTTTTCTGGACCAATCACAGAGTAAAGACGAGCAAAACCATGGCAGCCCGGATTGCTTTCGAAAATTAATTGAAAATGGCTCTATTGGCATGATTCATGTCTTCAAAAATTGTGAATTTAGAAAAAAGTTGACGTTTAAAATTGATAATTTTTAACAGAAAATAGTAAAATACCGCTACATGAATCAGATATACACTATTCTGCTCCTACCTGGTTTATTTTCTGCCACAGTAACAAGATAAAAACATCCTGTGTTGGACAAAAGAGTGGATACAAACGGGAAAAGACGATCCATTACCTAAATTGACACAAAAACAAAAGATACATTGATTTCATGACTATTGAACTGTTGTATCATTTAAGGCTTGCAGAGAGCCTCCTTATTCGTGTGACATCTTTAAATGTCTGTGGAATTGAAATATGTGACATAGTAGCTTACAGGGGCTTAAAAACAAAATGCAAAATATTTCAAGAAAATAAAACTTAAGACAGTTGTCTGGTCTTTCACAAAGTAAAAGTCTCCATCAAAAGACTCCAGCTAATTAGAGTGATTTGTTTAGGGACTTAAAGGGAATTTTAGGGAATGTGTTATCGTTCTCAATACTTAGTCCCAAGAATAACTTAGTTATTATATAACTGTATGTATAACCAAAGAGTCGTTTGTCCATCAATGTCCACCACTTCCTGTACTTTCATTTGTAGCTGCGTTGCTATGTTACGAATGACAGGCCAGCTCGTTGCTGGGGGCCGCGTGCGCGTGTGTGAGATGAGATAAGTTAAGTTTGTAATAACGTGGGCGGTAAAAGCAGTGTTGTTGTGAGTGTAAAACCCGTAAATAAAGTTGTCAATACATTTTCAAGCAGAAAGGCCTGTTAGAAAAAAAAAATTCTTGTAGCTCAATTTTCAGAAATGTATGGCACACAGTGAGGAAGACTGTTTTCGAGATCTTGCGGGGAGCAGAAGTGTTAGGAAATCACACAGAGATGTTCCACATTGCAAATTTAACACTTTACACCCTAACATCAGTTTGCATATTCTCCATACATTTCTCTCTACATTTCCTTTGATGCTGACAAGGAGAATTTGTTTAACAATCAAATTTTCTTAAGTTGGTGATCATTTCCTTTATTCTCATGATCTCAATAACTGATTCAGCAGTATTACTGTAAGGAGAAATTAGACACTGGTCACAAAAAGGATTCTTATGATATATAGGTACCTCTGTCCCTCCCACTTCCTGTACTTTCATTTCTAGTCGCGTTGTTATGTTACGAATGACAGGCCAGCTTGTTGCTAGGGGCTGCCTGTGCATTTGTGAGATGAGATGAGTTGAGTTTGTAATAACATGAGAGGTAAAAGCGGTGTTGTTGTGAGTGTTAAACCTGCAAATAAAGTTGTCTAAAATGGACCAGCCGAGTTTAATTGTCATCCAGCAATGACAGGTACCTCTCTTCCTCTGTCTCCACCCGCCCAGGAAGCCTCAATGCTATGACTGCCAACCTTGTAAGAACAAAAAGACAAAAAATAAAATTTGTCATATGGAATCAAAAAATTTATATCATTAGGAAATATTAATATCAAAGGAGCCTGCTACTACCTCATCAGAAGCAGTGACAACATAGGGTGGGTTGAAGATCAATACATCAACTTTTCCAAAAATATTTGGAATAAGGCCTTCAACCTGTGAAGTAGAAAATAGTTTTACGTGATGTCAAGGGAAGGCTGTTGAACAAATTTCCCTGAAAAGGTTAGCTTAATAAAAAGTTTACTAGCAATTTGTTTGTTTGCTTAGTCATTCTTTTTTAATGAACTCAGAGGACATTTATAAGTACCTGAAATCTTACACATGTCTATAAAAAAAACTTTCAGTCTGTAATATTTAATTTATTTTACTGGGGAGGGCCAGTCAAACCAATAAAGTAAGAAAAACAATAAAATCTTCCACAAAACTTGTAAAGAAAGAAGAAACTCATTAATCATAAGATATGAATTATTTTGGCAAGTGAAATCTGACTCAATGCCAACAAGGAGAACTACAAAAAATGAGTTAAAATGTTCGTCCAAAACTCTGAACCATATTTTTTTTCCTCACAACTGCACTAAAACTTACCAAATCTGTTACAACACAACTAACTTTCACTCCATTCTGCTTTGCCGTTTGTGATGTGCATTGAGCAGCCATGGGGTTTATGTCAGTAGCTCTGGAACAATTACAATAACCAAAAGTATTCCTGATTTTGAAGGTATCCAAAATAAACAGTACAACAAAATAATGTAATTACTCTATAAACATACAACTTCTCCATATCTTAGAGATGGCTGATCAATGGGATATGATATTGCATTGATCCCCTAAAAGACTATCTCCAAATTTTATTTGGGTAATTAATAGTTTTAAGTACATTTTTGAGCCAGAAATAGGTTTATATTTTAGCAAATTACTTTCCTTGGCATTTGTTTCAAGCAATATTTATGGTTAACCTTACTGTGACAACCTGTGAAAATATTCTTTTTTCTCACCTTCATATTTCTAGGCTCTGTTGTTCTATTAGTCTGGCATTTTTGTTTTGGTTTAATTTTTAGTTTTCTGAATATTGATGTAGGAAGGATTTCAAAGCAGGGGGCAATATGTAATGATTATTCGCCGATGGCAGAGAGAATATTGTTGAATAATCCTTTGAACAGGGGTGAGGCTAATGATGACCTTGTTATGATGCAAACATCGCTACTTTTCAAAGGTAAATTACTTTGCTATCATGCTTACTAAATACTAGTCTCTATCACAACATGGTCACCTTCAGCCTTACTCCAAATCAAAGGCTTGACAACTAAGTATACAACTGTAACATTGCGCCATTAAAAATACCACAATTTTAAAAGAACTGTTAAATGAGCGGACTTAAAAGCGGGTGGGGGGGGGGGGGCACTAAAGCGAAACTTCTTATGGGTGGGGGGAGGTCGTAAATGTTTCTTCACTTGCACTTCAGTACCATCATAAAGCCTGAATGAGACTCTCGCGGCCCCACTGGTCGATCCTAGTACAGTAATCCTTGTACAGTAAACAAAACTCACACGTAGTGGGTGAGGGATCCGATAATGGAAGCCAAAAAAGTTATTAGGGCACCGGATCCACTGCCAACCTCCACGCATAAAAGTGGCCTGTGAAGAAAACAATGGAATTTAATCAAAGCTTAGATAAATTCTGGTTGTGTCTGCCAGAGATTTCACTGGAATCAAGCAAAAATTCTTTGCCTTCGTGCTCTCAAGAAATCTGCGTCTTTCTCCAAAGCATCCATCATAAGAAATGTATCTTCTGCAGGCTCATAAACATGCTGGTAATCTTCTTGATTAAGATGCGAAAACGACGGAGTGGGAAAAGACATTGGAAGGGTGAAAATAACCTAAACAAACTTTGGGGTCTTTCAGTGTAGTTCGTCCGCCATCTTTTCCGTAAATGTTGTTAAGAGCCTGGTGATTAGTACTTAACCTTACTCTCATGTTTGTTTTCTGTCTGTCGCAGCTTGGAATGGAGCCCGAGGTAAAGCGCCTTAAAACGGACAAAAAATCTATGAAAAATGGCGTGGCTGATGAGAAATTTATCATCTCAGACGAATTTTCGGATTCTGAGAGAAGCACCACCGATAATCGTGGCGATCGGGCAGAACGCGCGCCCGACGCGGGAAATGAGCAACTTCCGGTCTGTAAACATGGTCTGGAGTGCAACGAAATAGATTTGATCCACTTTGCAGAATTCTGGCATCCGACAGATACAAAACTAGAAGATTATGAAAATAACAACGTGGAGGCCGAAAAACATGAAGAAGAGGAATGCGATATGGTGGAGTTGCCGAATTACCAGGTTGAATGCACCCAACCGGTTTTCGACGACGAGGATTATTCTGACGATGAGGAAGAAAATGACAAAGATGATAAATTCTTCCCGTCAAAATCACGCGAAGAGCATTCAAGTGGCGATAGTTTGGGATCGCAGTAAGTATTTTTAGAATGAGCAGGGAATAAGCTCTTATCAAACATAGAATGAGAACAAAGGTTGGCAGCATGTTAGATTTGCAACAGCCAGCTGCGCTTGATGTGACTTGCCAGTTGTCACGCGAAAAACAGCTTCGAGTGTTTTTGTATTCGCGAGGGGAAGATTTATGAAGAGAGGCGCTTAATAATTCCATTTTACATCTTAAAGGCAAAATTATTTATTTTGTTGATGAACTAACACATCTAATATAACTGATAAGATACTAGGACATTTACATAACAATTGTAGACGACACTTGAAGCCATAACCTTGAAAGCTGTCTAAAGTTTGTAATGGACAGTGCAGTGTTCTTTAGATTAACAAGTCTGATGGTCGCACAAAACTAGACAGTTTGGCGCGATGATTTTTAAGCTCGTGTGAAAGTGTGAGTCCCCCCGATAGAAAAAAACAAATTTTCCGGGATTTTAACCCATAATTAAAATTATGGAGTGTTAATTGTACTTAATTTACTTACGTCTTTTGTTCATTATTGAATGTTCCGTTGTAGTGTTATCCATGAATCAAACTCATCTGAGTTTCTAGGGAATTTTTTCTCGCCCTATGGCTTCAGGAAATAAATGTTGATCGCTGAATTCCGGCAAAAATTGTCTTTCAGATTGTCAAGAAACGACACAGTTTTAAGTCGTGGTCCCAGCATCGTAAAGTGCTACTCTCTTCTTTCCGAATCCGAACGCCGGGAACTCATAAGAAGGGCCTTTGAAATGAAAGATCTCTTGAAAAAGGAACTTGATAAAACGTTAGAAATTATTGACGAGAAGAACAAAGAGCTCAGACGGGTGCATTCTCAGCTAGAGAGAGGGCAACTGATGGTTGATGGAGAAAAGGAGGCTTTGGATAAAGATGACTTGTGCTATTTTCCACTTTTTGCTGAGAGGGAGTACAAAGAGGGATCAGCCGCTCAGATGCATTTTCGTCTTGCAGGTTAGAAATGCAAGGCATGAGGTGGGGCAAGGGGGAGGGGGGCATCCCCTATAAAAAACTGGGGGTTAGAAAGATTCTCTTAAATTAGCATGCATATTCTCCATACTGTTCTCTATACATTTTTTAAGGTGCTGACAAGGAGAATTAGCTTAACGATCCCAAGCTTCTGTAGTTGTTGATCATTTCCATTATTCTCACGACCCTAATAATTGATTCAGGGGAGATATTGTATGGAGAAATTAGATGCTAGTCACTCTTAGGGGTTAAAAGGGGTTAACTGGAAAACCGTCATAGTTCCTCGGGCCTGTTTGTTGACCCAAAGTACAAAGAGTTCTAAGTGCTGGGTTATAAAACCAGGCTCTACTTGCAAAAGCTGTAAGAAGTCTTGGAGTACCTCTTTCCAAGGCAGCATTAGAGGAAGGGAGTCTCCTCTTCTTCCTGTTCTCTTCGACATCCCACATGTGAGACTCTTTTCCATTGCCCTCCTCTTTGAAATGCTGTGGATTAATTATTAATATATGTTGACTTTGTTTTTGTTCTTTCATTTCTCTTTCTCTTCCCAGACAAGGAAGAGAAGAGAGGGAATAATTTCCATTCCCTCCCTCCCTCCCCCTCCCTCCCCCTTCCCCCCCTCCCCATGACTACAAACAACTCCTTTATTCCCATTTGTTTCCAAATTTTCTGTACCTGACTGTTCTTAGCTGTGTACATCAATTTACTATAAGTCATGGTTAAACCCAACCTTCACAATCAAATTTTGGTACCAAAAGTTTCCACCATAATTTTTATTCAATCTTTTTTTTTTTAATCTCACAGAATCTCAGTTCTATAGACTTGTTGATACAACAGATAAGTATCGTGTTACCAAGGTGGACTACGTAGTGAATCCAGTTATGATAAGAAGATTCCAGAAAGCCCGACAGAAGCTGAAAGAAGTTCGTGGAGAGAAGATGTCGTACCCTGTGTTAGCTTTCCATGGGACAAAAGAGACCAACATTCATTCTATTTGTGATACAGGATTCAGGGTTCCTGGAGAGGCAAACTTTGAGCATGCAACTGATATAGGTAATAATTGTAAGTTACAGTTCTGAAGGGCCAAGCTTAATTGCCACCAAGGTTCTTGTCTCTAATACTGTAATCTCAGGCCCTCAATTGAAAATATGTCTAAAAAGCCCCCCTCTATGATATTACCTTCTCTTTTCAGAAGCTCTTCTATAAAAGCCTTTCTTATATGCCTTTCTCCAATATCACTATCATTGTGGTCATCATCATTTTCTTGTGACCTAGCTAGCTAGCTCAGTAGAATCTATTCCATCCCAAGGGAAGGAGATTTTTGTGTAGCTGACTTTACAACCCTTTCTAAAACTTCAACTGTCATCAGCTTTGATAAAGCATAACTTAAGCTGAAATTTTTTCTATTTTATCCAGGAGATTATGGCCGTGGTGTTTACTTCAGTGAGTATCCTTCCTATTCAATGAAATACATCCGAGGTGCATCAAGGCTCCTTCTCTGTCAGGTGCTCCCTGGCAAAGTCTATGGATGTACCAAACTGATCCATGGGGAGCCCCTGGAGATGGGTCATGACTCTCACACCTCCCCTGACAGTAAAGAACTGGTCATTTTCAACTCTCATCACATCCTCCCCTCTTATGTTGTTCATTATGGTGAAGCTAATGGTGACTTTTCATATGAAGATACTAATGTGTAACTGAAGGTTTATTGTATTTCCTCAAAGAAGCACCCATGTTCTGAAAAGCACCCTCCATTCGTCAAACATCCATACCCTTGGCCAAAATATCAAATAAGCACCCTGCCCTTCTCTCTCACTTTCTTAATTAGTAAGGAAACAAGGAATACCTGTTTCTATTGCCACCTTTTTTAATAACTTTTCAACCTTCAACTACAGCTGAACCAGTATAACAGAATAGTTTCTTAATAAGCACCACCCTCAAATAAGTACTCTCCATCCCACAAGTGCTGTCCTTTCAATAAGCTCCCTCCTTCCAGTAAGAGCCTTCTATCCAATATACTACCTCCGTCCAAAAGCACTCCTCCTTTTAGGTGAAAAATTAAATTATAAAATAATTCAAATAGTACGCGCACTCTGATTGGCCATAAAACCATTTTACATGAGCGTATGTAAACATGGTTTTCGTTCCTCTTTCTTTAGTTATTTTATAAAAGAAATGTAAAATGGTTTCCATGTTTACATAGCCTGGTGTAAACACTTGGGAGGTTGGGAGAACACGAGATAAGCTGGAAACCACTCCGCTTCGCCTCGTGGTTTCCTACGCTTATCTCATGTTCTCCCAACCTCCCTCGTGTTTACATCAGGCTATGTCAACATGGAAACCATTTTACATTTCTTCATAAGCACTTGGGTGCTAACTTGAAGAAAGTACAGTAAATAAAAAAAAGCTCCAATACACTTCCTGACTTACTAACAAAGGTGATTTGGCAAACCTTTAAACTTGTAAATATCTTTCACCCAAGATATAACTCACACAGGCTTTGCAAAAACTTTCTCATGGCAAATATGTGATTTTTAAATATTGTAAGATAAGTACAAAATTTTAAAAGAAATAAAAGCAAATTAAGAAAGTTAATAAATCTCCCTGTAAGAGATAGAGTGGATGAGTTGATATTCAGAATGGTTTTCACAATGAAATATGAAGTAAAACTATGCGAAACAGCATTCGGGTAAAAACTTTGACAACTATCTGATAAGTGCATAGTCAACAAATTGGTGATTTGACTGATTGCACGAAATATCCAAGTATAGCAGAGCTTTTTTGTTTGACAAAATAGGTTTAAATGGACTGGGTACTTTTGGGACTATTTCTTTTTCAAACTGTGTATTCAGGTCACTTGAAAACTTTTAAGACTGTTATCTGTCTTAGAGGCACACGAAGCAACAAAACTTATCTTGGTCTCCATAGCATGAAGCAGCAAAGTATTGTTACTCTGTCCTGGATGGAATGTTAGTCCATTTTACAGTTGTGTGCTTGGTTGCCAAGCCTTTGAACAGGAGCAAGGCAAAGGTTGACCTTGTTTTGATACAAACATTGCTGCTTTTCAAATGCAAATTACTTTGTTATCATGGTAACTAGGTATTGGTCTCTATCACAATAAGGTCATCTTTAGCCTCACTCCAAATCAAAGGCTCTTTAACCAAGTACTAAACCATAAAATGGCCTGTTGTCCCTTCCCCTCCCCACCAGTAATTGGCCCAAATCCATCTCTAACAATGAGCTACAAAGAAGTTATTGACTCATTGTAACATTTCCCTCTGCTCTGAGTGGCTGTTGTAATCACTTTAGGATTGATTTTACAACACTCAATCAAAAAGCACTTTCACACAAGTTAATACAACCACAAATTAAACACAGACGTCAAAGACCTCTTTTACTTTCTTTGATGAATAACTTAATGTATAAATGTTTAAATCACTACTGTGACCTTGGAACAAAAACCAACTTCAGAAAATAATTAATTAAAAATAATTTTACACATTAACATGCAGGATATGTCGAATGTTCTCAGGTGTCTGTCTTTAAATATGTTTAAAATAGTAATTTATTTACCTACTGATACCCCATTCACATAAGCAAACATGTTTAGTTAAACCATGTTTAACTGAAAGAAAATTAGCAACAGAAAACTGAAAAACTGAATTTTCCTTAGGGTCCAAGTAGTCACTAACTTGTATTTTAAAGGTGCTAAATTTGAAGTCAACAAACATGGGTTCAAGAAGTTTCTGGGAAGAAAAGAAAGTTGCACTGTTTAAAAAACAGCTTTCACACATGCTTAAACTTTGGTTGAATAGGGGTATAAGAGTGTTACTGACTTCAGGCAAGTCATAATCTACACTGCAATGAATATTTGATATTGTAGTCTGACCTTTGGACTATTCATGGTGACAGAGACTGACATTTCAACTGACCTAGCACAAGCCATCATCAACATTGAAGGCCTTGAAATGACACTAGAGTGACACGACACTGATAATGACTTCTGCAAAGGTTGTTAAAAGATCAGTTACTACAACTAACATTAGCAATTGTCAGGACTTCAGTCACCCAGATGAACAGACTAAAAGACAACATGTATGTAGCCTACCCATCAGGTTCAAACCATTTACTGTATGACCAAAAAGAAAATAGTGCATCTTTTACCCATTAAGCCCTAACATCTGTATGAAGGTTCTCCATACTGTTTTCTATACATCTTTTGAGGTGCTGAGAAGGAGAATTCATTTAACAATCAAAAGCTTCTTTAGTTGGTGATCATATCCTTTATTCTTGTGACCTTAAAGAGTGATTCAGGGATGAAATTGTGAGGACAAATTAGATCTTGGTCACTCTTAAGGCTCGAAGCATAAAAACCAATGCATCTATCAATTTTTAACTTTCAACACCTCCACGTTTAAAGATACAACACTTGCATTCTTCTGGATAGACTTCACACTCCCCAACCAGGCAAGGTTCGATCCCCCCCCCCCTCCCTGCAGCATGGAGAAGAGTCAAATGCCTGTGGGTCACCCAGGATGGGGGAGGATGTTGAAGCTTTAAATTGATTGGTGCAGAATGTTGTAACAATGTTAAATAAAACCAAAGATCATATGATTAAACAATGAAGTTATTAATAATATTCTGCCTTAATGCTGGAGCACTATTTGTCCCAACTATGATGTATAACTCCAATATACAGTCCACACATAATATTTACAATAATAATTGAAGTTTTGATAAAAATATTCATCTGTAGATAATGTGAAGCTTGCAAAAAATTACAAATAATAAGGGAATTCTTTGTGACCACTAAAATTGGAGAAAAAAAACCGCTGGGCATTGCTCACCACTTTACCAACTGTAGACTGCAGGCAGTCCCTCCTCTTTAGCAAAGCTCAAAGAAAAATCAGAGAAAAAACAGGACCACCACAGGAGCTCTATGTGCCGCAAAAGTAAGCCTCACCCACAGTTTCTATGGCGCACCAAACTCACTGCAAGAGCTCCCCAACACCCTAGCATCACTTTTTTATTTTTTCTCACTAATTTTTTATTTTTACCCATGCAACAGACTAAGCCAAAAAGGAGGACCTCAACGTAGTCTACATTTTACCCTGGTAATGATAAATATTGCACTAGCAAAGGTGCATAAATTCTTCCCAGAGAAAATACCATTGGCCTCTTAAAAGCCATTGAAGTTGAGAACCAGCGAAAAATAATTAGAAAGATAAAAGAACAGGTAAAAAACAAGTCAATGAGTAGTATTTTTAAATAAAAGAATATGACAAGTGGTCTTATTTTTCCTCACTTACACAAGCCTCGCCAAGCTGTCAAACCTGTTTTTCGCAATTTAAAATAACCAACCGTCCAAACAGGATAATAATTATCCTTGCTGTTTTCTGTCTGGTTTCCAGATACTTGATTGGCCTCTCCCTTTAAACACAATAATAATCCTTAAAAATTTCGGTGTACAACATTTTCCCAAATTGAATAAGAGAGATGGTAAGTTTTGAGCTCGGTAAAGAAAAAGAGAAAGATGTTTTTCCTCATGGGACTCAGAATTTTTTTTCTTTGTCCCACGCTCGTGACAAGACAAAAAACATCTTTCTCTATAACATTTTCCAAGTTTCACAGTAACCCTGTTATTAAAACTTAAAATAAACCAAACCTCACCACTATAAAATCATTAAAACTAAAAACCAAGAGCAAAATTTTCCTTCTGGAAAACAAGAAATTTAAATCCAAGTTTTATAATCAACTCCTAACATAATTTCATCACTGCCACAATACTTCATGTAACAGAAAATATCATTAATAATTTATTATTAAATAATTAGATGATCTCCAACTTGCAAACTTCACTTTTAAAATATTCATTAAGTGAACCAAAATGGCAGCTTAAAAATTCATTTTAAAAACCCAGTATTTTCCAGTCCAAATAAAAGCAATGTTAAGGGTGAACTATACAAATTGAGCGACAACAGACTGAAGCCACTAATAACTCCCTTATATGTAGTTGTAGTTGCATTTTTCTTGACATCACTGTTATAGTTATTATCAACAATTTTTTTTAAATGGCACAAAAGACTCTCCTCCTCTCTGCCAGGAAGGGCAACCTTTGCTTGCACAAGTGTTAACTTACTCATTAAATTTGCACCTAGCCATTCACCTTATGAAAAAAAGAATTCCATCTTAACCCTTTCACTCCTAAAGTCTCCTTGGTAATTCTTCTTACTGGCTGCCTCATATAACTTATAATTTTAGTTTGGAGAATTTAGTATTGGATCAAATGATTATAATATCCTAATTGATATATTTCTATATTCTCATCACTCATCTGCTTGATGTTGAATTGCTTAGTGAGGAGAAAGTATGTCTTGGTCACTGCTGAGAGTGAAAGGGTGAAGCTTTAATAGAGTATCTAAAGTGAAGCCATACAAATTCCTGTGATTGGCTGCTTTTAAAAGAATATAATAAAATTTGAAAAAAAATTCATTCTTGTTCCTGCAAGGAACCATGGAGTTATCCTTTTTAAATAATCAGCAGAGATTCCATCCCTGTACATCACATTTCACCCTCACTATCCTCATTGTCAATCAAACTGAGATATTCCTGGAGGGCTGACAGCTGTAGGTTGTCATGGTGACCATAATCAATGACTTCATCTTGCGAGAGGTCTGGATCACCAGGGCTGTTATTCAATGCACCTGGTGGTAACTGTAAAAGGTGTTGTGTACCATCTACCTGATCAGCTGAAAAAAACAGAAATCAAGAGGACAAATTTTAATCCCTTCAGCATTACCATGTACAGGTTTTCTCCAACCTACCACCATTATCAGGGTTATCATTAAGTGCCACCAGCCAGCTAAAAAACTGGCTACCTTAAGTTTCCAATGCCTAATGGATTCTAATGATAAGTGCCACCTGCCAGCTAAAAAACTGGCTACCTTAAGTTTCCAACATCTAATGGATTCTAATGGCAGGGTTCTCATTAAGTGCTGCCTGTCAGCTAAACAACTGGCTACCTTTAGTTTCTGACACCTAACAGAGTCTAATGACAGAGTTCTCATTACATGCCGTCTGCCAGCTAAAAAACTGGCTACCTTAAGTTTCCAATGCCTAACGGATTCTAATGACAGAGTTATCATTAAGTGCCACCTGCCAGCTAAAATACTGGCTTCCTTAAGTTTCTGATGCCTAACAGATTGTAATGACAGGGTTCTAATCATGTGCCGCCTGTCAGCTAAAAAACTGGCTACCTTAAGTTTCTGACGCCTAACAGATTCTAATGACAGGGTTCTCATTAAGTGCCACCAGCCAGCTGAAAAAGCTAACTACCACAAGTTTCTGTCACCTACCAACCTCTATTAACTACCTTGAGATATTGATTGAAGTAAATGAAATTCCCTTCTGGTCTGAACTGTTATTAAAAAATAAACTCACCCATAACAGCATCAAAGGAGTAATTGGTGATGTCCACAGGTTGGTTTATCCATTCATTTTCTTCCAAGTCTCTGATTGTGGCCCGCCAGCGAGGATCAGGATGTAGGAGCCAACAGATAATAAACATAAGATCTGTTATGTAAACACAATAACCACAATATTAGTTATGTTAACCCTTTAACTCCCATGAGTGACCAAGAGAGAATTTCTCCTTACAATATCAATACAATATCAAGCAGGCAAGTGATGAGAATAAAGAAAAATAGCAATTAGGAGATTACAAGTTGATCAAATATCAAATTCTTTTAGCTAACACCATAAGATTAGTATGGCTGACAGTAAGGAGAATTGCTAGTAAGATCTTGAGAGAGAAAGGGGTTCCTAACAATGGGATTCCCTCTTAACTTTTATCGTAACCCTCCCAGAGTACTCCACTAAACATCATTTGAAGTTGGCAAAAACTACAATCTACGATGTTGAATGTGTTAAAGATGGAATGTTGTTCTTTTGAAGCTGTTCTTGTTTTCTTTGTCAATGCAATCACTGAGACACACTACTGCTAGTAATTTCTGTCCTCCAAAGTAACAATGTTCTCCTTGAGTGAAACATCATTTGGTGGATGATGTTGGCAAATCCTTGAAAATGTGGAAAATAAAGATGATATTTGTTTGTTTTTGAATAATGAAGATCACATTGACAAACAAATCAACAACCCTAGTCACTGATATTGTTCACCCTTTAAATTCCAAAAGCTTCTCCCCATCACATCACCCAGCAAACAGGTAAAGAAAATTCTCAAAGTTATCAGGTAGAATTTGTTACATATCTTGATTAAACACCAACTTCTCATAAAAAAGGGATAATTTACAAGGAAAAGTGCAGCAGCTAGAGGGAAGGAATAACAGTCAGATCTTGGAAGGAAAAAGGTGTGTGGGAAAAATATTTCTTACCATTTGAGACAAGGAATGGAGGATGTAGCTCTGCACGTATGGTCTCCTCAACATCATAAAATGGATTCTCACCAAATACTAGAGTGTACAACGTGACACCCATTGACCAGAGTTCTAATTGTGGTCCTGCATATCTGTAAGATACAACAGATTTTGATTACTACCCATTAATAAAATTTAAAAGAGAATACTGGTAAAACATGGGTGTGCATAGAAGAGAAATTCCACATCTACAAGTAACCATGTATCACTTTGTTTATTATATAAACACCATTAGCCTTTGTGAATGTGAAAGCAATCTTCACAGTAATGAACACTACTTAAGCAGTAGTGAAAAGAGGCCTGAAAAAATTTTAGGCCTGTACGGGATTTGAACCCATGACCTCTGCAATACCAGTGCAGTGCTCTACCAACTGAGCTAACAAGCCAACTGGGAGCTGGTCACTGTGTTGGTTCCAAATAAACCCAGGAAGTGGTGAATAAAGGGTTGTGAATATATGAAAGTCATATATTTGAACTGCGGTTAAAGACATGAATTTGATCATCATCATGGGTTCAAATCCTGTACAGGCCTAAATTTTTTCTCAGATGAGTAGTGTTCATTACTGTGTTGGCAGTTCAAATATATGACTTTCACATATTCACAACTGACCATTAGCCTTTATTGACAAGAATGGTTGACTTATTATTCAAGGTGAACACTTCGCCATTCCTTCATCTACATGACAGAGTTGCATGAAAGGTGAGGGATGTGGTAGATGAATCATTGTAGTTTTACATGTGTTCTTACGGCTTTTCTAGGAGCTGCAATTCCTTGAAATGCCACAGTTGATAAATCTGATTACAAGTCTGGTTATGTGATAGGCTGCTTTCACCATTTACAGGGTCACGATCTATTGGCCAACAGAAGTGTTATGGGCAATGATACAGAAGGAGAATGATGAAAAGGGAGCTTGGATTCACAAAGAGAAATAGCAGAGGAAATACTTACTTGTTTCCCATCAGGACCTCTGGTGAACAGTACTCCATTGTGCCACAGAATGTACAAAACTTTTTGCCTTCTTCCATGTATGCTGCTGACCCAAAGTCAATCAACTTGACATGGAATTTCTCATCCAAGATGATATTTTCATCCTGCAATTAAGATTATTTATAAGTGAATAAACATAACAGCCCAAAGAGCTTGTGTCTCCCAAAAATATTTAGAAATTTAAGAGCAGCTCAGAATTACAGCTCTGCGCAGCAATCATTGTGCCAGTAGCTTGTGTGGGGCAGCAAAGTATTTCACTCCATTATCAATTTAACTTGCAGAAGTAAAACAGGTAACTTCTTCCTATAACATCCATACATTACCCAGAAAACAGGTAATAAAAATACTCAAAATTATCAGGTAGAACTTGTCATCTTGATCAAACATCAAATTCTCAGAACTTATTCAAAAGGAAATGTATAGCAATTATAAGGGAGAATTAACTATGACATCTTGCTGAGGGTTTAACCCTTTAAGCCCCAATACTGCATATCTGCACTCTTGCATCACCATGTCTTATTCCCAAGAGTGCGTATCCACACTCCATGGACTTCTTGTGTTTTGACCCATAAGAAAAACCCTTTTATTTGGTTACCAGATGATTGTAATTGTTTCAGCCTATAGTAGAGAGTTTTAGCTCTTATTCAAAATGCAAATCACTATAGGTTGTCACTCAGTATCACGCTGAAAATTTGAGTGGAAGTGAAAGAAGTGAAATGGCAACACTGAGTGGTAGCAAAAGCAAATTCAAGGAATTCATGGGTTAAAAACTTACCTTCACATCCCTATGAAGTATACTTCTGCTATGAAGAAAGGATACAGCAGAAACAACCTACAACAGAGAAAAAAAATTGTATCAGATGGATACAAAAAGAAACACAACATCATATTCATACAGAAATATGCTTGGTGTAAGAACATCAGAGACACACTCAGCTGCACCTCGTGTGCCACTTTTCAGTGCTTACCACATTTTGACATCATTGATGATCTATTACTGAACAGACCCACAGCAACATAGAGCCTATTTAACCCTTTAACTCCCAGATCAAATTTGTAGCTCTCCTTACTGTCAACCATACAATTTTCATAATGTTAGTGTAGAGAATTTAGTATTAGATGAACTAATTATCCCCAAATTGATATTATTCTTTATTCTCATCACTTATCTGGTTGATATTGTATTGATATTGTAAGGAGAAATTCTGTCTTGGTCACTCATGGGAGTTAAAGGGTTAACAATAGTTTGCTAGCTTAACATAACTCACAAGTTAGTGGTTTTTTCCTCACAAAAGACAAACAAAAGTCAATAAACACAGAGATTTAACATAAAAACTGGGATGAATACCTGTCTAAACAAGTAACTGCAAAGGGGTTCGTCTGTTGCTGGCTGTCTGTCGATAAACTCAAACAAATCCATTCCACTTCCATGCTTCTCCATGACCAACTGAAAGAATTCTTCATTTTCAAAAGCCTCTAGCATCTACAAGACAAGAAAATTCTCACTGACATTTCTTTCAGCAATAGCATCAGTATCTTAGTTCTTCATACTTCCTCTGTAATTTTAAGTAAAATTTTTCCAACCATCAAGAACTTCTTGAGTTTGCAATCATTTCTTTTAATTCTCATGACCTTAATGTTTGATTCAGGGGTGATTCTGTTGGGAGAAATTAGATGCTAATCACACTTAGAGGTTAGAGGGATTAAGAAATGAGGTGGCATTAGAGAAGTGAAGATTAACAGAAGATATAATTTATGATAACAGCTCCATGATCTAGAAAAAATAGCCTGACAGGCCATTGAAATTTAGTGAGAGAATTCTGCATAGAAGTTCAGTGCAGAGTTCTCACAAATCCAATAGCTGACAATTACCCTGGCAAAAGCTCATCTCCATTATATCCACTAAAAATTTTAATTGTTAACTTCAAAATATCATGACTCAATAACACTATATTAATACTAGTGTATAAAATGGGTACGTTTCTAAAAGAAACTGTGGTGCTACATCAGTGGGAGAGTATAACAGGGTAATTTAGTATTACCAACTGAGTTGATACATAAGCTGGCCACCGTTAAGAGTTAATGGTGGCCAATTTACATTATCAACTCAGTTGATAATACTGAATTACATAATATATACTAATGTGCTGAATTCCAGGAGCTAGGAACAAGTACATATGTGTACTTTACCTTTACAATGTTTGGGTGTTTAAACTTTGCCAGCAAAGAAATTTCCAATGGAATTGAACCCAAGATTGCATCTTCTACCCAACAGTCAACCAGAATTTTTGCTTTTCTGATGAACTTGACAATGACCTGGAAATTACAACCACATATAACATTGTGATAAAAATGAAGGCCAATCCATCAGAGAAGAGGAGAGAGAAATGGCTGGAAATAAATGGAGGCATTTTTTCCTCATCTTTATTCCCTCTCCTCCTTTACCCTTTCTTGCCATGATCTAATTTAGTAATTCTCCTTACTGTCTCCCATACAACTCTCATGATATTAGTTTGGAGAATTTAATTCTGTATCGACCAATAATACCCTAATTGATAGTTTTTTTAATTCTCATCACTTGTCTGCTTGATATTGTATTGATATTGTAAGGAGAAATTCTGTCTTGGTCACTCACAAGAGTTGAAGGGTTAAATAAGCTAAAGATGACTGCAGTGTTCAGAAACTGGTTAAGCTGCATCAGTAAAGGATGGCTGAGCTCTAGGAATGGATTCTTTATTATTTTCAATTGATTCAATCCAAAACAATGAAGCTACTGACAGAATGATAAATGTTATTTACCTGACATTGCAGAACATTCAACTGAAAGTTCTACCTTAACATAAAAATAAGATACTGACCTTTACTCCATCTGATCTGCGTTGACCCACTTTTACAAAACCAAATGCACCCTTTCCTATCGATTGGAGGGTGATGTACCTCTCGTCATATCGACCACGCCCTGGGGATGGTTCCTCCCTCAGACTTCCTTCACTCAATTGTTGACTGAGCTGAAAATAAAAGAGGATAAAATTTGTCTCTAATGTAAGAATTTCAAAGTATTTTTAGTGTTACTAATCTTTAAAACTCTACACTTGTAGGATTCCATAATTCACCTCTCCTAGGTTGGCCACTGAATACTCCATACTGTTAAAACTTGATGCTAAAGCAAAACTGCTGGTTGATCTTCCACCTTCTCCTTCATCTTCTGGGTCGCGCGATATCCATGCACAGAACAAGACACGACCATCATTCAATTCGATTTTCTTAATCTGTTGATAAAAATATTTGTTTTTTCAAACTCTTGGCAATCAGAGAAAACTATCTGAAACTTGAATCTGCAAAGAACCCAAAAAGTTATTGCATGTGCAGAGGAAAAAAAATTAAAGATGAATTTGCAAATCTCATGATAAATTAAGAATCTGAGCTTTTTGTCTAATTACATGCACTTTTGTTTCAGTACATGCATTTAATGAGTTCCAGTTGACTGATTTTGTGTAGTTTACATGCAGGTGCACAAAGTGATGCGCAGTATGCATGTTTTGCATGTTTGCACATGCTTTAAGCACATGCAAGGCTGCAGTGCATGAGAGCATTACTGTATAATTCTGAAAGGCACACTGTATTCAATGTTTGTTTTCAATTCTCAAAAAGATCAAAAATCAAAAAAACCTCAAACACCCCAATGACTATTCAAACATTGGTTTTGGAACCTTGAATTTAAATCAAAAACAAATTCACCATAAACCCTTTACACCCTATCATCAGTATACAAATTCTCCACACTGTTCTCTATACATTTCCTAAGGTGCTGACGGGGAGAATTTGTTTAACAATCAAGACCATCTTTAGTTGGTGATCATTTCCTTCATTCTCGTGACCTTAAGATGTGATTCACAGGTGATGTTGTGAGGAGAAATTAGATGCTGGTCACTCTTAGAGGTCAAAGGTTTAATACCTGGAAAACTATTGCCAGAGGTGAACCATCTTTATGTCTGGCTTGGCCAATGAAGCTTCCTTCACAAACAGGTTGCAGGGGAGAGGCAATGTCTGTGCGACCCGAACTTGTCACAATGTTAGGTGTAGATGTAAGTCCTTCAAAGAGATAATCATCTCTTTGTGGAGAGTTCGGTGATCTCTTTGGTGATTCATTTTGAATTTGTGGGTCTGTGAGTGATGCGTCAGCAGTTGAATGGTTTCCATTAGTACTTGGAAGAGAATATGTCTCACTTGTGTTTCCCGATGACTGGGAACTTGTGACTTGTTGGACTGTTAAGGCAAGACAATTTCAGGACAGGTTAAAATTAGCTGTTACTGTTTTAGTATAAAATGCAGCGATGTTCTCTAGCAGAACCTTGGTGCCACAGGTGACTAACCCAGACTCCGCAAAGAGGACAGCTATGAAGTGTATGATGCTAATGAAACATTGCAGAGAATAAGTGATCTTTTTCTTAACTATTCCTAATATATTGGCTACCCTCAGTGAAACTTATTCCAGTAGTTAGAAATCTAGTATTGTTAAGACAAGGTGCAATACTGTTAATACCTTCCCCACTGCTTTCCAGTGATTCCTCCTGTAGTTCATCATCTGCCACATTTTCCTTGTCAAAAATTTCATTTTGATTTTGATCATTAGAGAAAGACCCAGTCCAAGACAACTTGTTCTCTTCTTTATTACATTCTACAAGCGGCGTTGATGAGTCAGCAGGTGATGAGACAGCCACAGGCCCACCCTGCACAGCATACCTGTCCTCTCCCAACTCTAAATGAACCTTCTCTGCACTTCCACCACTGTCATCTATCCCACTGTCTTCAGCATTCACCACTGAAGTGAACGATCCAGACCCAAGAGAAGAAAAGCTGGGTTCACTGAGACTGTTCTCTATTTTGCTATCTCCAAAGTTTGCAATCATGCTCTCTTTGTCAAGAAATGTACTGCTCATTGATGTAGATTGTAAGTCTCTGGATTTCTCCTCATTTGCATTGCATTTAATACTACCAACAGTTGAATGAGAACTGCTCAGGCCTGTGCTTGTACTGAGTGAACTTGTAACAGAGTCATCAAAATTGTTCCCCTCTTGTGGTAGAAATAAGAATGTTGTTACCACATGTATTGAACAGGGATTGATTTTTTTGTAGTTGAGGTTAACAGCAGCATGGGTGTGAGTTTGCTAGACCCATGTGGCTTGAACGAGTACCATATTTCCTTGAATAAGCGCCTGCCTGCTTATTTAAAATTTCTGCTTAGGGATGAGAACTTATTGGAGGGAGTACACTCAATCAAGGGAGGCACTTACTAAGAAATAAGCTGAAGCTTGAAAAGTTAGAAATATCCCTGAGGGAAGGGGGGAGCTTATTTGAGGGGGGCAATTGTTTGATATTATGGCCTAAGGGAGAGCAGTTATTTAAGGGGAAAGGGGCTTATTTGGGGCATTTATTCGAGAAAATACAAAATATAAAAAACTTTCACCTTTCTTATGACTTGTGTCTAAGAATACCAACATATATGCAACACAACAGGTAACTAACAACAACACCAACATGAAAATTATTTACCACGACTTCCTCCACTGTAGTTACTTGCTTTAGAATCAAGTTCACGAGTGTAAACCACTGTACTTTTCCGTTCTTTAGAATCCCTGTAACCGTCTTCATCATGATCATCATAGTCGTAATCAAACTCATCATCCTCGTCATCAAACGGGGGGAGTGGCATACTGTTGTCGTCAACATCTTCCATATCATCATAGAAGTTTGGGATAAGGTCAGTTACATGCTATGAAGAAATTACAGTAACAATCAAATGTAATCTGACAGTCCACTCCAAACTCAATTCTTGTTGCTACTTGCAGACTGTTTAAAAAACTGCCAGGATCAAGTGTGGCACTACATTGCAAAATGCTGGAGATACTTTACAAATTAACAAGGGCTTTTGAGGAATTTTTTTACTCTAACATGGGCTCCTGGCAAACTTTGACTTCTGGAAAAGAAGCAGTATATCACCGACTGAATTTTGAATTTTGAGCCTGTCAATAAAAAAACTTGTCAACTTGCACATTGTACAATTTGGCTTAGAACTGTTTACATTTGTGAAAAGTGCTACAACATGAATGTATTATAATTGTTGTTATAAAAAAGAATTATTACTATGATTGATTTTGTATTTCTCTTTACTATCATTATCGTCGTTATTGTTATCATCATTGTCATCATTGTAGTCTTTGTCTTCATCATCGTCTTTGTCATCCTCATAATCATTGTTCATTGTCATCATTCACTGTCATCATTCATTGTAATCGTTCATCTGCATTGTTCATCATCACCAGTATTGTTCATTGTCACTGTTCATCATCATCATTCATCATCATTGTTCATTGTAATCATTCATTGTCATTGTTCATCGTCATCATTCATCATCATTGTTCATCATCATTGGTCATCATCATTGTTCATCGTAATCATTCATCGTCATCATTCATCATCATTGTTCATCATCATCATTCATTGTCATTGTTCATCATCATTGTCATTGTTCATCATCATTGTTCATTGTCATTGTTCATCATCATTGTTGTTCATCTGCATCTCATCTCCATTGTTCATCACCATTGTCATCATCATCCTCATCCTCATCATTCATTAATCATTGTTCATTGTCATCATCATTCATACTTGTCATCATCATTATTGTCATTTTTATAAAAATTACCCTTATAAAACTTAAGTGTTACCTTTCCTTCCAGCTCTTTCTGTGCATAACCAAACAGCATGAGAGCAAAGTTGTGATTACAGGAATGGATAACTCCATCAGGCGTGAATGTAACCAGCCCACTGATGTTAGCAAATACCCACACCAAGCCTTTGAAGAAAAGTTGATCATCAGGGAATTTTTTATCGCGGTCAAGCTTCTTCAGATCCTTGCCATATTTTGGTTTAAGGGAGATACTCAGTGGAAATGTGCCCCCATCCCTTGTTCTTCCAGTTGCTCTCTGCTTTTTGACATGCTTGAAGAGAAAAAGTAAAAAGAAATTAGTGTGTGGGTTGTAAATGATATGTTTGTTTATCATGGTTTTGTTGATACTCTGTACTAATCCTCATGATTAGGGTGAAGCATATATATTGTAGGTAGGTTACCCTATTGATCCACTTTTTAATGCATAACTGTTTTTTTTGGTTATACAAGGTCAAATTTGTTCAACTGAAGTTCTAAAAACAAAGCCTAATTGCTTTACTGCATGTTCCAGAAAAATGGCAACTGTTTTGATTATGATACAAACCTTGCTCATCTTCTCACTTGTTGGCAACTCTAGTGCAGGTATTAACTTTTTAATATTGACCCCAATCAAATCTCCAGTAACATAGTAACCATAAAGAGTAGCAAGATCTTGATCACAATCCACTATATCACCCTGAAAATAAGGCGCATACTTATGATTAGATTACAGTCTTCCAAAACTAAATTATCTATGTTCTGAGGCACTAACTGCTGAGCAGTCCCTCCTTTTGGCCAATTTTTTTTATTGCACCAGTCAAAAAGAAAGACAAAACCAGCAATAAAAAGAAAATTGAAGTAACACACACTGTGCCTCGACACTTCCAGAGTTCCACACATCATGACATTACAGCATGCTAACATAAAAAAGATTGATATTAGCATACTGTGCCTCACTTCCAGAGTTCCACACAGCATGATGTTACAGTATGCTAACATCAATTTTTTTCTGCTGAATTTTTCAATTTTTTTTTTGAAAAAGGACTTCTCGTAGTCTACTGAGGCACATGTTATTGGGTTATTTTCACAAAAGCTATGTTATACATTTACCTCAGCATCAAACAGCACCATGGCTGTTTTCCTTTCCACTGGTTCCATGACAGTGATGCACCGCGGTTCTTCCTCCCAAGTCAGTTTCTTCATCCAGACAGAAACAGGGAACACAATTCCACAACTGTCCACAGCATCCAACTAAATCACAAAGAACATTCATAGCATCAAAGCACAAGTCGAAACACCATATTATTAAAGGCTGCGCACCATGAAAGTATTCTGTCATTATGTCATAACTGTGGATCATTCCTTGTAGCTGTACAATTCTCCTTGAACTTCAATTTTTTTAAACAATAACTGCAGAAATTCTTGTGCATTCTTTAGTTAAGGGCCATTGACAATAAGATTGTAGATCATAAAAGTGACAAATAATGTCATGCATGTATGATGTTCCAAAATCTTTGCCACATTAAAATAGCATAAAAATTTCAATGTTATTGCAAAAAAAAATTGACCACAATTTTCCAACTTTTGTACACTCGACTCACTTTCCTAGATCAAGTCAAAATACACCAACAGTGAGCTCACTGTGGACAGATGAAGAAGGAAAAAACTACAATTGCATTCTTAGTTGCTCAAGGCATCATTCACAACAATCCAGGTCTACTTGCCATTGGCAACATTACATTTTGAGTGTGGATCACCCAAAATTAGCTTTCAATACATTTTTTCTGAAGTTTTACTCTGCAGATTGACAATAACTTTTGATTTACAGGAACAAATTTTGTTGCTACAGATGCTTCAAATTTTTGCTAAGTACTAGTTTTTGAAATTTTCTGGCTAACCATTAACAGGGAATGAACCCTACTGTTTGAAATTTCTGATAGGTCACCTTACAAACACAAGTAATGATTTAAGCCCATGACTCTGAATTAAAAAAAAAAGTGTCATCTTATTTGCATAAGGAGTTTTTCATCTGTCTGAGAGAGGAAAATTTCTGCATTATTATATTTCACAGGATTTTTTTCTCTGCAGAAACATACTTGTAGATTGATGACTAAACACAAAATCCACAAAATTTGATGCCCACAATGTGTCAGCTTTTATTGTAGACCCAATAAAAGTCATAAAACACAAATCAAATGGTGGAGTTCGCAAAGAATATCAAGCAATATTCTGCTCACTTACCACTTTCCCATTTACCATAACTACAGCACCACTTGCTTCAATATGCTGCTCCACAAGAGCTTCTTGCTTTTCTTTATGTACATCAGCAAAAAGCTGGGACATTTTGATTCCAATGAGGGTCTTGGTAGAGTAGCCAAACAGCTCTGCTGCCATGTCATTAGCTGTCAAAATTTCTGAGGTTCTTGCATTAATTGTGACGATTGCTTTATTCTGTAGAAAAAAGAGCAAAATTCAAAGTGAATATTATCTTAATTTCAGTCTCTAACTCTCCAGATCCAATTAATAACTCTTTACTCCCATAAATGACCAAGACAGAATTTCTCCTTACAATATTAATACAATATCAAGCAGACAAGTGATGAGAAAAAAGAAAAATATTAACTAAGAGATTACTAGTTGATCCAATACCAAATTCTCCAAACTAACATCACAAGAACTATATAGCAGACAGTAAGGAGAATTACTAATGTGATCTTGGGAGTTAAAGGGTTAATTTTGCCTTCTAACAACCATACATTTCCTTGTGAATTTGAGAGAAGAAATTGGTGTTAGATCACCTTATGAGCTTGTATGTTTTCATTACCTGTCTACAGGATAATGTATTGAAATTACAAGGAGAGGTTTACTTTACTCTCTTAAGGGAGAAGTACACTTACAGTACATATCTACCTTCCACATCTATAATTTTGTAAGTTTCAGTTACATGTTACTTACAGGATTACGCACTGTTGTTGGAAAGACAGCTCCAGTCCCTGCTCCACCAACAAAATTATAAAACTGCCATGAAGATGTCAGCCGAGGATCAGGGGAAGTTTCCAGGAAAGAGCCTCGGCAATGGCCAGGTGCATAACTAAAGCTGTGCAGTGAATCACCTGGACAATAAAAGAAAACATTAACCAAATTTTAAATTGTCTTACTTTTGACTGAAAATCAATATATCATAAGAACAAAGGGGGTAGGTTTTTAATAAAACTGTGGTGCTGGGCAAATGGGAAAGTACAACAAGATAATTTGATATCATCAACTCAACAGATAATGTAAATTGGCCGCTGTTAAGAGTTTCAAAGCTGATTTTTCAAGTGTTAGCCCTTTGTTAGAGCAAATGACAAAGGGCTATTGCTCAAAACGTCAGCTTTGAAACTCTTGATGGTGGCCAATTTACTCAGTTGATAATAACAAAATACCTTATCAGTAGAACATATTAGAAGTCATATTCAATTTCATATTTAATCCGAGTAAGAGGTCTTAAAGGTAACAGTAGACTGCTGGTAACTGTACCTTTCAAGCAGTTTTTTATTTTGGATCTGTGTAATATCACTTGGGTTGAAGAATTTCATGTAGGTTTTTGCAATATTTTGGCTTCTAAACCCATCACTCAGCATTTGGAATTTAAGAATTTGTGTTTTCTCTTTTGTCCCTTTGCTGTTTTGTTTTTGGTTTTCTCTGGTACAAATATCTTAAAAGAAGCAAATCATTAGCTGAGACCAAGAGGTTTGTTTTTTAAGCTGGCTTTTATTTCTTCAGTCCTCACCAAAATTATATCCCTGATCATCTCTTCCTTAGGTGGCAACTGAGAGTAAACAGTGGATCTTAAAGTTCAATGATAGCAAATCATTAAATAGTACAATACATTTTGTAGACACTTATCTGCTGGAGAGTGATTTATCCATTGGATAGCATTATATACCACCTTTGAACTACTGAACCCTGTTCAACTGTCTGATCAAACTTACTGGATATCTGATCAAGATTTCTGCTGGGCTTGAAAACATCCATGTTATTATCTTCCAATTTTGATTTTGCCTTATACACTTTGGGGAATGTAGCATTGAGGTCCAGAGAGTCTTGCAGTGCAGTGCTTAAACCAAGTTCGATGGCACGGTCCTTCTTGGTTGGTCTGATGCGATCCAGAGGGGAGGGGTATGAAGGTGTTCCAAACAGGAATGATCCAGGGACAGGTCCTGACTTCAGATTCAATGATTTCCCTAAGGATTTATTCTAGAAAAAATAAAAATACAGAAAAAAATTCAATATATTTCATTACCTCTTGGACCCCTAACAGTGTCTAGTATCTAATTTCTCCTTAAAATATCATCCTTGGATCTTGGATTAAGGTAACAAGAATAGAGGAAGTGATCAACAACAAAAGAAGCTCTTGATCGTTCAAAAAATTCTCCTTGTCAGCACCTGAAGAAATATATAGAGAGCAGTATGGAGAATATGCATTCTGATGTCAGGGTGTGAAAGGGTAACTCACACAAGGCATGTTTGAGTCTTGAAATGGCTTGGTTCACAGTGGGGTCCTTGTGACCCAGCAGCAGAGAATCCAAGCAAGGAATCTAAAGGTCTGAGGTTTAAGTTCTTTATTTCATACCCATGTGTTTGGGACAATTGTTTGGTTTTTTTTTTTCAGGATTCAAAATTTTATGGACCAAAAACGGTTCTCTATTATAAAAATTCATGAAAACCTACAGTCTTCATAGCACGAGACCAAGGCAAAGGAGACTTGGAAACCATGGTAATGAGAGAAGTAAACAGAATATTAAAAAAAATCAAAGAAACATTTTTTTTCTTTTAAAAAAGAAAGGGTTATCTGTAAAAATGAGATTTGACATTTCTCTGGAAAACAACAATTCACATATGTGAGAATGACATTACAGACCAAATAAGACTCTGATTAGCCTTTTAACATTTCAAAAGAGGTTAAAATGGTTACCACACACCATATTTTTGCAGATGTGACACAGTTATACAACTTTGAAACTGAATAATAGAACTATTTAATTTAAAAAAGCAATATTATCAATGCAAAAAAAAATCCATATTTGCATACATGTGCAGCTAGAGCAAATTGACAAAAAATAATCGCGTTTCAAAAATGTATCTAGCGATGTTCCTAATTTTGTTAGCTATTTCATACATGATGAGACATTGGACCTCTGAGTTTGTGACAAGTCACCACTGCAAAAAAGATTATTTCAATGATTTTCGTCTGTCATCTAGTTGCTAATTATAGAAAACTTTTAACGTTGATATCACAACAAAAATATTTTTTGATTACGCTAAAAGTATGAGGAAAAAAATTTATATTTAGCTCACATTCAGTGTAGGCTGGTTCGAGTAACAGGGGGTTTGTTGGAAACGTTTTTTTGAGAACAAACAACAACATGTACGATTAACTTGAAAATAAACGAAAATAGCGTTGTGCTCATTTATATTTCAAAAGTCGTAATAGTATTCAATTATGCGCGAAAAGGTTTTATTGTTGACCTGTACATGAAGATTGTGGAATACTTTTATTGATATTTTGGGCAGTTAAAAAATTAGATTTTCGGAAAACATTTTTTTTTTTAATCACCTAGTTCAATTCAATTTAAATACGAAAAGGGAGACAGAAATGCGATCTGGTGACGATGATTTTAAAAGTAAACGTTACAGTACAAGCGATCGAGAAATTTAACTGTTGTCATTTGCACAGAGTCGATCCGTTGCACGAATACAGAGAAACACTTGAGCGACAAGCGTACGTCCTTGAAGCTACTGTTTTAAGATGGAATTAAAAAAAAAAGACTGGGTAGATTATCAAACTTTTCATCCATATCCATCCCTCTGAGTGTTTTTAAACCGATCGCTGCAGCAGTGCCGGTGTTGCTACCCGGATCAAAACACGCTCCTCCGGCAAATTTCGGATGAACAAATTTTGATGTTCTTGCTAACTAAAATCACGCTAAAGAATGAAATTTCTCCCTACCAATGGTGTCTTAGCTCTGATCGGAGAAGAAACCTTCGTGTTTGCTGCATCAGGAGACATGGTTTTCCTCAATAGAGGAACACTTTGCGGACGAGGAGGAAGAGGCGATTTTGAAGTTGTCGCCATGTTTGTCTGTTCAAATCATTCCGCGCCTAAATCTTCGGAAGTACTCGGAAATCCGAGTGAGTACCGAACATCGTCGATTGAAAGCAAGGGTCAGGCGATTTCTTCAATTTAGGGCAAACATTCAGTTCGTTGGGGAATTATTTCTTATGAAGAAGAAATAATAAGGATATTATCAAGGCACGCTTCATTCAACTTAAGGAATAATTGGAGCCAGGAAGACCATCTTTGGTTAATTTGATCTCCTAGATACCATTCCATTCCATACTAAGTAAATAATAATTTATGTCGAGTAAATAAAACGTTATCTTGTGTTAGGAACGCATTTTAATAAAACAGCTTGATTTAAAAAAGCGATAAACAGCCAAATATCTGAATTTTTAGACGGTAGTCGTCACCTTTTGAGTGGAGGAGCGGGTAAAGTCAAAGATCGTCGATCCCTCCTGTCATCGTAGGAGATATTTTGGCCTTTATTATTTGACAAATATATATACATATATATATTGTCACGACAGTTTTTTCCCGTTGCCTTTTTCAGAAAAGCGAAACGCTTCCCTGAGATATTGATCACAAACACGAAGCAATTTTGAGTCTAATCGAGCATGACTACTTTCTTCTAAAATCACATTTAGTCGGATCAACCAGTAGTTTCCACGGGCGCTAGGTTGACATTTCAAGTAATAAACTCTCACACATCTAAAAATAATTTAGTGATCATAAGTTTACACAGAGGATTAATTACCATTTTACAAAGTATCACAAGCGCACGATTTGTTCGGAGTTAAAAAAATTTTTTACTCGGTAGAGTAAATGGCTTTAACTAAACGGTACTTTGCGAGTCACTGAAAAAAGATTTTGAATAAAATTCTGATTTTGGAAATAACTCACAGACAGGATCACTTCAAGTATTTAATGGAAATGTTTTGACGATTTCATTCAAATATAACCCATCATTAAAAAATTATTGTTTAGTAACATAACAGACGCAGTTTCCTGCCGTGCTAATGGTGACTGAGCCAACATCAGAAATAAGGTCAGAAGTAGCGTATTTTGATTTGGACTATCTCGGATCAACACTCGGGCAATTCAATAACACGATACTAACAATAGCGGCAGTAAAAAAGTAGGAAAAATTTTAGTTACCTCAAGAATTATTTTATAGACACTTCTTTATAACTTGCCGAACGTTATTTTTTTGCGATCAGCATCCAGTGTTCAACCATGCACTAGCCTTTTCCATGTGTTTTTTTTCAGTTCCGTTTGTAAATTCATTAGAATGAATTGCATGCAAGACTGGACAGGCGGCGCAACATCGAGAATAACACAATAAAATTAATTATCCCAGTTTTCACCTTTCAGGCAATATATGATGTTTCAAAGGAAGTCAATAAGCTTCGTTGCTATAGCTACTCTTCTAACTATTTGCTAAGTTTTTGCAGCGACTAAGAGAATTAGGTCAATTAGTGGGAAAAACTTTAATAAAAATCTCGAACGTGATTGGCCACCAGCCCGATTTGAGCACCAATAGGACGGTGTGCGCGTCATGTTTGTTATTGGACCGAGTAAGCGGACAGTGTATGCGTCACGTCAGTGTAATTGGACAGCATAGTGGGGCAGTGTAGGCGTCATGCCTATGTAATCGGACAGTGCGTAACATAACCGCGTGTTGTTGCCGCGCATTTCGTCGAGTTAACTGTTGTTTTTTATGAAAACATATTGTTTCTCAAATTTTTGCTCGGCGGTTCCGGGTTTCGTGGACGTCTGATTTGGTTAATCACTTGCGTAATTACACAGCAAATTGGACTCCACATAAACAAAGAAGGAAAAAATAACGATGATGATAATTTTATTATTATATTATTACGATGATATTTATTATTATTTTATTACAATGATGATGAATCTGCTTTGCCTGAACTCTTTGGATGATTCAGGCAGCGCAAACACAGTTTTTCCCTTTGACTTTTCATGACTCACGCGATGGACTTCTCTCGGAAAATAGGTTCATGCATGATTTAAACGGTACAAATAACTTTTGAGGTCAAAAGAACAGCAGAGGGGGTGGGGTGGGTTCTCAGCAAAATTTGAGCAGGGATCCTACTGAGACTAATCCTTCCCACGCTCCTCTGCGAGTCACACTTTCAAGATGGCGGACGAACCTTTACTTTTAGGGCTGGCGGACGGAAACATGACGGAAAATGACGATAACATTTGTGGATGGAGTACAAACAAAATCGGAGGAAAACCGGTAAAACTTGTTTGCATGGAGTAAACTCTTATGCAACCAGGATGAAAAACAACGAAGCATGCCTAGAATAATTCTTTGCACTTTATCTAAATGACTAATCCAAATAAGAAGATTTTAATTTTTTTTTTCATTTTCTCTGTACAGAATTGGTTGCATGGCCAGCCGTTGTGTTTCCCAACTTGCCCTTTATGTGGAAAAATATTGTATTTGGTTTGCCAGATTTACTGTCCTTTGTCAGAGTCCACCTTTCACCGTGTGCTGTATGTATTTGGTTGTGTAAGCAAATCTTGTTGGAATAAAAACACAAGGTAAAAGGCCACAGCCATAGGCGAAATATTAACGTTTAACCCTTTAATTCCCAAGATCTAATCGTAAATTCTCTCCTCCAGCTGCTAAACATTTCCTTGTAAATTAGTCACGAGAATTTGGTGTTAGATCAAGACATCAACTTCTACCTGATAAATTTGAGTGTTCTCAGTACGTGTATGCTGGATAATGAATGGATATTATTGGGAGAAGTTACATGTTAATCACTTCCGTGAGTCGAAGAGTTAACACTTAAACACAATCTGAAAGTTTTAATTATTTTCCATCAACTCTTTTTTCAGTTGGAAAGTTTTGAGATCACAAGCCAGAGACAGCAATTTTGTTGGCAGGGAAACAGCAGAAAATAAGGTGTTATACAATATATGTTTTTGAAAATAAATTTTTGTTTCTTTTTTGGAACAACATTCAAAGCCATTACATTTGCCCAAACACTATTAAATCAGTTTGCATATTCTCCATACTGTTCTCTATAAATTTCCTAAGGTGTTGACAGGGAGAATTTTTTTAACCATCCAAAGTTTCTTTTTTTTTAGTGATCATTTCCTTAATTCTTGTGACCTTAATGTATGATTTAGGGGTGATGTTATAAGGAGAAAAGTTGATCCGATACCAAATTCTCCAAACTAGCATCACAAGAATTGTATAGCAGACAGGTAGGAGAATTACTTATGAGATCTTAGGAGTCTAAGGGTTAAGGGGCCAGCTAGTATAACTCCTCCATTCCCAAGAACTATACACCAAATCTTCATACTGTCTGTCATACATTTTTTATCATTTAAGCTCTGAGAATTGAGTGTTGAATTGAAGAATACCTTTTAGTTGACGTAATTCTTCTTGGCCTTCTTCTTAAAAGTGTAATATTATTGTGAGGAAATATTCCTTCTTGGCCACTTCTTAGCTTGAAAGGGTCTTAACGCTTAGATTAAAAGTGCTCTTGGTTGCATGAAAAGTCTTTTACTTGCAAAATGATCAAAATTTTTTGCATAGTTCAGGTTTGATTTTTCCCAAAATTTGATGTTGGTATTTTGTTTCTTTTATGATCCAGTCTTCTGGTGGATTTGAAGTGGATGATTGGTGTGATGATGCTGAAGACTGGGGAGAGTGAGTACATGTATTTCTTTCTTGTCATAGCAAGGTCCAAAATTGTGACCAGCTGGTTGCCAATGCAACTGAGGATTTTTTGTCAGAAACCAGAATTCTTTTGCTAGTCTAAAGGAGGCAACTGACCTAAGGTCTTGTCAGCACTTGTCCTGTACAAACAAATCAGGGTTCAAGAAACAATGATTCAACTCATTCCCTTTTTCACATAACTGTTGGTCACTGATAAGTTGGAAAGTCTTTTGTAGCTAAGAAATATCTTTCATTTCAGTATATTGCCCCAGGACAAAATTTTATGAAACACACCTTTTTGGTCACCAAATTGTTCAGTCTTGGGATTGAAACAAGAGTGTATCAGTGTCATTTGGCACCCAGGCAAAAAGTTGCAAAGAATTTGAGTCTTTTCTAACGTCTTACAGACTTTCCGGTCAACTACAGTTTTAAATAGATCTCTCATTTTGGCTGCTTTGTTGGTTTGACAGTGATAATGATTTTTCCATGAGCTTGGAGCAATGTACTGGCAAATTAACACTATCTGAAGATAAACCTGAAGAGATGAACCATACTTTAGCTGGAAATTTTAGTGAAGGCCAGCCACACACAGAAACTTCATTGGCATCCATCCCTCATTTTGCACCAATGTATGTTAGTGTTGTGGAAGCACCTGACCCAAAAGAGACATCTACCAAGATGACAAAACATGAGAAAGCTCTGTTGTCTGAATATCAGCAGCGTGAAGGAGGCCATGTTTTAGATGCCTTGGAGACAGATGAGGGTAATAAGGAATGGGCTGGGGAGAAATATGAAAGTGCAGCAGTTACGCATGGTGATAAAGCATTTCACAAGTTTAACAAACAGTTACATGCTTATCCACAGCAGTGCCTGAGGTAATCATTTAAGTTATTTCATATACAAATAGCTGAATTAACCGTTTAACTCCCAAGATTGCATTAGTAATTCTCCTTACTGTCTGCCATACAATTCATATGATGTTAGTTGGGAGAATTTGGAATTGGATCAACCAATAATCCCCCAATTGGTATTTTTCTTTATTCTCACAACTTGTCTGCTTGATATTGTATTGATAGTGTAAGGAGAAATTCTATCTTGGTCACTAGTGGGACTTAAAGGGCTAAGCACAAATTTTGATTGGTTCCCACACTCACTCTCGTGATCTACAGGAGAACGGACATTTTGCTTTTTTTCCATATGAAACATGGATTCCATGTTGCCTTGGGAATGTTCAGTGAAGCATCACAGAAGAAAATCAAAACTTGGTAACAATAGCAGTGACACACTCGACTGCGCCTCTTCTGTCACTATTTTGTTCTAATAACATTAAAATGAGGTCATCTGTGATCTATTACTGAGCAGAGGCATAACAACATGGAATCTGTTTTTCTTTTCTTTTCATGTGTAATAATTATCTAATATTATTCTACATTATATTATATTCTATATAAGGTATCAGTGGAATGGGATGCCTGTTTCTATGTTAACCACCAAGCCATCTGAGCTGTTTTCAAGTGTTCCACCCTGCCAGCATTGTGGTGCAAACAGAATATTTGAACTGCAATTTATGCCTGCATTAATTGGCAATTTGAAACTTGCAAAGCAAACATGTGCCAACTTGACTGGGGATCTTAGTTCCCAAAACAACAAACATGAGGCAGAGACTGAGCAGTTTTCAAATAGTAACAATGTACACAATTTGGGAAGGTTGGACAATAATATTTGTGAGGACAATGGGGGAAATCTATCAGATAATACTGGTCTTCGGGAAGATCAAAGGAAGGCATTCTTGGCAACTGTCAATCAAGTGAATGACGTCGTAATTGAGTTTGGCACTGTAATGGTTTTCACGTGTGCTAAGAGCTGTTGGGGAGAAAAGGAAAGTGTCGGAGAAGACGTTTACTTAGAAGAATTTTGTTTAGTAGAGGCTGACCCGGATGTTTTGTTATTTCAATAAAAAGTCCGGCGGAACTGAGTTTTATCCTTCTTTCATGCTTTTAATTGGCGACGCACTGGATTCACGTAATAGAACGCTTGCGGTAATGGCAATTGGGCAAGACGAATCAAACGTGGCTCCTCAAAATGGAGCACACGAACGCAGAAATTGGCTTGAAATGATGTGGCTCGTCATATCATCATATGATTATTTGTGTAATTTTTCGCGATAAAAGTGAGTTCTAACGCGACCGTAAGTGTTCCCGTGCCCGTTACTCGAAGCAATTTTCAAAGATTTGAGAAGAGCTCGTACGTTCGATTTCTTTTTGTAAAATAAATTTTTTTATTTTGGTAATTTTAACACCAAAAGAGCAATTTTCGATTGAGCGCCATTAGTAATCCGGGATTTCGTTGGTTTTGCTTTACTTCGCTCTGTGATTGGTCGAGGAAACTCGCACCACTCTCTCAACCAATCAGATTCAAAACTAAAAACCAATCATAACTTGGTCGCCTGCGTTTTCCCGCGCTTTAGGCCGCTTGGCTGTTTTAACTTTGAGTTCTCATTGGTTCTTAAGGGAATTTTCCTTTCTTCTGATTGGGCCGTCGTGATTAGTTTGGTTTTCTTTTTACGACACTCAGTCGAAAAGTGCTTTAATGGTAAAAGACAAACCAAGATTTATGTTTTTCTTAGCTTTAAAGTCATTGACGGACTGAGAGAGTGCTTTGCGTAAATAGCAAATATTCTACTTACGCATTGGCCATCGACCAATCAGGAATGAGTAATGTTGTTGAGTACATAAAAGTAGATCATTGAGAGGCTGCTAATTTTTTTAATCGCTTTTGGAAGTTGAAATTTTGGGAAAGAGGTTAAAGAAGTGAGCAGGTGCAGACCATTAAGACTCCTACGATATTTAGGTGGATTATTAAGAAAACAATTGACTAATAGAAATACACGGGAAGACAAACGAGAAAAAAAAGCTAAGTTGTACGCACTTCAAGTTCTCTTGCGTCAGCCGTCACAAAGATGAAAATTCACTGAATTAACCAAGCGCTTGTCTTTTTTCATCGTCGAGAATCATGTCACGGACACTTTCGGCCCAGCTCGCTACAAGAAACGAGGCCTTAATTTGGTTTGAGACTATTTTGTTCACTTTTATCAACATTGTGGCCTTTTTGGGAAATTTGCTTACTTTTTACGCCGTGTACAGAAACCACAGGCTCCGCACGCTTCCCAACATGTTCATAACAGCTCTGACTGTTAGCGATATCCTGATGGCAACTTGCTGTATGCCTTTCACAGTTGCAACTCTGTTCCACGGCCGGTGGATGTTTGGTGAAACGTTTTGTAGAGTTCACGGTTTTGAAGTTTTCACATTCGGAACAGCCTCTTTGGTTACAATGGGAGTTATTGCAGTCAGTCGATATTTCTGCGTTGTGAAATTTGAGCGTTATGCAGTATTATTCACGAAGAAAAGAGCTTTGATATACATAACTGCGGCATGGTGCGTCTCTCTCATTCCATCTCTGCCTCCGTTATTTTTTAAGAGAGACGGCTTTGAATTTCAGCCAGGGAAAGCCATGTGTTTGTACACATTTAAAAATATCGCTTATGTATCTGTCAACGAGTTTTTTTACATTGCAACGACCATGACAGTCATAACCATCTGCTATGTCAAAGTGTTTCGAGAGGTTTCAAGATTAAATCGTGTTTTTTCGCACCGAAATGACCTGCATCAGCTCAGAGTTAACGTGGAAGAGGCAAAAGTAACGAAAACTTTGTTAGCAGTTCTCGTTGGCTTTGCATGTTGTTGGCTTCCGATTGGTGTTATGGATAACATCGATGCTGTGCGCGGCGAGCATACTTTGCCACGAAGAGCTTACATAACTTACGCCTTCTTGTTATATTTAAGTAGCGCCATAAACCCTTTCATTTATGCAGCCATGAGTAAGCAGTTTAGACGAGAGTACAAGGATATTTTGAGTAAATATTTCGTTTTCTGAGCTAAAACGATGCCGGGGAAAAGCGATTTATAAAGCCAAAGCTAGTAGGCGGAAACTTTTTCGTGTCTTTCAAAGCTCGAGTACGAAAGCGTGATTCAGTTGCAGGTTCATTGAATATCGTAGTTAAAACTGATAGAGGAAAACTTATGCGTAACGTTTGCGGTAAACGACAAAGGACAAAAATACAATCTGCATTCAGTTGTTGCTTTTAATGCTGAACACCTCTGTTTGATCAGGTTTAAAACAGATCTTGTGCTGTTTGCTATGACCCTAACTGAACGTAATGCTTAAACGCTCTTTTTTCACCCAGATTAGATCTATTAATTTGAGAGTACAGTTCCTAAAGAAATCATTTGTTATCCCTCCTTGAAGCATTGTTACTCAAGGTACCTTCAAGAAGTAGATATTCAGTACGGATTCTTTATTTATTTTATTTAAGATTCAATTAAAGATGAGGTTTAAGGTAATGGTGCTAATTTGAAATCAAGGAGATTGTTGGAGACGGCCGCGAATGGCAAACCAAACCAATTCAATCCGACGAAACCTTCACCCCTTGTAGTCACTGGAAAAGAAAGTGTTTCGGTCAAGCTTGAGTTAGGTCAAGTGCAGCGGAGGGAAAGACTCAGTCATATTAGCAACTGTGAGGTATTCTATATCTTTAGAGATTATAACTGATAAAACTCGTTAGAGGTTACGAAATTACGGAAATTATCGTGGATAAACGAATTTCGTATTGTGTGATTACCGATCGATACGATTTTCAAATTACATGCATCAGAAGCTAGGGGGCCGCCTGAAAAAACCAATTATATACAGTCCGATTTTTTAGATATAACCCCGGAGGTCATCTGAATTAATGAGCTTTTAATTCTCTTTTCTTTCTGGTTTCCAATGCTTTTTAGCAATTCAAAAAAGGTAAAATCTGATAAAGTCAAAGACAATACAAAATCTGATTATATTATTAAACCAAACAAAGCGATTATCAGAAGAAAATATTAATTGCTTGTAGAGTTTAGCTAAAAATTTCTTGGTCTGCGAGAAGGACGACTCACTGAGAATGAACGGGAAACACTTTTCTTTCAATAAATTATAAACAACTTTTGATATACCGGTAGTTTTTCCTTTGGTTGTAATCATAGATAGCCTAGATAGCCTAAGGGCCTGAAATAATTTTTCTTTTCAAACCGAATGTAGAATAGATCCTTAAAAGAGATATACGTACAGCTGTGAGACAATTGCGCGATGTCTTGTCATGTGTGATTTTCATACATGATAAGTAATGGTAATCGGACTGAGTGGGGTTCAACTCGGTCTGTAATCAAACGAGTGGTAACAAAATCAGGCGACCGCGCAGCGGGAGTCCGATTTGTTTATCACGAGTGTGATTACGGAACGAATTGGACGACACGAACGCTTATTACCAATTAATCATAAAATTACAATTTCCGACAAACGAAAAATTGTCAAGTTATGAAAGAAAGGGAAAATTTGCATTAAAAGGTTGTGAATGGTTGATTTAAATTACAGCTTTGAATATCATTGGCTTATCAAACTGTTCCACAGGAAACTGCCCGATAACAACTTGGCAGGTGAATTCATAGAAAATAGGAGTTTTGTAAACCAATCGCCATCGAGGAAATTGTAATTTTTGTTAGTAATTGGGAAACGAGTGTCCCTCTTTATTATTTGCTTGGGCCCAGTTATAAAAAGGGTGAAAAACGCTATCCAACCGATAAATCGCTATCCGATGGATAAGTGATCATGATAGCAAAACATAAAGCGTTAACCACCAGATAGGCTTTTATCCAGTGGATAGCGCGCGTATCCAACTTTCGAACAAATGGGGCCAAAAGTTTATATTTCTGTAGATATAGGAGAAACTGGTGTAAATTGTGACAATTTGCGATCGGCCTTTTTATTGACACCTTAGAGTTTTCGACCCGTTTTGTTTGCAATTCAAACAAATTTTTAATTTAAATATGTTTCCGGATGGTCAGAAAATTTCTCCAAAAAACTCCCCATATCAGCTGACGTTATCAAATCCAAAACTGCTGATAAAAACAAGCTCCTCTCGAGTTATCCATGGGTACAAGCCAATCTGTGTTTGCAATAAACTCAGTTTGTAAAACCAATAAAGTGTGTGCGTGTTAGACCGTTAAGAGTATACAAAGGTATTGAGATGTGTTCTCGACTTATACCAGAAAGTGACATTGCTTACTTATCAGTCTATGTCCGTCAATCAGCTTTTTACACGTGCGTCATTTACTGGTGTTGTATCCTCTACCGAAACTAATGTTTGCAGTGAATTTAGAACTCCTTGCAAAGAGATGGCTTTGAAAATTCCGGTCCTTGTTCACCTTCGATGAACTTGCAATTACAAACGTGACAAGACTGTCTCAATATTTTCTTTATGCAAGGCTGAAACAATAAAAAGCAATATCGTTCGCAAACAAATGAAGGAAAGGTGGTTATTTAAGCAAAAGAAATTCGTATTTACCTTATCTTATAAACTAGAGTATTTATCTTGCTTGCCTGTAGGCACGTACCAAAAAGATTTTGTCACATTGCTTTCGAGTCGTTTGAATGCTGTCGATAATGGCTCCGACGGAATCACTTTCTTTTGCTCTTGCTACGAGGACCGAAGCTACAGTTTGGGCTGAAACAACTGTGTTTGCTTTTATGAACGTTTTGGCTTTCTTTGGCAATCTTCTCACATGTTACGCCGTGTACAGAAACCACAGACTCCGTACGCTTCCCAACATGTTCGTAATTGCATTGGCTGTCAGCGACATTCTATTGTCTACCTGTTGTTCGCCTTTCACAGTTGTAACTCTATTTCGTGGCCAGTGGGTGCTTGGCGAAACTTTTTGTGAGTTTTTTGCCTTCGGAGTGTTCATTTTTGGAATGGCTTCTCTTAATACCATGGGAATTATTGCAATCAGCCGATATTTCCGCATTGTTAAATCAAACAAGTATATTGTCCTTTTTAAAAAGAACCGTACTCTGATGTACATCGCCACTGTATGGTTCATAGCCTTGTTGGGATCTGTGCCTCCATTGTTCTTCGATAAAGAATCAGGATTTGAATTCCAGCCTGGAAAAGCGATGTGTGCGTATTCATTTGAGAGCAATATTCCTTTCACGTCCTTCACTGAATTGTACATTGGAACCCCTTTCATAATCATTTCAGTCTGTTACGTCAAAGTATTCTGTGCAGTATCACGCGCAAATCGCGTCTTCTCGCACCAGAATAATTTCCAGCAAATCCGAGCGAATGTGGAAGAGGCCAAAGTTACCAATACGTTGGCAGCAGTCATGGTTGGATTTTCATGTTGTTGGCTACCTGTATGTGTAATTGATATTACTGACGCCGCGCACGGGAAAAAAATTCTTCCGCGACAAATATACCTCACTTACACTTCGTTAATCTTCTTGAGCAGTACTATCAACCCTTTCATATATGGCGTCACGAATAGGCGATTCCGACGAGAGTACACAGCTATCTTAAGTAAGATTATAACGCCTTTCCGAAACGGAGACAACTGATGGCGTGAAATTTTGACGCGTGCTATCTAAGTAGTAGAGGAGTTTTTTCATGTTCACATTACCTCATCTTAACACAAATGGGAAAGGGGTGTTACAAACTGAGATCTGAGTTCCTTCAAGGGGAACAAGAGAGACGCTTTTTATATTTGAAACAAGGATTACATAAAACCGTGTGCCCGTACATCTATAGATTGTAGATGACGTCAAAATATGACGATAGCTAAAAAATGGCACACGAGCCGCAGGCTATAAAATAAATGAACAGACACACGGCAAAATTAGATTAATATGTCTTAAATGATGCGAAGAAAGTGCACCGGCAAAAAATTTCAACTTGTTTCTTAGTGTTTAACTGTTCGAGTCGTGCGTTCCTGATCAAGTATCCTTTAATAACCTAGGTTTTAGTACCCAGTGTCTTTTTGTAGCTCGTGTACAGCTCATAGTTGTCTTCAACGGCCATTTCTAGAGAGACCTTGAAACCATTTTTAAAATTTATACGCCGTGTTGGACAAGGCAATGGAAAGAGGTTTTATGTTGTCAGCCGTGAGCGGTTTATACAAAAAAACAATATTTATATTCTGTTCACTAACATCTCTAGTTGAATTCTTAACTTATTTAATGCTAACAAGACTCAAAAAAAAAGAATTTAGCGCTTGTTTATTTGACTATTGTGTTTTTTTCTACATCTCAGTTTTGCTTACCATAACTACCTATATATATCTATGTATATGCAATAAATATAATTATATCTATATAAACATATGGGATCAATATGAGTGTCTGGAAAACTGCCCACCTACCCCTCCCTTAACTCAACAATAGTCAATTGATAACAAGTTAGGGTTAATGTTAAAATATGTATAAATTTGTGCCAAGATAGGGAAAAACATTATCATAACTTTCAAAGAAAGAAGAGTCCAGAAGGGTAAGCAGATTAAAGTCTTCAATAAATTCAGTGTCATTATCTGCACAAAATGTCGAGTTCCTGTAGACTTGAGAATCAAAAAAGGATTCTTTAAAATTGATTTGGTTTTGTAGCATTCACAGCTCTTGTAAGTAGCGTTTTTGCGTAGGTCGCTTTTCTATCACTTCACAGTCGTGTATTTCGTTTGCTTAAAATTTATCGTTTTATGTCCATGTATCACGTTTCACTTTTAAGTATAACACACAAAGCTTACATTTAACGTCGGCGTATCTCCATCACTGTAGCACATTTCGTGCAGCACACTTCACGGCTAACAAATAGGTGTTTCACGCTTGTTTCACGTTTCACGCTTGAGTATATGCATAAAGCGTTATAAAGCATCACGTATTGTACGCTTCACGGTGGCATAGGGGCCCAATGAGCAATAAAATTTGTCTGTGCACTATATTAAGGTGATTCCTCAGAAAAATGAGTTATCGAACAATTTTTTTTTTAAATTTCCATAAATGTTCTTCACCAATGTCTGTTTCGAAAAATACAATAAAAAAGATAGGTCACTGTGCTTGTTTGGGAGATATAATGGGCCAAGCCCATCACATTTATGCCCGTATTGGCACTAATCACGCGCGTCATTTCATCGGTTCACGGTACACTTTGCTACAGCTGGAAGCAAGGGTTTTAAAAGTAACACTTAAAAAAAAAACTTGATAAGTAGAAAGTCTCGGGCGTATGAAACAATTTTATATATAATTTGTAGGAAAATCACGCAAATTTAGACGACATCGACTCAAAACGTTTCTCGGGCCGTGCTTTTCAAGGTCGTAATTTACATCCTCGTGTGACGGGCTTCATGCACGCTTTTTGCTGTATCTTTTTTTCCCTTCGAAAAATTTTCATTTTATTTTTCCCAATTTAAAGGGGATACATTGTATACCAAAATTATGGAAAAAATGTAGCTCTCCGTGTTTGTTCAAGAGCTAAAGACTATCGTACCTCTTTACCTGGTCCATGGATTGAAAAACAATACCGTGTTCTCGGAATGCGCGCGCACTCATTCCCCTGATACGACGATTTTTATGCGCAGTGCAAGATGCGCAGTGCAAAACTGAGGAATCACCTTGACATGGAAAAGAAATTAAAATTTTTAAAAATTGTTATAGAAATAGCATTCACAACTCCTCCATATTGCCGTTAGTACGTCGTAAGCGTGTGTCGCTTATTTATGACTTTACACTGGTATATATCGTTTGACTAAAGTACATCTTTTCATGCTCACGCATCACGTTTCACGCTTGAGTGTAACAATCACAGAGCTCGCATTTAACGTTTGCGTATCTCGATGACAATAGTGCATCACGTTTCGCACGCTTCACGGCTAAAAACCGAGACAGGTGTTAAGAAAAAATCTACGCGCTGTGCCATTTAATTGATTAAAGAGTATAGTTGGCGGAAAGACATGACAAAAGGTAAAAGCCGCTAATTACGTGAACACAATAGATTACTTACCTCCAAAAGTGTTTATAATTTCAATTTTTTAAAATGAAATCCGGCGGTGTCTAGCTCTTCACTTTCACATCACTTGTTATTTTTTAATTTGTTAATCTGGAAAATTAGCAAGTCAAGTTAAAACTGTCATTTCTTTTAGATTTTTCCTACAAGGACTACGCATGTAGGTTAGAATACATAAAAAAATACTTCACTTCTTTTCAGATTTGTCTTTTAAGACCAGAGAGGTTTTTTCAAAAGGTAAAATTTGAAGATTGTATTTTATGTAACACAATCGACACAAATTACTTCCGCGGCTGACAAAAATTGAAAAATTTTGCTCTTATCAAAATACACAACTGAACAAAACAAATTATTTCCTTTATATATTCAGCTTGAAAAGCCCCCTCTGTGCGCTTGTTCGGTTATCGCAAGTCGTAATGGAAAATCTTTTGATCGAACTTGCTACAAGGACTACAGTTTTAGTTTGGACTGAAACAATTTTGTTTGCGGTTATCAATGTATTGGCTTTCTTTGGCAATCTTCTCACATGTTATGCCGTGTACAGAAACTACAGGCTCCGCACGCCTCCAAATATGTTCGTCGTAGCACTGGCTGTGAGTGATATTCTGATGTCCACCTGCTGCATGCCTTTTACAGTTACAACTCTCTTTATCGGCCGTTGGGAGTTTGGTGAAACTATCTGCCATCTTCAGGGGTTTGGAGCTTACACATTTGCGATTGTTTCCCTCTGTACCATGGGAGTAATTGCAGTGAGTCGATATTTCTGTATTGTTAAACCTGGGAAGTACCAAGAGCTGTTTACGAAGCGAAAAATTTTGATCTACATTATTATTGTATGGTGCGCAGCTTTGCCAGGTTCTGCGCCGCCATTTTTCATCGAAGACGGCAGATATAAGTTCCATGCGGGTGAAGCAATATGTTTGAGTAGGGATAACATTACATTTTTGAGCCTAACCTACTGTGTTTACATTATCACTCCATTTACGGTCATTGCCGTCTGCTACATCAAAGTTTGCCGTGCTGTTTCCAGATCAAATCGTGTTTTCCCGCAGAAAAATAGCCTCCTGAACCGCCGGGTAAATATAAAAGAAGCAAAAGTGACAAAGACTTTGATAGCAATTCTGTTCGCCTTCTCGTGTTGTTGGCTTCCAGTTTATGTCATGAATTTTGTTCAAATTCATTATGGGGAATACTCTTTACGGCGACAATGGTATCTTGCAGTCGGGTTTTTGTTGTATTTGAGTAGCTCTATCAACCCTTTCATATACGGTATCATGAATAGACAGTTTAGACAAGAGTGCAGAAGTATTGTGCGTAACGTTCTTCGCTTAAAAAAATCAAAATAATAATGGCTAAGGTATCGATTGTTATTTATCCCCTGTGGGGAGGGGGCTAGAGGGTTTTGGTTGTGTCATCATAAAAATTTATCTGATCCCCATGAGGCCTCTTATGACACTGATCCCTCAGACTACATAGCCGGTTGTCTCGTAACCAGACCTTTCACGACCAAGCGGTCGTAAGTTTTGCATTTCAGTGACATTTGCACGGTAGGATCTGGGTACGAGATTTACATAGCTGGATAGTGCGATAACAAATATACGGTTTTCACTGTGAATAAAGAAAAAATTATCAATTTACTTTATTTTAATGTAGTAAAGACAGTTTCGTAGTCGCCACATCAGACTGCATGTAAAAAGTTATCAAGTGTTCGAATCGAAGCTACAAACTGAACAACTGATATCGGAAAATAAATAAATGTTTACAAAAGTTTGAAGATGCGTGATATGAGTCACGCGTGCATTTTGCGTGCCTTATTTCTTGGTACTCAATTTTCGTGCTTGTGGTGTTTCACGCGCGTGGTTGGCACTACACGCGCGTGGTTGGCACTACACGCGCGTGGTTGGCACTACACGTGCGTGGTTGACACTCCACGCGCGTGGTTGGCACTACACGTGCGTGGTTGGCATTCAACGCTTGGTTTTGGTCGCCCACTTTAACACTTTCGTTAACAACGCCTTCTACTCGCATTTATTTTTCCCCCCTCACACCTGTGCCAAAAAAAAGCCTCGAACGCTTTATCTTAAGCAGCTAAAAGTAATCATTTTCAGTAAAATTTCAGTCCGAAATAAGCGTACGTAGAAAAAGCAGTCCTCGATTATACAGCTCAATTAAATGACACAAGGTTTTCCTCATTATCGAAAAATGTGTGCAAATTAATCTCGCTGCCTGCCCCCTAAAATCAAACGCACGTGTCAAAAATCAGCTAATAGTGTCTTAGGTTGAACACCAAACTCTAAATTCGGAAACTGTTGTCTGAAACTGGACACTAGTACCTAAAATCGGACACTAGCGTCCAAAATCGGACACCAGCGTCAAAATCGGACTCTAATATCCAAGATCGGACATAACTGTCTAAAATCGAACTCCAGCGTCTAAATTCAGACACTAGCGTCTAAATCGGAAACTGCCGTCAAATATCGGACACTTGTGTCCAAAATCGACCATTTAAGTCTAAAATCGGACATTCATGTTTAAAATCGGACGGTAGTGTCTAAAATCGGACACAAATGTCTACAATCGGTCACTATTGTCTAAAATCGGACATGTAACCATGATTGTAACGTTTGATCGTACCATGCAGAAGATTTCGCGCTACATATTCCCGCGATGTGACGTCAGAGGCATGTGACCCACGGGGGAATCTATTTGGAACCAGTCTACGTATTTCAAATAATCTGAGATTAATTCCACCGATGCAGCATCACAGATATTTTAGAAACTTGTCCCCTTTATTAATGTCTGTTAGTTGATTTAACGCCGAAATTTGGCTCTAGTTCGCAGCTAAAAAGCGTTTTGAGTGAAGACAGAACAGCGCCAACAGCGTGGAAGAAGAGAAAAAAACGAGTCCCGCGAAAAGTAACTATCCTCCGACCAAAACAACTCAGGCCAAATATTATCAGAGTCCGGAGGTATCCCGACTGGAAAATTTAAGAAATTTGTGAAACATTCCCTAACGCATTTTGGCCTATTTTGGACAAGTTTTTGAGGAAAAGCTTTTTAAAATTTTAAATCTATTTTTTTTTCTTTGCATTTGTCCCATACAGTACAGTACGTATCATCACATACGCCGGTGCTGCGCATTAGTCTAAAGACTACCTCCCAGCTCTTTTTACAATATCAATACATATCAAAAAGAAAACTGATGAGACGAAAAAAAGTCATTAACAGTTTAAAGTCATTTAACAAGTTTTCGGAGCTACAATTTTAAAGACTGTATTGAAGATAGAGGAGAGAATTCGGTTTTAGTAAAAATCGCTGAGCGAGTTGGCGCCGGTGCTCCAGTGTACTTGGCTGCTGTGCTCGAATATCTGAGTGCTGAGATCCTTGAGTTGGCGGGCAACGCTGCTCGTGACAACAAGAAGACAAGAATCATTCCCCGTCACCTTCAGCTGGCTGTCCGTAGTGACGAGGAGTTGAATAAACTTCTGGCCGGTGTCACAATCGCACAGGGAGGTGTTCTTCCTAACATCCAAGCTGTACTTCTGCCCAAGAAGACCGAGAAGAAACCTAAGGCTTAGATCAGCTTCACCCTCTATAAAACGGCTCCTTTAGGAGCCACCACATGATACAAAAGTCTTGACCAACGAGACAAGTCGCTGACCTATTTAAGAATTTCTAGCCGAAAACAACATCGACTAAGATATCACCTCGATACTTTTCTGTAAGAGCCCTTGAATTAGGATGAGGGAGGAATTAAGTTAATAAAAGGATTCATTCAAAGGCACGCTCAAAAGATCACGGAAATTTTGCATATAAATAAACGAAAAAGAAAATCGTGGTCGGTAACTTCATTGCCTCCGATGATTTCGGCTCCCGCGCCTCAACCACTAACGGGCACAAAAATCGCGCCATTTTCAGTATTAATGAATATACAATGAAAAATTTTGGAGACCTTACAGATGGACTGATTCAATAAGACTTTCACTCTAAAGGGGGGGGGAAAGAACAGCAAAACGTTTAAAAACCGCCAACTCTCTTAGCGATTTTTACAAAGAACGCAATGATGGGGGGGGGGGGGTTGTTTGAGGGCTAATTTCTTCTTCTTGATTGCCATATGAACTCCTACGACCCGCGAGTATTTGAAAAAAGTAACGGACTTTAATGAGAATTGATCCATAGCTCCAGTTAAAGCTAGATACGCATGAAAATCTATAGGGTATTTTTTTTAAGGACAAGACTATTGAATTTTTTTTCCAGATTCTTAATAAGCGAGATACACATGCGACCTAAACATGCATCATAAATGTTAACACATTTATTGATCATGACTTTTTTCGTATTTGGTGGCTCCTAAAGGAGCCGTTTGTTTTGTATCAGGATGGTGTGTCTAACCGCCAAATCCGTACAGAGTGCGGCCTTGTCTCTTCAGAGCGTACACCACATCCATGGCTGTCACAGTCTTTCTCTTAGCGTGCTCCGTGTATGTCACAGCATCACGAATCACGTTCTCGAGAAAAACTTTGAGAACACCACGGGTCTCCTCGTAGATCAAGCCGGAGATTCGCTTGACACCGCCACGGCGAGCAAGACGACGGATGGCTGGCTTAGTGATACCTTGGATGTTATCACGAAGGATTTTTCGGTGACGCTTGGCGCCACCTTTTCCGAGACCTTTACCTCCTTTACCGCGACCAGACATATTGATTATCACTCGTGTGTTTGAGTTATAGCGATTGAACGAACGTTATTAGGTTTTATACAGAAAGATAAGACCTCTCAGAAAACAGAATGGGAATAGGGGTTGCTATTGGTTGAGTCAAATATCTAATCATAATTTTACTGTTATATTAACATGTATTAACATAAATCACACGGTAATCCCGCACGCGTATGTTTCAATGGAAAACAAGTCTGCTCCATCCAAAAGTCACTTGTGAACTACGCTTAAAATTGGTTTTTCTCTCTAATTATGCTTTATGTTAAATTTAAAGCGAGGATAATACTTAGGTTATACCTAAACGACCTTCCATGTTACTTCGGATCAAAATAAGATTGCAGAAATTATTCACAGCTTTCGTACCTAACCAATCAAATCTCTTCATTTTAAGCCAATCACAAGTAAGCCCGCCAGGTATAAATCAATTTCAATATACAATTCCCCATCATCAGATATTCTGAGTCGTTGAACAGGATGGCACGTACGAAACAAACTGCACGAAAATCAACCGGCGGAAAAGCTCCACGAAAACAGCTCGCCACAAAGGCAGCTCGTAAGAGCGCTCCTGCCACCGGTGGAGTCAAGAAACCTCATCGTTACAGACCTGGTACAGTGGCTCTTCGTGAGATCCGTCGTTACCAGAAATCCACCGAGCTCTTGATCCGCAAGTTGCCCTTCCAGCGCCTTGTGCGAGAAATCGCTCAAGATTTCAAGACAGATCTGCGTTTCCAAAGCTCTGCTGTGATGGCTCTTCAAGAAGCTAGCGAGGCTTACCTTGTTGGTCTGTTTGAAGACACCAACTTGTGCGCCATCCACGCCAAGCGTGTCACCATTATGCCCAAGGACATTCAGTTGGCCCGCCGAATCCGCGGAGAAAGAGCATAAGTGGACTTCACTTCGAATTACAAACGGCTCCTTTAGGAGCTACCACATGAATAAAAGCAATGACCAAACTATGAGTCCCTCAACAACCAACTTAACAGCCTTAAACTGGAAATATGAAATGAGAAATTATACCATCTGAAATTGTCCTACTCTCTGAGTGGCAAGTCCTAACCGCACAGAAAACATAGTTGTCCAACCTAAAGCCGTTCATAGGAAAATATTTAATTTTTATCTCCAAGATAAGCTAAACATTCTATTTTTTTTACCATTTATCATTTACATGTATCTATCTCTGAGACATGTAATTTTTTTGGCGCTAATATAATGTAAATCATCAGCGCTCCCTGGTAAGTTTCGTAGTCACTCTCATGGGCTTCTTTAAGTTAAAAACATGACACATTTTTCATGAGTTATCAATTCACAATAAAAGACACTTTTACCTTATTTACCAAATTAAGCACACTTCCTATCGAGGTTGTGCATTAAGTGGCGAACGTTGTTTCTTCAATCCTGTTTGTATCTTAAAACAAGTTTTGGTCGTTGTTGAAATTTAGATGCCGGTCTGTCTTTGAATTTTACTCATTTTTTACACAAAGGCTTAACTTAGGACTCCGTCTTTCCGACCGTAACCATATGATGTTTGTAAACTTGAATTTTCTTTTTTTGGGTGCTTGGTTTGTCCGCAAGCCCGGACCTACTACCTCGCCCCATAGAGGATCGTAAAAGTGACTCTCTATCGATCGACAATGGAGTATACTAGATACTCACAAACAGCATGCTATTCCGCGTAGTTCTGAACTTCACAGCACAACGTATAGGAGATCTGTTGCAGAATTTAGCAAGCACATCACATTGTCATCTGGTGTGCAATTTCTGCTTTGTGAATAAACTTTATTTCTGAGAATAAAGCTCTCTAACTCCACTCCGCTCTTGGTATAAAGTCTGCTCGGGAGTTGAGAGCGCGCAACTGATTCATGCATAACTAGCTTGTTAGAAAGCGAGGCAAATATGCCACACTAAGCAGATAACCTTGTTCCATCACCATTGATTTCAAACGATTGCTATTTAGCCATATTTTCGGGTCATTTTGCTCATTCAAGAAATTTAGCATACAGGTCACGTATAAAATGGCGGAAATTGTAGTTTTGTTCTTCTTGTTCAAATTTAAAGTCCGCTCTGCCTTTGAATATGCATCAAAATGCTCATTTTTCATACACATGCAAAGTCTAGGGCCTCTTCCTTCCTAAAATGTCTAATTTAATGATGAAAGGCGACTTAAAGAGAACTTCTTTCGTCATTTATCCAAAGTTCTTCTTGGAATCTCACCGCTTTGTAGACTTTTGACCGTAAAACGTCATTCTAACTTTGAGTAAATCAAAGTATATTTCACATATGATTGTTGCCATATAACGAAGCTAAAATATTTTTTATTAGCGAGGACTTGAAGTTATTTAATGAGCTTGTTATCGAGCAAAATGTCAAGCAAACTAGCACAGTTTGAACGACGCCATTTTGTAACAACCCTGTTTCCTCGGCGGTTCGTTTACGACGAATAACATCACCTTGCGCGCTCCATGAAATCATTACTAGTCTCTGTTGCTAAGGATCTACAGCACACGACATGTCCGAAGAAAAGTCCCCAGTTAAAAAGCAGCCAGCTGCGCCCAAAAAGCCAGCTGAGCATCCACCTTATTCTGAAATGATCAAAGCTGCTATCTTAGCGTTGAAAGAGCGAAACGGTTCTTCCCGACAAGCCATCGAGAAGTACATCAAGGCTAACTACAAGGTTGGTGAGGTTGGCTCGCACTTGAAGATGGCTTTGAAGAGGGGTGTTACTAGTGGCAAGCTTGTCCACACCAAGGGAGTTGGTGCTTCTGGTTCTTTCAAAGTGGCCAAGGAGGAAAAGAAGGAGAAGAAGCCGAAGAAGAAGCCAGCTGCAAAGAAGAAGCCTGCTGCCAAACCAAAGAAGCCCGCCGCCAAAAAGGCAGCGGCGAAGAAACCAGCGGCGAAGAAGGCAGCAAAGAAACCCGCCGCCAAAAAGCCAGCAGCGAAGAAACCCGCAGCTAAAAAACCAGCTGCAAAGAAATCTGCGGCCAAAAAACCAGCAGCGAAGAAGCCTGCAGCTAAAAAGCCCGCCAAGAAAGCTCCGAAGAAATCTCCGAAGAAGGCGGCCAAGAAATAAGGAGGATATCAACTCCTCATTTAATCAAACGGCTCCTTTAGGAGCCACCACATTCAAGAAAAAGTTATGACCAACTCAGTTTTAAATCCGTCTTCGATAATCGAGTTTAACTTTTCGATAAATTTGGTGGTGGCTCTAACTAAAAGTTTTACCCGATAAAGGTCGCTTTACCGTCAGATAAATTAGGTTTTATGAGGATATCGCTGCTATAGGGATGCATAAGTGCGTAGTAATGTTACACATCGATTTAAAATGGGCGCCTGAATGTCCTTGTTTATTTGAGACAATTTTCCTACAGACCGTCCATGACAGATACACTAGGTACATAGCGATGTTAACCTCGTCACGCATCGCGTTCCCTCAGGCAAAGCAGGGAGGTTTTCTCGATAAACTGCCTCTTTTTTATCGCTCTGAGCGACTATCGATCTCTGGGGAATATCTCCAGGCTAAGCAAAGTCGTCAGTCTTTCCTTGTAGCTTTCAAAGTTTTCTGTTTTCTTGAAACTCCAACTTTGACGAGTATCACATGTAGCTTGCGGCATTTGTGCTCTGCTTTGAAGGATAAAAAACAAGCCGAGGATTTGGGACTAATCACTAACACTTTAAGCACACACAAGACCATTAACTTCGCAGGCTAGCTCTCGATCTTTCATGTTTTGAAAGTTGAGGTGCACTGAGTGAGAATGAAAGAATGGGCTCAAGTGAATGTCTGACTCTACTACTCGGGTTCTTTTCGGGCCGTCTGTGTCTCGCAGCTCATTCAATAACCACTAGAATATATTTCCGTCAAAGAACCCGCCGCGTCGAGGGCATTGGCCGCTAAGAAAAGCTTCAAAATCCGGAGATCTACTGTAGATCGATCACGATCCAGGTGATCGAGAACTTACTGGTGATAACTTTAAAAAAAAATTCTAGTTCTTCAAAGTTATAATTCTTATGTAACATTTTGTAAAGGAAATCATGAACATTTAATTTGTTACATTTTGTTTCGCCTGGTCAAGAAACACTTCGTGCGGTCAGTTTAAAACATACCTTGTACACAAGGAAAACTCTAACCAAATCCAAACCATCATAGTTGATATTAAGAGAAACATTTTCATTTAAACTCGTATTACGTTAATGACTGACTTTCATAGCATTTGGTGGCTCCTAAAGGAGCCGTTTGTTTCGGCGGGAAACCCACAAAGTGAGTTTACTTGCTGCTGGTGTATTTGGTCACAGCTTTGGTTCCTTCACTGACGGCATGTTTTGCCAGTTCACCGGGCAAAAGCAGCCTGATAGCGGTCTGGATTTCGCGAGAGCTGATGGTCGACTTCTTGTTGTAGTGGGCAAGGCGGGAAGCTTCGGTGGCGATGCGCTCGAAGATGTCGTTAACGAACGAGTTCATGATGCCCATGGCTTTGCTGGAGATACCAGTGTCGGGGTGAACTTGCTTCAACACCTTATAGATGTAGGTAGCATAGCTTTCCCTTCTCTTTCCTCACCTCTTCTTCTTTCCATCAGCAATGGCTTTAGCCTTTCCGGCTTTTTTCTCGCCTTTCTTTCCTGCAATTTTAGCTGGCATCTTGCTGAATCAAAAAGGTGAATAGATGTGCAGCGCAACTCGTCTTGTATTTATATCAGAATCGTAAGAGAATCTATTACCATACGGATCGAGATTCTCGATCAATGATTGGCCTATTACTATATGCTAGCCCCGGAGGTCAATTTGTATGTTATTCTTTCTTTAATCAGAAAATTACAATGCTATCAAATCGCGCGAAGCTTAAAATTGATTGGTGCTTTTCGATCCTTCCTGCATAATGAACGAACTATAAATAACAGACTTGGTACAAGTTTACTATTCATTCTTATTGTTGACAGTAGAGCAAGTCACAACGAACATGTCTGGTCGCGGTAAAGGAAAAGCTAAGGGCACTAAGTCTAAGAGCCGCTCTTCTCGAGCAGGACTTCAATTCCCAGTTGGTCGAATTCACCGTCTTCTCCGCAAAGGAAATTACGCTGAGCGAGTTGGCGCCGGTGCCCCAGTGTACTTGGCTGCTGTGCTCGAATATCTGAGCGCTGAGATCCTTGAGTTGGCGGGCAACGCTGCTCGTGACAACAAGAAGACAAGAATCATTCCCCGTCACCTTCAGCTGGCTGTCCGTAATGACGAGGAGTTGAATAAACTTCTGGCCGGTGTCACAATCGCACAGGGAGGTGTTCTTCCTAACATCCAAGCTGTACTTCTGCCCAAGAAGACTGAGAAAAAACCCAAGGCATAAATCAGTCTTAATCCAACAAAAACGGCTCCTTTAGGAGCCACCACATGATACAAAAGTCTTGACTAGCTAGATACGATGAGATGAATAAGAACTATGAAAATATCATCTCAGAACCCCTCCACCCCAGTTTCCAATTTTATGTTATGAAGTGATAAATCCAAAGAATCTTTGGACGCGAATGTCGATCAACGACCAAATAAATTTATTAAGTTTCCGCACACCAAAATCGTAGAAATAACGACTTCCGATACGTTACTCGACGCAAAGGTGTTTAACTGTCGCTCCAAAATCGTTGATCGCCACCTAACCGCAAAATTCCGTACAGAGCTTACACCAAGATCTTAGAAACAACGCCGTTGGAACTTTTACTTGACGCAAATGTGCGTGAGTTGCGCGCCAAAATCGTTTATCGTTGAGGTAAGTACTAAAACACGGAACGACCTAAACCACCTACAACGACCTATAATCACCTCAAAAATTGCAAAATCTGTGGTGTATTCCTCTTTCTTAGAGTAACGCAGTGGGTACCGCGAAAAAAAAACAATTGCGCTTACATACGTATAGACCTCGTTCTTTAGCGTGACCAAACGGTGTGTGCAAACACGCAGACCTTGTTTCTGAGCAGTTCGAAAAGAGCTGACATATTCAAATATATTATCTTCGTTCTGCATTTGAACCGACATATTCAAATGTAAATTCTTCGTTCTTCATTAAACCGAACCAAAACTGTAATTCAAATTGTAATTCAAATTGTAATTAAAAGTCATATCTTTATTCCTCCTTCTTCAAGTGTAATTCAAAATTAAATCACTGAGCATTTCGACTTCGCTGGCTAGTAAACTGACAAATATATATTCTTTGGAGCACTAGTTTAGCTGACCTCTCCTTTAATTTTTATTCGACTACGGGAGTGCGGGACTGCGTGAGCACTAGTTTAAATGGCCTCTCCTTTAATAATTATTCGACTTCAGGAGCAATTGATTTAAGTAACGTTCAAAAGTGGCCGGGTATTGTGAACTTGCGTGCAATGTTCTTTTTCCAAGCTACTGCCCCATATCGTGACGCGCGAGGATGGTGCAATCATTTTGTTTAGCAAATGTATGAGGGAGATGTAAGCGTTTGTAAGACACCTTGAAAAGGCATTAATGTATATTGATCATGACTTTCTTTGTATTTGGTGGCTCCTAAAGGAGCCGTTTGTATTGTGTCAGGATGGTCATTTTAACCGCCAAATCCGTACAGAGTGCGGCCTTGTCTCTTCAGAGCATACACCACATCCATGGCTGTCACAGTCTTTCTCTTGGCGTGCTCCGTGTATGTCACAGCATCACGAATCACGTTCTCAAGAAAAACTTTAAGAACACCACGGGTCTCCTCGTAGATGAGACCGGAGATTCGCTTGACACCGCCACCGAGTTGGTTTTTCTCTTTAGTTATGCTATATATTAAATTTTAGATGAGGATAATATTTATTACATCGCTAACTGGTTTTGATGTTTTGCTTTGTGAATAATCCATTGTAATCATATTTTAAGAACACTCTCAAAGTTGACTTCGATCTTGCCCTATGATCGAGAGCGCGCGACCAACTCATGCAAAAACTGGTTTGGCTGATCCGTAACGAGGCAAATCCAGAAAAACTATGCACAGAAACTTGCTCAATCGCTTTTATTTTTAAAAGGTTTCCTACAAAAGTAAGACCTAGCTTCGAGTCATTTTTTTCAGTCGGGACATTTAACATTGTACCATTCGTCCAGGTGAGTCACATATGACAAATGGCGGATGTTGTAGTTTTGTTCTTCTTGTTTGAGTTTAGAGGCCGCTCTGCCTTCGAATATGCATCAAAATGTTCATTTTCTCAAACAATTACAAAGTTAGGGACTTCTTCTTTCATATGATATTTAATATACTATTGAAAAGTGACTCAAACAAAACTCCTTTCATCATTCATTCAAAGTTTTCGTTTGAACCTTAATGCTTTCTACACTTTTGACCCTAAAAATTCATTCTTTATTTTAGTAAGTCAAACTTTTCTTTACACCTACATTTTATGAGATAACTTAGCTATGCTCTTTATGACTAGAAAATATCTGATGTTATTGAATTAGCTCGTTATGAACTGAAATGTCAAACAAACTAACACAGTTTGGGCGCCGCCATTTTGCGACAACTCTGTTTCCTCGGTGGTCCGTACACGAAGAATAATATTGCCTTGCGCGCGCTCTTAGCAATCATTATTGCTCCTTGTTCCGAAAGTTCTACAGCAAACGACATGTCCGAGGCAAAGTCCCCCGCTAAAAAGAAGCCAGCTGTGCCCAAAAAGCCAGCTGAGCATCCACCTTATGCCGACATGATAAAAGCTGCTATCTTAGCGTTGAAAGAGCGAAGCGGCTCTTCCCGCCAAGCTATCGAGAAGTACATCAAGGCCAACTACAAGGTTGGTGAGGTCGGCTCGCACTTGAAGATGGCTTTGAAAAGGGGTGTTACTAGTGGCAAGCTTGTCCACACCAAGGGAGTTGGTGCTTCTGGTTCCTTCAAGGTGGCCAAAGAGGAAAAGAAGGAGAAGAAGCCGAAGAAGAAGCCAGCTGCAAAGAAGAAGCCTGCTGCCAAACCAAAGAAGCCCGCCGCCAAGGAGAAAGCAAAGAAACCAGCGGCCAAAAAGCCAGCAGCGAAGAAACCCGCCGCTAAGAAGCCAGCAGCGAAAAAACCCGCTGCTAAAAAACCAGCAGCAAAGAAACCTGCGGCCAAAAAACCAGCAGCGAAGAAGCCTGCAGCTAAAAAGCCCGTCAAGAAAGCAGCGAAGAAATCACCAAAGAAGGCGGCCAAGAAATAAGGAGGATATCAACTCTTCATTAAATCAAACGGCTCCTTTAGGAGCCACCACATAAAAGGAAAAGTTATGACCAACTGAGTAATATCCCGTCTTAGATGTTCCAGTTCGACTTTTCGATAATTAAGGTCATGGCCCTCACTCCGATTTTACCCATTAATGGTCGCTTAATCGTCAATCAGAATGAGTTAAAATGAGAAAATAGCTGCTAGAAGAGCGCATAACGCGTCAATTTCGAATAGGCACGTAAACTTTTCTTTATGTTATTCTGACAATTGTGTTACAGACACGCCATGTCAGATACACCAGCTACTTAGCGGTGTTAATCTCGTCACGCATCACGTTCTCCCCGCCTACAGACAAAAGATAAACAAGAGAGAAACAACCATCGGTCTCTGGAGAATATTTCCGTACTAAAAAAAGTCGTCAGTCGTTACTTGTAGACTCCAAAGATTTCTGTTCTCTTGAAACTTCATCTTTGTCGAGTATTGTATGTAGCTTGCATGTGTTTTTGCTCCACTTTAAGTGTAAAAACTTTCTATATTTCTATATTTCGTTTCGTCAAGAACACAGTTCGCACAATCCGGTTAAAAACAAAATACTAGTTGATACTAGGGGAAACATTCTCATTTTTAAAGCTCGTATCGCGTTCGCAATTGACTTTCATAATATTTGGTGGCTCCTAAAAGAGCCGTTGGTTTTGGCGGGAAACCTACAAAGTGAGTTTACTTGCTGCTGGTGTACTTCGTCACAGCTTTGGTTCCTTCGCTCACAGCGTGTTTAGCCAGTTCACTGGGCAGAAGCAGCCTGATGGCAGTCTGGATCATTCCCCGTCACCTTCAGCTAGCTGTCCGTAATGACGAGGAGTTGAACAAACTTCTTGCCGGTGTCACAATCGCACAGGGAGGTGTTCTTCCTAACATCCAAGCTGTACTTCTGCCCAAGAATACCGAGAAAAAAACCCAAGGCATAAATCAGCCTTAACTCATCAAAAACGGCTCCTTTAGGAGCCACCACATAATACAAAAGTCTTGACTAGCTGGATACGATGAGGTGAATAAGAACTATGAAAATATCATCTCAGAACCCCTCGACCCCAGTTTCCAATTTTGTCATGAAGTGATAATTCCAAAGAATCTTTGGCCACGAATGTCGCCTAACGCCAAATACGCTTCGTGAAGTTTTTTTGCGCGGACCAAAATTGTACAAATAACGACTTTGGAGATGTTCTTAAACGTAAAGGTGTGTAACTCTCGCGCCACAATCGTTGATCGCTGAATTTTGTTTTTGTAGACATCACTGGCGGTTATAACAAATTGCGCCCAAATCCAGTTTTAAAGTTTGAGGGTAGGCCGGTATGAATTTTATTGTACTCTGTCAATGTATCTCAGGCGACCTGCGAAACAAAAATCCGATTGGAAAGAAAATGTATTAACAGGCGTGCTTGAAAATACAGCTGGATGATTTGTAGCTTGGAAGAAAACTATGATCGTGTCAAATATTAAAATGGCAAAACAGGACTTGAGAGCGAACAGCGAAAGCGAGTCAGGGCTACTATGTGATAAAATGTTTGGGCGACTTTTTTAATTATTCCTTTGCATGCGATGTGCTGTTATTCGCGCTTCAATACTTTATAGTGACACGCGATTTGTTTAACAGAATGAGTGAAGGATATACGGTTTTTATTCACGCATAAAGGGAAACAAATTTATTGTTCACGACTTTTTTTATAATTGATGGCTCCTACAAGAGCCGTTTGTATTGCGTCAGGAGGTTCTGTCTAACCGCCAAATCCGTACAGAGTGCACACGCACCAAGATGTTAGAAATAACGCCGTCGGAACTTTAACTTGACGCAAATGTGCATGAGTTGCACGCCAAAATCGTTTAACGTTGAATCTTTTATGTCCACGCCACTGGGGGTTATAGGAAATTGTGTCTAATTCCAGTTTGAAAGTTAGCTGGCTGATTTTGATTTTATAGCCAATTTATACTCATGCGATTTATAAAAGAACACTCGGAAAGGGAAGAAAGTGATGTCGGAAACTGCCGTCAAATATCGGACACTTGTGTCCAAAATCGACCATTTAAGTCTAAAATCGGACATTCATGTTTAAAATCGGACGGTAGTGTCTAAAATCGGACACAAATGTCTACAATCGGTCACTATTGTCTAAAATCGAACAACTGCGTCCATTGTTTCTCATCATAATACGGATAAACAAATTGTACTTGAGAACTAACGTGAAAAGCTAGAAATATTAATTACTCATTAAATGTTAAAAATAATCGAATTTTATTTCCATTTTTTTCTCCAGTGAAAATTTAATCTCATGAAAAGAAATCTTTGTTGAAAAGCAACTGATTTTGAAAACACAATTTTTTTGTTTTCGATCTGGTAAGTACCTCCTGATTGGCCGATGTATGATGTTTACTGTTTTTTAAACGTATCTAGAGATTTATAAATTAATTAATTATTAATAGCGAGGCATAGTTCTCTGTCCGAAGACGAAGGTATGCCGTATTCCTGTAGCCTTAAATCACTCATCTAATGTATAGCCAGCGACACACCTGACGATATTATACGCCGATCGCTGCGAATTTGATCGCCGGACACACTTAGCCGGTCGCGATCGCGTGGCACTTCAGCCTGATCACAGCTTCCATCGGGTGACGTCTTTTTCTTCAGTTCAGAAACAATTTTCGATGCCCTCCGCCATTTTGAATAGTCATGTGATAATATCGCCCAACTTGCCGGTTAATTTTACTGGCGACTCGCATTGGAAAGGGGAGAAAATCGCGGGACCGGGCAGACTTGGCGAATGTCAGCGAATTTACCCGCCGATATCTGACATGTCAGATATCGGCGATTTTATACGCAGATCGCGGCGATCGGCGAAAATCGCAATCGCCGCACCGGGCACACCTGGCGATTTACGCCGATCGCGGCGATCGGCGTACTGAAAATCGCCAGGTGTGTCAACGGCTTATGAGACCTGATGACTAGAAAATTAGGCTCCGCAAACGGCGAAGGAAGTAAATTTCTAAGGAAACTGTGGTATTGCGTCAGTGAGGGAATTACAAGTTAACTTGGTTCTACAAAGTGAATTGATTGTAAAAGTTTTTAAAGCTGTCGTCTCTAGCGTCAGCCATTCGTCTGAGCCAAAGACGAAGATCTAATGCAAATGATTAATGGTTGCTTTGTTAAAGCTAATTAAAAGCGTCTGCCTGATTTCCATAAAATATTGAAGACTGATTCAGTGTCAAGGATAAATTTAGACGTACGAAGTTTTTTAAAAGGTGAATTTTAATGAGTTAGGTTACAGTTTTTTTTTCTACTTTTCTTAAAACGGTGAGAGGTGAAAACGTTTACAAATTTGTGCTGAAGAAGGTAAGTAACACATTCCAAAGACACATGGTGATTAAGTTTAAGAAAGCTTAAATATGTATCATGGTTCAATTCCAAATTTTATGCTCTCACAGATGCAATTTTCATGAGGAAACCCGGCTTTGTGCACAATAAATTACCGACAAACTGAAATTAATTCTCGCAACAAAAACCCGAAAAGTTTAAACCAATTCTTTTCATCTTCCCTCGACAGCAATAAAGGACAAATCTACCAAAAAGACCTCCATTGACATTACTGGTTTTGCCAATTGCGCGTATAATTTTTTCATTCACCAAGAAGACTTCCTACAAAGGTGTTAATTTTTTTTTCTGTTAATTATCCAGCAAGGAGTCTTATCGGCGTTAAACTTAGCAGTTCTCCTAAATCTACAAGTACGTGAAATGATGCTTAATTCATATAAGCATACCTTACTGTAAGTACATACATTTTTCCATGCGATAACAACATGTATATATCTCCTCTTGAAATTACACTATCCTACGAAACAAAATTGAGATTCATTTTCTCAGTCAGCATGACAATATCTGATGTTGCACTAGCAACGTTTATTTTTCTGACTGGGTAACTTAAAGCTGCTTGGCTTCCGATAGGAATAATTTGAACTGATTCTGACTTTGAGAAGGAAATACCGCAAAAGTTTTGGCGGCTAGTTAAGATAAAAATATAATCTCGTATTGAGCAGAGTCGCAAAGCAATGAAGCCAATTTGAGAAATATTTCGGTCATTCCGTCCTCCCTAATATTAACAAATAAACCTAGCTAAGGAAAGTTCAGAACAAATTTTATTGGAGTAAATTTTTAAGCTACAAGCTATAAAAAGTTAGGCTTACTGCAAACAAAACTCAGCCGGGCTACATATGTTAATCTCGACATGTGAACTGTGGCATCCAGGAAATTTTTAAGAATTTAAGTCATTAGACCGGCGTTGTGCTCTATGCTTTGTCAAAAGCACGCTCAAAATAATTCCGGCATTATATATGTTACCCTACTTAACAAATAAAGAAGCCTTGACTGTGCTCTGTTCTGTTATAAAGCACGCAGGAAGCGGCTAGAGCACGAAAGAAGTGTAGGGAGAAACACGAGACGTAGTCGAGTGTTTCTTCCCACTTCTTGAGTGCTCTAGCCGCTTCCTAAGTGCTTTATAACAGAACAGAGCACAGTCAAGGCTTCTCTATTTGTTTTATAATAAAGAATCCGTTAAATTCCCCATGTATTACTTTCAATTTTCAAAACAAACTCTATTTCCAAAGCGAACAACAGTGTCGTCAGCATGCTCTATACTCTCATAGAGCACGCTACAATAAGCCAATCAGAATCCCTGTTAGAATGGTTCAAATAATCTGATTGGCTGTACAAGACAAAACCTGTCAAAAGTGTCAAACCATCAAAGTTCAAAAACCATCAAAGTTCAAAAACCATCAAAGTTCACACTCTGTGATAGTTTACAAACTAAAATAATTCGGCAGGTCGAATTTAACGCTTTTGCCTGAAGTTTTTAAATCAGAATCTTGAAGTGAAATGTTCGGTGAACTTCAGCCGAATTATGGCTCATAAAAACACGCGGGTTTTTTCACATGACAAGGTAGAAAACAAAATGTTCAGGGCGAGTGTTTTTTAAATGAACGACAGCCGAATTCACCGGAACATGAAGATCGCTCGGGATGACAGCGCCGCAAAACTCGGCTGCAGTGACTGAAGTGACTTTCCACTCAACACATTGGAAAGGATATCAGAGCGAGCTCTTATTTTTTCACTCGAAGGGCGGCCGATGTAGTTTCTGAGGCTTGCTTTACTGTGATGACCGGAGATCGGCATGATAAGTGAGCCGCGATGGACTTCAGCATGATCATATTTGCTCAGACACCGTCATGATTAGTATGAATTTTAACAATTATGCCAGTTTGGTTATATTTTTCATCATTTCTGTTTTGTTCTGTTTTGTTTTTGAACTCTGAACTCTATAGACTATACGAGTGTTGGCTGTGTTTGATTTTCATTACCGTACGTAAGCTTGCAATCTAACTGAGCGTGAAAATCTTTAAAACTCGGAATGTCTATTTTGTTTTTCCTTTGAGGATTTTCGTATCTGCCCACGTTTTAATAACGTAAATAACGGCGCTTGGTATGTTTACAAACCTTTCTTTGGTTCTTCTGTTACTACTTGCCAGCTCGCTTGTTCCGAAATTTCACTTTTAATTATCGGAAAAAAGCTAAAAAGAAGTCCCGGAAAAGGTCGAACATGGTACAATTTGGCAGATGGCGTGACAGCTTTAGCTCAGTTCTATGCTTTATACTCTCATACAGCACGCTCTTTCAACCAATGAAAGCGCGCGTTATATCCGAACTTTATTATAATTAAAGTTCTGGTGCATATAGCGCCCAGCTTGTTTGTGACTGTATCGGAAAGGGGCGAGTTCGAATCCTGTGGAAGCTTGGATATTTTAGGCTTCTTTTGACATCTGCAATATTTGTAATTGAAACTCGCTTGCAATGTTTGATCGTTTCGTTAATTGCGATAACTTCATAAATAACCGCTACTTGTAGAAAAGTCCGCGTTTACCCAAGCGTAATTAGTATAGGAAATAACATGATTTCGAGTGCAAGTTAGTGATAATAGGCAGGAGTAAATTTTTCAAAGTCAACAAAATTGCACGTGGAGTGAGTGCCATTTGTAGTCTTTCAGAAATTTGCAAGTGTTCATTACATCAAATTGCAAGAGAAATCGTGTTATTATTTGTTAATAATGAACATAAAAAAACATCAGAGAGTCAAGACCGTCGAAATTTTGAAAGCGTGCGCGTGCTATTTGTAATTTGCACTCGTGTAACAAGAGAATGCACTTGTTTTCAACCAATAAGGACGTGCGTTTCTCCGCTCGCAGGAAGGTTTGAAACGAGTCAGGGAAAAAGTTTGCAGGAATTTTGGCTCTAAATTTTATCGGCTACTAATTTGACAATTTTAACGATCAAATTGCCAAAATATTGACATCATTCTAGGTACCGGAAGCGGAAAAAAAGCGTTCTCGCGGGTCTTCATTATCAGTGCTAAACCCAATTCAGACATCTCACCGGCCCACGTTGATCAGGGACTCATACACTTTCCCGCGGGCGAAATAACGCTCTTGCAGAAGCGCTAATGACGAAGGTCCGCTCGCACACTAACTTTGAATTTTCATTGGCTCCTTAAGATACGAAAATTCGTTCTGATTGGATGTGGTGTAATTTGCACTGGTTTTGCCCTTACGTCAACCTGTCGCAAACCACTTCAGTCGACAGTGATATAATGCAAAACAAAAAACAGTATGAAAGAATTAAACAAAAATTGAAAATTAATCTTAGTCACAATAAAAACTTTAAAGAGTTAATTCACCATGACTATCGATATCAATCGCCCCCCTTCCCCCCCTCCCCCCCCAACCCGGTTTAGTGAAGAATTTAAGAAATTTCAAAACAATGAACCAAAATTAAGAATTTAAGTATCATTCGACCAAAACAATGTGACTGTGACAGATGATATTGGCCATTTATGCTAATTAGAATAGCTACATCTCAAAGCTAATCCCAGTGGTGCAAACCGCATGTTTGTCAAGGCTAATTTATCTTCTTGTTTTTTTGTTGTTGATATTTTAGAGATGTCTGAAATTACCAGCGACGCCCTGCTCAAAATGACCTCAATATGTGTAAGTACAATAATTTTTTCGCTTCGAGACAAAATTCTGTTGTCCTTAAACCCAAAGAAACTACAATGCTAAAATCTTCCAACTTTTCGAGCGTAACAGTTAGGACTGAGGCAAAAGTTCAGTACTTAACTTTTTGCAACTGTCTTTGGCCAGAAAAACCATATTCATGCTTTATGTTTATCCAGCGTACATACTCACCCTTGGCTCAATGATCAGTTCCGTTTGCTATCCTAGAGTTTACTCATCATATCAGCTCATTTTATGAATGAAACTTGACACTCATCCCAAAATTACAACCAGTCGGCCCAAACTTCAGTCAAAATTACTATTACAGCTGACAACATTAACCTTTTGTTTGAGTTAGTTTAAGTAAAAAACCATTAATTTGAAGGGAATTTTCAAGTCCGAATCGATGCAAACACTGCTTGCACAATTTCTGCTATTCGAGACATGAGACGTTCACAGCACTTTAAAACTTAGCTCTGAAATTAATAAGTTAAAACCCTCACTCTTGACACATAATGTTTGGGCCATGCCAACCCGTTTGTAAAGCCTTCTGTGGTTTTCTGTATATAACACTCATTTAGAAGAGAAAACTTGGAATTCTAAATTCTATAAAAAGTGTTATGTGACAAATATATTTTCTGACTTTCTAATGCAGGTTATGGTAGAAACTGGATTTCTGATTTTGTTCTTAAGAGCCTCGGAAGTAATGTCAGGTACGTAGAGACGAAAGAACTATGATTTACAACATATGAACTGTTACTGAACTAAGGAAATGTTTTGGCACTACAACCGAAAATGTTTGTCGTCGAAGATTAAATATAACGGTATGTGGACGAAACGTGTTGTTCGCGAGACAAATGGCAACAAAAATTTCTTTTAAATAGTGGTAGCTGCGGAAGCGACAAATTAAGACTGCTGTTGTATTTTTGCGTCACGACGTCTTAATTTTATAAAATAAATCGTGTTTATAGCTAAGTGCAAGGAACTTGCTACTGGAATTTTGATGAAACCTTAAAATTCTAACGCCACCTGCTTTGGGCCATTTGTTTAGAACTGGATCAATTACATCGTAAACTTAAGCTTTTGCGTTGGTTTCCCATTTCTCTAAATCAGCAGCGTTTTTTGTCATTATTATTTTCATTAAACAGTTAGGAAAGCAATAATTTCTTTCTGGCTGGCTTATTTCATCATTTTTCATTTTTTTTCGGTTTTCGTTATTAAGGTAATTTGGTATCATTAATTCGTTGATAACGTAAATTGGCCACCGTTAAGAGTTTCAAAGCAGACGTTTCGAGCGTTAGTCTTTCGTCAGAGCGAACGTTGATTGGCCAGCATTGGCAAGATAGTAAGATCCCATTGGCTATTAACATTTGCGTCTTATTTTTTATTGGTTGTTGAGCTGTCCAAGTTGACCAATCCGATCGTTAGCTGCTTGAAGTATGACTGCCTAAAGTGGAAGATTCCATTGTAACAAAGTATTCAATTATCTTTTGACATTAGCTGATTTGGCATTAAGACAACCAGCATACATGTCTGGTGACGATGGTTCAGTAGCTGCACTGGCTGTTGAAGGAACCACAGGCAGGTGTGCAGTGACCAGTCTCCTAACGGATCCCTGGTGGCGAGTTGATTTGGGGAAGAGTTACAGCGTGGACGTAGTAAACATTATTAGCGGTGCAAATGGATTGGCAGATTTTGAAATAAGAATCGGTCAGTGGTTCTTAGCTCACATGTCTAAAATATTTTTTCCTTACTGGTACAAATAACTAATTAATTACTCGTCTTACTGTAGTTTTTTTCAAAGGGTTTGACTCTCGTGACAAGACCAATGACTAGCTGTGGCTACTACCTCCTGTAGGAGGTAAAGCCACATACGTCTACCGAATGAGTGAGCGAGTGATGGTAACTGACGCAGAATTCCGATCTTCGCCCAATTTTCACCCGATGTTTCCGGGTGCTACCTATTGTTTGATACTGCAGAAGATCTATAAACATCTCACAATTACATCAGGATGGCGCGTGAAAAAACAATAATTTCCTTTCCAGAAATAGCTTAAAAGTTGTGATCAGTGCACTATGAGAGCTTGGAAAAAATTTATTTCTTTGAAGAGATGGCGTATTGCCGTTTGAATCAGCAAATTAGGCCCAGTAAATTCGAAAATATAATTTCTTCAGTTCTTGCCGTGACACTTCAAAAGATGATAAACATTCAAAAATAATTTCACAGTGGCGTCGTCCGGCACGAAATTGAAAACAAGACTTTTCCTTGCAGAAATATCTAAATAAGTTTGATCTGCACATCGTGGAGATTTTGAGGACAAATTTGAAGAGAGAGCATTTCACCATTTCAATCAGCAACTTGGGCCCAAAAGAGCTGCTAAATTTGCGAAGCGAGCAGGCTCCGAAACAAGGATACATTAATTTCGTAGAAAAGGTTGTGGTTATTCATCGTGGTGAATAACAATAAAAACTAAGTTTTTCGTTTGTCTCACGATGTAGTCACGTGTGATGTAGATCGTGACGTTTCGACTGCATACTGCTAGTCTTCTCCAGGCTATGAGGTCGACTGGTCATGCGTGATCTTATAAAGCATGATGCTCTGATCAGCAAGGGTCGAAATACACCAATCAGAGCTGTTGAAAAACAACTAATCACAGCAGAGCATCATGCTTTATAAGATCACGCATGACCAGTCGACCTCATCGCCTGAAGAAGACTAGCAGTATGCAGTCGAAATGTCGCGGTCTTCATCAATCGTGACTACATCGTGAGACAAACGAAAAACTTAGCTTTTATTTTTAAGGATACATTAAGTTTAACAGGAGGACCATAGTCGGAATGATAGAACGGTGGAATGGCGTAATATGATCATATAATGTGATCGGAATGCCTTGTTGAATGAAACAAAAGTCTCACAAAAATGGAACTGAAATGAAACAAGAAAATGATTTACAATTAACAGGCAGAATTAAAAAAAGAACATTTTAATCATGATCGGAGCCTATAGAGAAATAGGGTCTAGGGTCGCCTATACCGACAGAGAAACAGATGTTCCCAAGTTAGCCCCCATATTACTATTACTATTTTTATCATTACAATTATTAATATTATATTGTTAATATGATAAAATGTCACCATTAATTATTTATTGAGTGCGCTAATTAGCGACTATAATTTTTAAACACCTTTCTCCCTGGAACAGGGTACTCATGAATATGTGGGATTCGGCCGGTTTTCTCTTTTGCATCTAAGACGTATATTCTGCAACACTACCTCCTAGTATCTTTATACAACCGCTTGTTCTTGTCAAAGCTATAAAAATTGTGCTACAATTTTGTCATTTCTAGTCTTAAACTGCACATAGCAGCTTTTATTGCTTTTGGAGATAAGTGGGCAAAATCTTTTTTATTTTGGAATATGGTAGGCGATCTTTGCTTTTGGACACTTGAGGCCGATTTATAATTTTGGCCACAAGTGGCTGTTTTTTTTATTTTGGACGGTATCGGCCCATATTTTACTTTGGACACGTTTTATACTTTTAAACACTTGTGAGCGATCTTTAATTTTGGAGATAAGGGGGCGATATTTTATTAAGGACTCTAATAGCCGATATCTGCTTTTGGACAGTTGTGGCCGATTTATGCTTTTGGATGCCAGAGGCTTATCTTTTGGATTTTATTTTGGACACCAGGCCGATATTTGATTTCGGGCACAAATGGCTGATTTTTTATTTTGGACATTAGTCACCGTTTTTCTATTTTGAGACACAAGTGACCGATTTTTGATTTTTGGACATTAGTGTCCCATTTTTTATCATGGACATCAGTGTGCGACTTTTTTGGGCTGTGCCTCTTATATAGTAGAAGGCGAAGTCACTTCTTTCGGGGACGAGCGATTGAGTGAGTGAGTGAGTGATGATAAGTGACCGATGTTTCCGGGTGCTTGTTATTGTTTTTTTTTCGAAGTGTCTTATTAGTCCGACATTCGCACTTGATACACATTTGAGTTCTGTCCTTTTGTGATTTCTAGCTTATCGCTACTAGTTCATTATGTTTTCAGTTCTGGCCGTGACGCTACAGAAGACAGCAGAAGACGGTAAACGTCTTAAAATGATTTCAGGATGGCGCTTGATTATAAACAAAGCTTTTATTCATGTTTTTATTTATCGATTCAAATGAAGTATTTTTGTTATTTATATTTCTGGCATTTCACTTTTTCCTCAGGAAACAGTCTCGATAACGAAGGAAATTCCAACCAAAAGTGTGGAGGACCATACACTATGACATCTTCACAGGAAAAGTCATTCGATTGCACCCCTGGTGTCAGGGGTCGATATGTGAACATCCGTATAGCGGGAAAGAATAAGAAGCTGGATATCTGTGCGGTGTCAGTGAATCCTAATCCAGCAGGTGAATAAACTCCTATGGGCAAGTGTAAACAGGGAGGTGCTACGAGTGTCGATGTAGAGCAGGGTTGTTCCTAGACAAAACTCAAGATCGTCGGTAACAGCAACAAACTGATTTATTTCCACGTAGTTGATCTCTCGACTATACAGCACTAAGCTTCTTGACAGTTCTCTCTGTTTTTTCGATGAAACTATCGCTCCTATATACATAAAGTACAAGGATCTAGAAACTTCTCTAAAGAACCAAATTTAGTAGATTAACACGGTTTCCAAATCTGAGTAATTACATAAGAAATAGAATGTTCCAGAACGTTCTTGTACAAGAAGGTCACGTCTGGATGACTTCGGGTTCTAGACTGTTTTGTAGAATGTTCTAGGAGCTTAACTTAGACAATTTTTCGTAACAGGAGGCAAAATAACAAGGTGGACAATAAGACTGGTTGCTATATGAGAAACTAGGTGAAGAGGTAAGGCAGCTAGGTAAAATGATTGGGTAGGTCGATGACTAGGGAGGTCGGTTGTTAAGCAGGTATGTAGCCTGTTAAGTAAGGTTAGAAGGTGGTGAGTAGGAAAGTTAGAGATACATAGGAAGGAATGCACGTGGGTAGGTAAGGGATTCGAAAGAGATTTCGGTTAAAAGACGAAAGAGAAAGGTCAGTAGCTGTGTACGGAATGAGAGGCTGGCTGACTCTATAGAAGTCTTCTTTTGTTTTGTTTTGTTTTTTATTAGTAAACATTGCCGCAGGTCGATCAGCAACACAGTCCACTACGGCATATGATGGTTTTCCTGCGCACGCACTGGATGGAAATCTTGACAGCCATTATAATGGGTTAAGTTGTACACATACAGCTGGACAAAATTATCCCTGGTGGCGAGTGGATCTGGGTTCAAGTCAGCACGTGTCAGAGGTGTTCATAGTCAACAGGGGAGGATGTTGCATGGATAGGCTGCGCAACATAGCAATTTATGTGGGTAAGCTGAACGTTCACGTTGAATGAAATAATTTTTTGCTTCGTTACGTTTAGTTCGAAGTCTTTCATGCGATGTCAACTTTATTTTGCGATTATAAAAAGCTACGGTCTTAACCTTAACATACCACAGCTCTTCAAGAATCCCCATGTACTTCGAATGCAACGAAAAACGCAGGCCTCTCACGTAGACTTTTTTCTGCTTAGGAGACAGTTTGGAGAATAATGGGAACTCAAATCCAAGGTGTGGTGGATTGTACTCAATGGCCACTGTACACAAAGCTTCGTTTTATTGCAAACCGAGAAAAACAGGGCGATACGTAAATATCAGACTTGAGGGAACTGGAATGATTCTGACATTGTGCGAAGTGGAGGTTTATTCTGAAAGCAGAGGTGAGGTATATCCGAAGTTAATTTCATTCTTTTTCTTAGCCCAGAGAGAGAGAGAGAGAGAGAGAGAGAGAGAGAGAGAGAGGCGTGGGGAAGAGGGAAATAGCGATGAGGTGTGATTCAGAAAAACTCTTTGTTCCTTATCTTGATGAGACCAGTGTTACGGCATTCTGTAATCAGCAGAAAGAATACTACGCTCCTACAAACCCAACTACTTTATTAAACAACATGGCTTAAGTCATAATTCTTACTAGGAAGCGACTCCTATAAGCAATAAAATGATAGCCATAACATCTTTTTTTGATACATCTCATTCTAGCCATTCTGAAGAACAAACCAGTGGAGCAGACAGTACAGGACGCTTATGATAAAAGTTCCCTAACTTTGGTCTGTCCAGAGCCTTTCGGCTACCCTGAACCGTTTGTAGCTTGGGTCAAAGATGGCGTCGTCCTTCAAAACAGCACCTCCGACCTGAGACTGAATCTGTCAATCATTGCATCATGGAATAACAACACGTGGAAAATTGATTGTGTGGCCAGTAACAAACATGGCACTGATTTTCACAGATTTGTGTTAAATTTGCAAAGTAAGTTAAAGAACTGGACAGTATTTTAATCAAGTTTTAAGGGCGCACTTCAGTAACAACTACAAGTCCTGAGGTTGAGCGTGCACCTTACGCTTTTATTCCAATAAGCTTTTTCGAACCAACTGTTAATTGATACCAGAAAATTGTCATAAAAACCTGATGAAATTCTGGGGAGTTGGGGGGGGGGGGGGGGGAGTAGCCTTTTGATGGACTGGCATCCAATCCAGGGGAGAGTAATAACACTCCTCGTCAGTTCATGCTGTGGAAACTGGAATAAGCTCCCGCTTGGGAAGGGCGGGAGGAGTCACTTGGCTCAAGCACAAACAACCCTTTTTATCCTTTCCTCCCTTCATTTATTTTTTATATCTGCGTTTTTTTTATATTTGATAAATTTTTCTGGTTTCTCGAATGAACTAAAAAAACAGAAGGTTTGTGGAATGAAAGCAGTGAAGAATATTTTGTATTTCGACAAAAGTTTATATAAATCAAAATCTCATCCTTACTTGCAAAACAAAATAACAACATAGAACATCATGGCCGAGTTTTTTTTTTTTCCCACAGAAGTGTGTAAATATTTTAAAAGGATTTCCTCTTTTTTTCATTCAAGGTAAATATTCGATGTGCACTGAGTACAAAGAATTAATGGATGGGACAAGATCAGCTTTTCATGCAATACAGAACCAAGTGTCGGCACAAAATGACAATAGCATTAATGAACGAACATGGTACCGCTTTGTTGATCAGACCACAGGAAGTCCAATGCAGGTATGATCTATAATTTACGAAGTGCATCGGTTCAGAGGCGTCAAAGCGAAATAAAAAGTGTGTTTAGAGAGGGAGGGAGCGTCAAGGCAGAAAGTTAATAGTTTTAGTGTTTTATGTTGCCAAAAATTTAGGGGTCAGCGTGAGGGGGGGGGGGGGGGATAAATGTCTACGTGAACCAGAGCCCACCTTCTGAAGCTGGTAATATAGGCATCTTAAATTACCAACTGTAAGTTACATGGCAGTCTTGCAAACATAACATTCTACAAATTCGAAATAAGGAACTTCTGACCCCCCCTGCAAAGTCATGAAATTCAACTATCTAGCAAGTCTTGTATCATATTTATCAGAAAGTTCAAGAATCACTCATATTTCTCGCTAGCTACCAGACTCTTGTACGGAACCTTGGGCTTGTGGAACCCAGGCCTCAGGCTGGCTTCGCGGGAGCCACCCATCTATGGAGGATGGTGTTGTCCAACGAACTGTTTGTTTTAGTTGGAGTAGCACCTGCTGCTTTGCAGAAGTGAAGGTGCAAGTCAGGAATTGTTATGGATATCATGTCTACAAGCTGCAGCCGACATCTTTCGTAGTCAAAGCGAGATATTGTATAGGTAAGTATTCCGTTAGTTTCTTCGAGTCAGTTTACAGCAAGCTGTTGGATGCCATTCTTGGTAAGATTTTTTTGATGTGTCCAAACTTTTCTCATCGTCATTTTTCAAACCTAGCCTATTCAAGGCGTTGAGTTAGTAGGCATGATAGCAGGCGTTAGAGCGTAAAAAGCGCGGGGCTTGGGTCGGGTCAAATAAAAGGATGAGGGCTATGCGACCCGATCCAAGCCTCCCTCCTTTTTTCGACCCGGCCCAAACGCCCAAGCATCCTTCCTTTTTTCGACCCGGCCTAAGCCTCCCTCCTTTTTTCGACTCGACCCAAACCTCCCTCCTTTTTTCGAATCGACCCAAACTTCCCCCTCTCTTCGTTTCCTGACCGGAACAGACTTTTCCTGACTTCTGATCAGGACTAATAAATCAGAAATTTGGAAAAAAAAACAACAAGAAAATCAAAACAAGAACAAAGAGGTCGGTTTTTATTGAGCCACTTTAATACGTTATAGAAGCTGTATATCGTGTTACAAAATCTCTGACTCCTTTTTGCTTTCAAATCCTAGAAAACTCGGCCATCCATTATGAGGACGCTTTCTTCTATCTCCCCGTGTCGAAAGCTGGTGTTCCGTTGGCACTGACAGGTCACATGATTCATTTGGAATATCACGTGACATCACCATGGAAATGTATGGCCTACTGCCTCGTAGAGATGACGTGTGAGTCATTCACCTACCTTTCCCAGGATAACACATGTGAGCTTAACAACAGGACTGGAACCAGTAGCAAGCAAGGCTTGAGAGAAAGACCTGGTACTGAGTATTACGAGAGGATGAACTTACTTCAATGAAGAGTCCAGTTCTAAAGGCTAAATTAAGCAAACAGTGATTTGTGAAGGAGAAAGCCATGTTTTTGTTCTTACCAGCTGTATCATCTTCTGAGATCTAGACTTAAACATACACATAGTAAATCGAATTCTACATAATTAATTTTTTACAAGCGACTCAATTTAAATTATAGCAAGTTACGCTTTGCTGGTAAATTTCTTAAGAGAGGGCATCGGAGTAATTAACTAATTTTCGCTCTTCTACACTTGTGGTAACACTTGCTGTAACTCAAAACTGTTCTACGCGAGTGGTCTAATAATTGTGCGCCTTCAATAGGATCACTAGGGAAGTTAACCTGTAAATAATCTGTTTAAACTTGTCGCTGCTAATTGTGAGATAATTTTTATATGCTTGTCAAGAGCTAAGATAACCATCTACTAACCAAGCGACTGCGAAAAGCCACATGCAAGGTCGACAAACCGAACATGGCTCGAAGCTAGATTTCTGCCCTTTGTCAGAAAAAGTTATATAACTTCGGCTACTATTACACGTGCCACAACACGCAAATGATTTCGAGACATTGATTGACACTTTAACAATGCCTTTCCGGAGCAACAAGATTACTATTTGGAGGACTATTCTGGAACTGGAACTGGAAGAGTCGAGGTGAAAAAGTTTCGCTTCGTTTTGTCGCTATTCAGGTTTTCCAGAGTAATTATCATTGTTGTTCATTGTTTTCTTTTTTATCCTGCGTCACTCGGCCGGATCTTGACAGGTCTTCTCAGCGAGGATAAGCCCGAAGAAAAACAAGTAATTCTGTTGCTTAATATGAGATTAACCTCCGCGACCGAAAAAGAAAAAAATTCTCTAAGCACTCTGCGTGATTCTGAAATTTTGTGCTGTTAGCTGTTGTTTTGCGGTGAAAGGCCGCAATTGAATGGACAGCTTTTTCCTTTTTGTCGCAACAAGTGTAAGCTATTGTTTCTCTCTCATTAAGACTTTTATTCAAGGACGTTTTCTTTGCGTTTTAGAATTGCCGTCGAGTCTTTTGAAAGACGGGGTGAACCGGACCTCATCAAATCAGTTATTTTCAGTCAAACCGTGGTTAGAAGAAATTTGAAGTGGGAGGCAGGCGTAAAATATTCTTTCGGGGCCTAAAATGTTTCTGTCATCGTTTCATTCCAATTCTATTTCATATTCATTTTTTATTTTGGCAGTAAAATATGTTTGGTTAAATCTCTTTCCAATTGCGTGACGCAAATTTTACGGTCTCCGTGAAACCACTTTTCTTCCGTTAGGGGGCTTAGGACGTGTTTTAGCCGTGTTACGCATTTCCTGTCCCTTCATCAAAACCACCTATTTTCCCTAAGAAAATTCTAGAAAAGTTCAGATACTTTAAACTGATAGGAAAGGACACCCTTTGGTCGCGTTGGAGATAACGGACGCCACAGAATTATTTGATTCGGCAACAGGAATCAAAGGTGACAGTTCGAGAACGCCTCTGAGAAAGAAACTGACAGAAAGAGATCAATGACGCGTGAAAACAATTGCTTAGGTATGACACTGAAATGCAAATTTATGCTCTTATTTAGGATATTTTCCCCGCCCACAAACTTGATATTAAAGAAAGTGAAAACAACCAAAAAGTTCCACTCGTCTGCAGTTTCATTGGGCCATGACCTAAAGATGTCAAATATTTCTTTAGAGACTGTACCCGAAAATGTATTAGGATCGCGGAATTTGGCCCAGAAAATCGTCGAAATCTGCTTGCTTTTCATCATCAATGTGTTAGCTCTCGGAGGAAATGTGTTGGTTTGTATAACAATCTACAGAAAGCGAGTGTTACGGACGATTACCAACATGTTCATCGTTACACTGTGTGTGACAGACATTTTGCTCGCGTCAATTGCTATGCCTCTCACTCTTGGATCTTTGATTATGGACCACTGGCCATTCGGTGAATTGGTTTGTCAAATTCAGGGATTCAGTATTCACCTCCTGGTTTTCCAATCGCTTCAAATCATAACTATAACAGCGTCGAATCGAAACTTGAACGTGGTTCGTCCACATTTTTACAAAAGAATTTTTACGAAGCTGAAAACTTTGCTCATTATTATCGCTATCAGCCTCTTCACAGCTGTCATAATGGGAACTCTGGTTATTTTACTCTCCTCGCGTTATGTGTTCCACCCTCGAAAAGCCATTTGCGTTATGACTTTCCCGTCCATCGAACACAGTCGTCGCTTCACGATTATCTTCAGTATTTTCTTCGTAGCTTTCCCCGCTGTTGTCATTCTTGCGTGTTACGCGCGAGTTTTACACACAATTCGCACTCACCGCCGAGAATACGAAACCGCGCGAGGAGAACACGATTCAAGATCGATTTTAAGCCGAGAAGAAGTCAAACTATCCAAGATTGTTTTCATCATCATTTTAGGGTTTTCGTTATGTTGGATACCATGTGTAATTATAGATATTGCAGATACCACACAAACGAAGTGGTTTCCCCGCGAAGTCTATATGTTTTACACATTTCTAGCCTACACCAGTGCAGTTTTAAACCCTTGGATATATGGTTTTATGAACAAAATGGTTCGAAAAGAGATGTATCATTTATTAACGTTATGCAGAATTCGTTCTTAAAGGTAAAAATGTTCTCTTGTAATTTATTCAAAATTTGAAAAATTTTTTATGCTTTCATGCATGTACAACAGTTTTTAAATTTAAACTTACGTAATTATATAAATATTTTAATGGCTATTTAAAAGTAAATGTTTCTAAAAGTTATGCTTACACGCTTAATCTGGAGTTAAACTTATTGAAATGCCGTAGGCAAATTATTTACACGAAACCTAACGGGGAAAAAAAAGAATGAAAAAATAAATTTTAAACTTAACAAAAATGTATGGTTCGCGTGATTAGTTTTACGGAGACATCAATCTTAAGTAAGATAAACACCATATCTCTCGATATCATTTTTAATCAGGAGAGCTATCTTGCGGCATATTAGTATTGCACCGTTAATATGGAAGATAACAATGGTTTTATCAATCACTTACTAATTCACCTGCTCGGGTAATAAAGAGATGGTGAAGAATTACCTGTCAAAAGCACTACAGAGCGAGAGACTATTAATTAATTATCGCAGCACGAATGCTGCTCCTTTCGTCAAGGAGTTAAGATTTGTCTAAAAATACCCCTTTGGCGACAAATATTTTTATTTCATAAGCGAAGCATTCTTGAAAGACTCGACGACAGAAATTACGTAGCTTTAAGACTTCTTTCTTATTGAAATTGAAAACTGCTGTCCTGACCCTAAGTCTGACGTCATGCAATTGAAAACGACTATCTTCTGTTTTGAGATTGAAAACTAAACCTTTTTTCCGCACGCGTTTTGTCGATTATCTGAAGCGGTACGTCATACTTTGCGTTAATGAAAGGTTTCTATCGCATCGTTGTTTGTGTTACAAAGCGGTATTTTACATTACTCAAATGTCTTAAAACATAGTAGAAAGCTTTTAACTTGATCGGTTTATTTTAAGCTTCTGAAAACTAACGCCAAGTATTAATGAGATGTTTCGATTATGTTTGCTACACAAAGAATCTGTCACGTAAATGAAACATGCGAGATTTTGATTAAAAAAATATCACATAGCTTAAAATCTAGGAAACGGTATTTAAAAAAATTGAAAGAGTTTTATTTGAGATAACCACGCGGATTTTTTTTCCTTAGGTTAACATTGCATTTGGTGATCCTCTGTTATTATGAAGTAGCACAGCTGGTACAACATAATCATTTTAACTGCTACTCACGAAACTTAACCTAAGAGGGGAGGGGAGGGGGAGGCAAAGTGTTTCTAAGCGAAGCGTGAGCAATCCCGTAAATTTTACAAAAAGGCAAGGTGACGTGAGATTTTAAGTTTTTGCTTTTTTACATAACGCGTGATTCTTTCTTTAAAATCCATGTGCGAAACGACATCAGACCCCCCTCCCCTCCCTCCTTTGCTACGCTCTGATCCAAAATAACACTTTTTCTGCGTAGAGTTCGTTTGATTACAACGAGTAAGATACTGATTACAGACAGGATAAACATCATAAATGATATATTTATACGTATTGTAGGCACTACAATAGTTTCCTTCCAGTAATTCTATTTTTCTGATAAATAACACCGATTTAAACTCAGATGATACCCGGTCTCATGCTCTAGTAATCTGAATGAAATTTGTACAATTCACTCAAAATTTGGTTGGTGAATGTTGACTGAAATATAGACTGGAAAAAGAAAAAGGAAGAAAAAACAGATATTTGACACGCAAAGTTGACCCTCAGTCCGGGTCACGCGAGGGATTCGATGACGCACCCATACTGCTCCCACGATATCTCGGACAGCGGTCTTTCGTTATAAAAAACCCAGTCAGCAGTTCGAATTCTTCGCAGCTACCAAATTTGAGATTACAACAGGGACTTCATGGCGTCGAAAGAATTTGAATCTTGGCAGACGAAAAGAAAGAACATCAAAGAACGCATCGAGTTTATGTTTAACAACCCATTGATGAGCGACATATCTTTTGTGATTAAAGATTCTGAGGGTTCCGATGTCATCTTCTCGGCACATAAGTTCGTGCTAGCGGTGAGCAGCCCAGTTTTGTATGCTATGTTTTTCGGCGATTTAGCGGAGAGTAAAAGCAGAATTGAGCTTCCTGACTGTAATTCAGAAAGCTTTGAAGAGTTTCTTCGCTTCCTTTATTGCGACGAAGTCAAGCTCACTGGAAGTTGCGTTATGCAAGTTTCATACTTAGCAAAGAAGTACATTGTTCCGGAACTTGAAATCGAATGTACGAAATTCTTGACCGAAAATCTCTCGCCGGAAAATGTCTTCGACATTTTGCCTCATGCTAAAAAGTTCGAAGACAACGAGCTTGTGACTCGCTGCTGGGAGGTTGTGGATGCGAGGGCCGAAGAAGTGCTAAGATCTGAATCGTTCTCGTCCATCGCAACGGAACTACTCGAAGAAATTGTGGTTCGAGATTCTCTGGCGATTCACGAAGTGAACCTTTTCGAAGCCGTTGATCGATGGGCAGATGTAGAGTGTGAGCGACAAGAGATTGAACCCTCTAAAGAAAATAAAAGAAGGGTAACTGGCGAGGAAGTTATAAACAACATTCGTTTTCCGTTGATGACGCAGGAGCAATTTGCTGAAAAGGTTCCAACATCTGGGCTCCTCACCAAAGACGATGTCATCGAGATGTTCATGTGGTATAGCTCTGTAACAATAAGCATGAAATTCTCAAAACGTCCAAGGAAGTTAATTCCTCCTCGTGTGTTTTCCCGCTGCAAGAGATTCCCTCAGGTCAGCCATGGATGGGCATATTCTAGCGGTATACCCGATGGGGTGGTTTTTGCCGTTGATACCCCTGTGTATATGGGTGGGGTCCGTCTGTTTGGGAGCAGAGGGTTCTCGTATGATGTCTCTCTCAAGCTGTCTTTGCTGGTGGAAGGTAACTGCCGGGATCAAGAGTTGCACTCTGTTGACGGTTCTTACGAGACTGAAGCAGAGAAGACAAATGGATACTTTGGTTTTGATATAATCTTTGATGATCTTGTGCAGCTACAACCCAATGTGCAATACCACATTTCTGCATTGATCTCCGGGGTTAGTTCATGGTATGGCTCTGGTGGGCTGAGTGTTGTGGAATGTGATGGTTCATGCTTTAGGTTCACTGGCCAGTCAAGTCCAAATGGCACAAATGATGCAGGGGGACAGTTTGCAGAGATTTTGTTTCACAAAAGATAATGTTATGAAATTTAAAAATTGTTCAGCCTTCAGCTATCATTTCTGCATTATGAGTGTGTTTGCAAGTAGGCTGCCATAACCCTTTATACACTGATGCAGTATGTATATTCTCCATACTGTTCTGTTGACATTTCCTAAGGTGCTCACATAGAGAATTAAGCAATCAAGAGCTTATTTAGTTGGTGATCATCACCATTATTCCTGTAAACTTTATGTTTGATTCAGGGGTGATGTGTAAGGAGAAATTAGAGGCTAGTCACTCTTAGGTGTGAAACAGTTTAGTGTGTCACACTGTCTGCTGGTTTTTCTGTCGATTGAGTATTAAAAGCATTCATTTGGGCATGATTTTTTGTATTTGTTGTATTGTTTTTATCAATTTATTTTGTGTAAGACAAATATTGACTGTACATCACTATTACCCCTGTAACTCTCAGTGATTAACAAGTTACTTCTCCCTATAATATCCATACATTATCCAGCAAACAAGTGATGAGAATACTCAAAGTTATCAGACAGAAATTGTTGATCATACAATACAACACTAAACACTACAATAAAACAATTTAAAATCACTTCTCAACAAAAAGTAAGCCATATAGCAAACTAGTTACCATAAAATTTACCAAGTGTTTTTTCCTCTTGTTATATGATTTGTTTGTGATTAGTTTTTGATGGACTGGCCCACCTAAATTAGCATTGGCCACATTGTGGGCCAGGAACAATTGAAAATAATTCAAAGGAAAAAAAGGGTATTATAAAAGATTGTTGTTGTTGTGGAACAATAAATTAAACTTACAGAAACACTATAAATCTTGAGATTCATTTAATTCCATAATGTACAAACCTCCCCACATATAAAAATAAACTGAGTTTATTCTACATTTGTTCAGGAACCATGTGGTGACAGCATAATTCTTGATACTTCAATGCACACCAACTAATTAAGCCTTGGGAGCATGAGTTGAAGATGATCCTAAGGCAAATGCTAGTGACTCCACTGAAAGAAGAAAAGTAACAAAGTAAAGCCAAAAAATATTTAGTAAAACTTGAAAGCTATTTTCCAAGTTAAAAAAAAATGGTTTAGGCACTAGACTTTGCACAGCATGCCGGTTCAATTTGAAATCACTCTTTATTTTAGACCAAGTTGCACTCCACTCAGTTCAATTCCCATAAATAGTTTATTTTTTATCTCTCCACGTAAGAGTCTAAGTGAACTTTAACCCTTTAACTCCCAGATCAAATTTGTAATTTTCCTTACTGTCAATCATACAATTCTTATAATGTCAGTTCAGAGAATTTAGCATTGGATCAACTAATTATCCTCAAATTGATATTTTTCTTTATTCTCATCACTTATCTGGTTGATATTGTAATGAAATTGTGGGGAGAAATTCTGTCCTGGTCACTCATGGGAGTTAAAGGATTGATGAACTGAGAGCACATCTGGATAAATTACTGTAGAAATAAAATATCCTAAACGACTACCTCAAACGGAGTCAGAATAGCAAAATTTCAAGTCTTTTTCTTCATGGTAGTTTTAAGTAGGAGTAGCAGTAATCTATTATTATTGAAGATACCAACATCACCAGAAGTAGTTTGCAGAAGGGTGTCCAAAACTGTGATTTAACCTGGTTGGAAAAGCTAACTTGCTCTCAGTAACAAACTCTACCAACTTTTGCAGTACCTAAGCATATAATAACAGTGCAAGGTAGCTCACTTACAGTGTGGAAAAGCTCCTCGTTTTGCAATATTTCCCAAACATGAAACAAGGAATGTGTTACACTTGGTAAATTCCTCTTCAATTTTCTTGAATTTCACTTCACTGCAACAACAAAAAAAAACAAATAAATGATAAATGTAATAATTTGCAAGATAAGAGGAATGGGTATCTCGGAACTTCATGCACAAGAACTGTGGTCAGTCTTACTTGATGAGTTCGGTGCCCATATCCCAATATGTTTGGAATAACAGGACTAGGTTGAGGACCTTGAGAATAACTTCACGCAGATAACCAACCTGACAAATAAAAAAGAACAACAACAAAATAAACAAAGAAAAGCAAATCAATAGTTTTGTTAACTGAACAAACAAATTTTCCAAAACTACATTTGCTGAAATAATTTTCAATGTCAGTTTTTTGGGCAAACATTTTCCCTCTCAAGAGCTCATCAGTGATTCTCCATTCCATACAGTTCTTACCATGTTCTTTTGGAGAATTTGATATTGGATCATCCAACAATCCCCTAATTGATATTTTTCTTAATTTTCCTCACCTGTCTGCTTAACATTATATTAATATTGTTGTGAGAAATTCTCTCTACATCACTTGTGAGAGTTTAATAGTTCAAAACCTTCAATACAGTATGTCCATTTTACCTTCTGACTCAGCAAACAGCGATCATAGAGTTTCTCAACATAAGAGGAATGAGCCTTGATAAGATCATCTAAATCCTCTGCCTGAAAAAAATTAGCAAACTGATAAACAAACAAGACACTAAGTTAAAATTGCAACTGTACTGTGCAGCAATTTTGTTTGTTTTTTTTTTCTTTTGATAAATTTTGCCTCAACATTTGCCAGGAAGAGGAGAATACAGCTTTATAGAGTGACTTTTATTGCAACTTCAAATTCTCTCTACTTTTTACAAGGAAATACAAAGCAAACTGAATGAAAGATATAACAGTCACCAGGAGTCACTCAGAGCTTTTTTTGTGTGCACCATATCATTTGAAAATGTGTTGATAGTCGATAATTTAAATGACACTAAAAATCTACATCTTCAAGAGAAAAACAATTCATTTTTAAGGTAAAAAATTTTAATCAGTAACACAAACTTTTTTTTTTTTCAAGAAAGCATCATACCTGATCTAATGCTTCTTGGAATTCTAGCACAGTTGAATGTAAGATCTATCATACAATTTAAAATATAGCAAGGAAATATCATTAAAAATGAACAGTGATTATAACTGGGGTGTAAATAATCATAATTTCTCAAGAATAACATTTACAGATCCCTCTTATTGTTTTAAATTCTCTGACAAGTGTTACATGACTGCAAACAGTGAAAATTGTGCTGCCCACACAAAAACATTTATCACAACATTGCTGTTCCCAGTGTTAGGGAAAGGCAAATGGTAGCTTGAAAAATGGCGATTGTGGCAAACTATTGATCAGATCACAAATTCTTGCCAGCCCTTGAATTAAGTTTTAAAGTCTCTTTTATACGCCATTTGAATTTGTTCTCTGAGTCTCGCATTTCTTTCAAAGCCTAAATGTAGAATTTGTTCTAACAGCAGAGAGAAAACAGACAACTAGCAGTGAACCAAACCTATAACATCATACACCTCTTACTAACCCAGCTCAAAGTCTATTCTGCAAGTTATAGACCAAGTTTTGTTCACCTTTCTTTAATAGTGTGGATATAGAAGAAAACATTTTAAGCTTCAACTACAGTAGAATTGGTACATGTTTATATTTTATTAATAAGCACCCCTTGATTAAACTTCCTCCTTCCAATGAGTGCCTCTCCTTCTGACTGAAATTTTGAATGAGGAAATGTACCTTACAGTAATTCATGTTACATGATAATGTTCCACTTACTCGTGTCATAAAGTGGTTGTGAATACAGTTGATAAACTGCATTAATTTGAACCTGAACACACACATTTTATGCTGCAATTTCTGATCAGGAGGTGACCCTGAGCCTGATTCAGATGTCTCCCCATCATCCTCTGTTTCATTCTCATCATCAGTGTCATCAGTCTTCATTTGACATTTGTTGCCTCTGAGGTCTAACAGACATTAACATCATCAGATGTTAAGGAAGAAAATGGGCTGTACCCTTACTTTGCAGACCAGGAAAAATCAGTATTTTATGGCAAAGCAAAAGGCAGGATGGGTGAGGGGAGTGGGGGGAAAGATGAGGAGGTGAAAATCTCTTTACTTCCTGTACCACTCCACCCTAAACTTTTAACTATATCCCTAGTTCTTTGGTGCTAAACACTACATCAGTGACAGCCATGTGTGCCACTTTTTTTTTCATACCAAATTTTGACATTATCTGTGACCTATTACTGAATCGATGCACAGAAAAATGGAATCTATTATTGTTAAACAGTAAAAGTATACTGCATCCTTAAAAAGAGTTAAAAATTTGAAAAAAAAGTAATTCAAAACCTGAAAATCTAAGCTCATCCAGGCTCCACTTGGCTTGTTTCAGTTTTAAGAGAAACAAAAACACAAGATTGTAGAGCTTCTGACAGGAACTGTCAATTATGATACTGACTGGCCATGGTGCCTGCAAGAAATATGATAAAACACCCAATTATGATGTTTTACAGTTTGGCATTAAATAACAGACATTGGTGTGAGGCTCTAAGAACTAACAAATATAGATTTTATGAGATAAACCATTTTACTCTCAAGATGTCACTAATAATTCTCCTTAGGAGAGAATTTGGTATTGGATCAGGTAATAATCTCCTGAATGATATTTTTCTTTATTCTCACCACTTTTCTGCTCGATATTGTGTTGAAATTGTAAGGAGAAATTCTTTCTTGGTCACTCATAGGTATTTTAGATCTGTCAATAGACAGTACATGCAAGCTTGCATACAAACATCACAATACTGTTTTTTTTTTAATCAAATCCATATATTTTGGTTGTATCCCTCCAACAGTGTGTAACTTTTAAGAAGTAGATTCAACATTAACCATGCAGGGCAAGATGTGAAATTTCAAAGATGATTCAGTTTCTTTTTTTTTGTCCATGAATACCTACACCTTCCCATAAAAATCTAATGACTTCATAATTATGCAGCAGGTATCAAATGAATGTTCTTCTAATATATCTGTGCAAAACAGTAAAACTGAACCACATATCAGTGTTTACTGATACTACACACGACACAAATCTGAACCTTTTGGTAAATCAGTGATGGCTTCTAATTAAGTACAAAACCAACCCTGTAGTTTAAAGTCAGTCCTTGAAGTGATGCACCCAACTGCTTCCTGCTTGATGCACCATTTGATGAAAAACCGACAACCAGCCTACAAATCAAGATTGTAAAATGTGTAAACTATATTCATTCCACTAACATCATTTACATATCACTTCTCCACACCATCTTCTATACATTTCTTATCACTTTGGATGTGAGAATTTGTAGTCTAATCAAAAAATATCCCTTGTTGAAATTTTTCTTACTAAAGAAGATGTTGAAAGAAAGCCAACAAGAAAGTGAGGAAAAAATATTCACCTTTCAACAGCATCTGGAAAGCGAGGTTGTAGAGCTTCTTGTATTAAACTATTCAAGAATGAAATGTCCTGCCACGTTACACGATGCCTTGCCTGTTAAAACAGCTAAGAGTTACTAGATAACTACTTCTGACTATTCTTAAACTGACCAACTGTTGTTAACCCTTTAACTCCCAAGATCTGATTGTTAATTCTCTCCTGTAGCTGCTACACATTTCCTTGTAAATTAGTTATGAGAACTTGATGCTAGATCAAGATAGCAGCTTCTACCTGATAAGTTTGAATATTCTCATTACCTGTTTGCTGAAAAATGTATGGATATTGTTGGGAGAAGTTTTATGTTAATCACTTCTGGAGTTAAAGGGTTCATCAAATAAGAAAAAGAAAAACATTGAAAAAGGTTCTGAAGTTGCATCTAACACTTTACCTTATTAAATATCTCAATGTAAAATTGATGCATTGCGTCACCAGCCTCCAAGAGAAAGAAATTCTATAATGGAATAATTGATCAAAATTTAGCTTTTGATGGACAATTGAATCTAGTAATTAATTAAAAGCAGTAAATTTGCAGGAAAAAAAATTATTTTAACCAACCCTCATAGCAGCTAAATGATCCAAAAGACAATAATCTGTTTTCAACAAGTGAATGACAAAACAGCTTCCCTAAAAGAGATAAATCAAATTATCTAAACAACCACAATTTGAATTTTCTTTTCACATGTTCCTCTCCTACAGCTAACCAACCTGTGTACAGCAATCTTCAAGCAGAGGTGTTAGGCATTCTGAAAGCAACAGCTCCACCGGTTTGAGCAATTTGCAAACACCTAAAGACAAATCAATAGTGATTCCAAACTTAAGTGAATATACACAGGGTTCTCATTAAATTAGGGAGTAGGTAGCCAACAATTTGAGAGCTTTTTCTCGGGGTCATGGGCATGCTCCCTCACAGAATATTCTTTTTGAAATGTAGAGGCTCTGAAAAGATATCTTATGTATTCTTTTGAAGGTACACATGCAAAGCACAACTGCAGTTGGTTGGTTGTAACATGTGCCAGGTACAGAGTGTCAACCATTGCAAAAATGTAAAAGCACAAATAAATGTTTTTGTGAAATGCAAGCATGGCTTTCAAAAAAGTTGCCTATTCATGAAATTTTTTGTAGCAGTGACTTGTTTTAATTGTTACTACTGACAGTTTACTGATCACAAATTATTTTATCAAAGGTAAGGGGAAAAAATGGGCCTCTCAAAATCAATGCTGTATCACCTGAACAAATCCTGTCCAGTTTTTCTGCAGTAGAGCTACAATGTAAAAGATAACCATCAGTTAAAAGGGCAGATTCCACTGAAAACTACCTACACTTTCTTTTACCATAGAGACACAAGGGAAACCTGTTTCTATTGCCACTTTATAAAAAAAAACTTTTTAAACTTCAAGTACTGTGGAATCAGTACAGGAAAATAATAAGCACCTCCTCTCAACCAAGCACCCTCCCTCCAATAAGCACCCTGCCCTATCCTGTCTATCAAAATTTTAAATTCAGTGCCTGGGTGCTTATTCAAGGAAATACTGCATTAGGATCAACAGAGGGAAAACTGAAAACTAAAAACTTCCAGTGCCGTAAAAAATTGACACACAGGAAGAATCAAAACCTAATTTAGGACTTCAGTGGCATTCAACCCTAATTATTAAATGAATCCTTCTGCTTTCAAAGGCATTTATTTTGTATATTATAATTATAATACAAAAGCTGTAAAAAAAATATATCAAGTTAACTATTAAATTATATAGATGGACAAAAAATATATGAAAAAAAATTGCTATCATTGATAAAACAGTAACCAAAAGAATACCTTTTTTGCAAGGAATATCTCTGATCAACTGGTGCTTCTGTTTCCACAAATGCAAGCTTCAGAACATGGTCACCAGTATCTTCAATAACCGACATGATTTGGTTAGAATCTGTTATGGTATTCAAGAGACTCATTTCATCAACAGCTGAACCATCTTCTTCATTTGATGCTTCTGCAAGTAAAAGAACATGCTATGACTAAACAAAAAAGGGAGATGCAAGAAACTGTCTTCCATTTGGGATACACACATCAAATATCAAACAGAGGACAAAACAAGCCCCCATGGAATGTTATAACATGACACAAGATAATATTAATTATCATATTACAAATAACACATAACACATGACGGTTTGTTTTTTCACTCACTAGAGATATCTGATAAAGTAGTCAACAATTTATCCAAAAACTCTTGGTGCAAAGGCCCTACATTTGAAGAAGAAGAAGAAGAAGAAGAAAAAAAAAAGGAAAAATCAAATTCCAGTGACTGATTTTGCTGAGAAAGGAAAGATATTTCATGAGGCTTAATGACAAGCAGGGGAGTCAGAGGAACTGGTGATGAAATATTTCCAAGCATATTGTATGCAAATAAATAAATACAGTATTCTTTAGAATTAAATAATAAAAACTGATTTCATGAAGTTAATAAGTCTAAGAACAGTTGCATGAAGTTAATAGCCTCTGATTTCCTTCGGCAGGCATTGGCCATTTTGAAGTTTGCTGGGATTGATGATTATAATTTATGATAATATATAATTATTATAATTGCACTGCCAGAAAGGAATAAATTTAAAAGTAATAATTAAAACTAATGCTACTAACCTCTAGTTTGAAAAGAGTGAAGTTTACCAATCTGATGAAAGGAAAATATGACTTTAAACTTAAAAAGGATTCAGACATTTAATTTAGTAATTAACTAATATTTATTGTATTGATTTGAGAACTGTAACCAAAGCAAGATGTTATACATGTTGATATAACCTAAATAATGAAAATAAGATCTAAAATTCTATACTTTTACCTTTCCAAGGCCTTCAATTAACTCCACAGACTTTCCAGCACGGAATATCTGTTAATGTGAAAAAGCAAAAATTAGAAAGCAGTTAACGTTGTTATCTACCATAATTACCAGACTCTATGTGATTAAAATCTGTGCAAAGAACTCTCTTAGTGACATGCCACCAACTTGGAATCTGTGTAATTTTAGTTTAAATAGTTTCGTGTGTGTCTTTTGTGTTTATTTGTTTATATAGCTTATATGTTAGTTTTTGTATATCACTGTGACTTGTACTTGTATATTTAGGAATCAGGTTATGAAAACCTTTGAGTCTTCAATGTAAAACATTGTCTCTACCTTGCAACAACAGTTGTAAGATCCATGACAGAAGAAATTGTTTATATCTCTGAGGCAATGAAATACTTGTGAAAATTAATATTTTCAAGTGACACAAGTAAAAATGATAATCTTGATTTCACAATGTACCATATTTATTGTTGATATTAATACATTAATTTGTATCTTATTCAGTGGGAATTACAGATGTTGGCACAGTGTAACTTAAATTAATACCCCAGATATTACCTGATCGACAAAATCTTGTAAAAAACAAGGCACAACACTGTCCAGCGGTTGATTGGCACACCTTAGGACCACACCATCTGACCAAAAGGACTCACTGTCCACAGCAATGGATTGAACTCTAGAAATAAAAACAATTGCAATAAAAAAGCTCACTCAGATATTTACACAACACAAATCTCCAAGCTCAATATTTTTAAAAAATTTTGGTTGCCAGAAATTGTAGGAGTAAGCAGAATATGGTTGACATTCATTTTCAGTTGCAGATTCACACAACATCTCAAGACATAACAATCAAGCTACCAAACTACCTACCTTTCAATAAAAAACTCATCATGTGGATCATGAACATGACCTGATGTCACCCACTGGTCAATAAACCGAAGACATGGCTCAACAGTTTGAAGAAAAATTTTCAAAAACAAGTTGACCTGAAAATCCAAAATAAGGTTGGTAAGAGGTTATTACAACATAGCTAGTAAATTTGTCTAATCAAATTCAATTGCTTGAGCACACTTCATATTCCTATTGTGCACGCTCATGACGTCAGCAAACATCCCTCAAGAAAAAATTTTCCATCAGGTCAAAAATGTTATAAAACAATTGGTATATACGTCAGCTGTGCGTTCATTGAGATATGAAGCACTTGGGAAGTTTAGAGAGCACTCAAGAAGCTAGAGTTGCTCTCGGCTACACCTCAAGCAACTCTTACGCATCTTTCATGCTCTCCAAACTTCCAGCGTGCTTCATATCTCGATGAATGCACGCTGACGTATGAACCAATTGTTAATTAATAAGATTATTAGTAAACTTAATACAAAATAAGATTTATTATTAATAGACTTAATAAGCCTGTAATCAAGCCAAGTGACCCATCCAGCCAGAGCTAACCCTTTAACTCCCAAGATCTCGTCAGTAATTCTCCTTACTGTCTGCCATACAGCTCTTGTGATGTTAGTTTGGAGAATTTGGTATTGGATCAACTTATAATCCTCTAATTGATATTTTCCTTTATTCTCATCATTTGTCTGCTTGCTATTGTATTGATATTGTAAGGAGAAATTCTGTCTTGGTCACTCAGTTAAAGGGTTAAGTACTCTCCCCTAGATGGGATACCAGTCTGTCACAAGGTTACCCCCCCCTAACATTTCACAAGCCATCCCGGACAATTTACTGGTACCCATTTATACTCCTGGATGTAGAGAGGCACTGTAAGAGTGGATTATTTTGTCCAAAAACAGAACATATTGTCCCAGCCAGGTCTTGGACCCATACTTCTCAACCTGGAGTCTAGCGCTCTAATTATTGAGCCAAAATGAAGAAAAACCCAATTCAATCCAGCATGTTCATTCATACAGCTTGTTTACTTTTGTAAGGTGACTTGCATACCTCATAGGTCAGAATATACAATGCAAAAGTTTTAGTGATGCCCAATTTTCATCAATTGGAAGCTTTCATTCCACACAAATATATAGTTATTAAATTCACTTTATATCATCAAATTGATGCATTTTCAAGCAGAAAAGTGATGATAAGAGGAATAAAAAATTGTCAACTTCTGGACAATTGTTGCTTGACTTAACACCAGAGCTAAGAATGTACAAAATGTGAAGCAGACCATGCATATAATAAATTTTTAGGTCTTTGGAGTGAAATTGTATATTTACTCTTATCCTCACAGGTATAGGTGGCAAAAAGTACCTCAACTAATTGTGGGTCTTGAAAACATTTAACTCTTTCACCTCTATGAGTGACTAGCATCTAATTTCTCCTTAAATTATCAAAATCATTCTCACATTCACCTTCCATTTTGCCGCACTTCCAAGTCCATCAGCCTGAATGATATTTCTGTACAATGTTGTCAGCAGCCTGCAAGTTTTCTGAGAAATACAAAACCAAGAAGTTGCTACTAACAATATGTCTGCAATAAACTCACTTTGCTCAAAACATTTCCCTTTTCAACATTCAACCCTTTAACTCTCAAAAGTGATCAACTTGTAACTTCTCTCCAAAATAACCATACATTAACCATCAAACAGGAAATGAGAATACTCAAACTTATCCAGTTATCAAGTAGAAACTGTCATCTTGATCTAAAACCAAATTCTTGTCACTACATGTAATTTATGTAAGGAAATTGTGTAGCAGCTAGAGGGGAGAATTTACAGTCAGATCTTGAGAGATAAAGTGTTTCACTATGATACATCCCTTAATTTACCTTGGCAGTATTCATTCCTTCTGTGTTTAAAATTGCAGCTCGATATATATTATACAAGGAAGATATCTGATAAACAAAACCAGAAATGTGTTAGAACACAATGTAGCAGCTAATATAGATTTAGCCAAGCCTAAAAGCGGAGCCTGCACATCTTAAGGGCACAATGCCTTGCCCCGGCCAGGACTAGAACCCGGGTTGTCCATCTCAGAGCCCTGTGCACTGACCACAGGACTACTGGACAAAGCCATGGCATTGGCATGCCCGTAGTACAGTTGACCACGCATGTTAAAAGTAGCACCTTGTACGGTCATACGGTCATACAACCAAATTTTTTCAGCTTGATGGGTTACTACTATTTTGTATAATTATGGGGCTACCCTCTGTGAGCTCTGCTATTATCCAACCATATTTTGCTGATAACATGCATAATGATACTGCTGGCAATTCCAATTCTTACATTTTTTTGAAAACTCAAATTTATAACTTTCATTTAGTTCACAATATATAAACAAAACTAGTATAAACAAAAACAGAGGATAACGTTGAAGGCTCACTCTGATTGGCTACTCAAACTCCAAATATCATTTGTTATTCACCTGAAAATACTGTAGTCATTGTAGGAATAAATTAGTTATTAAATAAATAACCATATTTTGTGCATTATTATCTCACTGTTAACACTTTAACTCCCATAAGTGACAGAATTTCTCCTTACAACATCAATACATTATCAACCACATAAGTGATGAGAATAAAGAAAAAGATCAATTTGGAGATAATTAGTTGATCCAATATTAAATTCTCTAAACTAACATTAAAAGAATTGTATGGTTGACAGAAAGGAGAATTACAAATTTGATCTGGGAGCTAAAGGATTAAGAGTGTTTACAGTTAAGTAAATATCCCCCACTAGCCACCACTTCTTAGGTGAAGATCTGTCAATGATAAAATGGATGATTGAAATTAAATATCAGATGCAGAATAATGATGAACTTTTTAACTAACCTCTTCTAGTTTTGTCCTTAGTTTGTTTTGAAGCAGGAATAATGAAATGGACTCTTCTGAAAAATCAATTATGTGCACAGTATATCATGACAAGTCTACACCATTGTAAAAAAGTAACTTTTAACAACTGCATCGTTAAGTGGAGGTTGGGTGCCCAAAACATCCAGGAGCTTCCACAATTGGCAGCCAGCTCCTAGATGGAGACTTCTCCCATGGCTGGCAAATCCTGGCAACCCAGCCATGAGTCCCCACACAGAAAAGGGAAACAGGCACCCATCACACTGAATAAACAGTGGAAAGAGGGAGGGAAGGGGTGGGGAAACCTGCCTGGACAATGAGTTGACACCTCACCTCACAACGCTGCAAGTTCACACTCAAGGCACACACAAGAACGCCTCAAACAAAGAGCATATAGAATTCTGACACATGCACATTTGTAAAAAAACTCCTGACTACTAGAGAATGCTGATGCTCTTTGTAGTTAACTCTGTTAAACTGCATTTAACTGCATTTAATAAGCTTTCACTGCTAGTTAGAGAATTGATGCAAAATATAAATATGAAGTATAACATCAATTTAATCAGTGATTTTAATATGGTCTATAATCATACTTAGGAGCAAAATTATATTTAATACCTATTTATTAAAAATTAATTAACTATAACTGTAGGCATTCATTCTTTTATTATCACTTGAAACAAAGTGTATCAGTAGTATAAAACAAGTCAAAGAATACTATATTATCATCACAGAAAAACAAATTTTCTTTATTTACCCTGTTTGATGATGTCTTTTTCCAGGGAAGAAAGAAGTGATTTGAATTCCTGAAAAGAGATGAAAGAAACTTTGTCTTTGGGCAGAACAAAGAATATGTCTAAACTAACACTCAAATTCTATGTAAAATTTTTTCATACTTGTCTGAAGTAATACCAGTATTTCTTAAACAATCACAAATGTTTCACAAGGATCTCCCAACAGCAGAAAACAAAAGCTAAATGGTTCATGCTTTTAGTTTTTGAGCTCTGTATTACCTTAAAGTAACCAGACAGTGAATTTACAAATGCTTGTAATGTCTGTGTTGGCTTGCTTTGTGGATCAACAACCGACAAGATGAACTTCTGTAAAAACAGACTCTCCTCTCCAGCCAAAGCAAACGATGACAACAAACTGGACAGAGATTCCTGAAAGAAACATGCCATAAAAAGATAATCAATTTCAACCACAACTACATTACCTGTAAGTATAATAACTAGCTGGGCTCTTGTGCATAAATGGAACCTACACTGATATTGCATGTCCTATTAAGTCAACTATTATACATTAGACTTACTATTTAACTCTGATTGGTCAAGAGCATACAGTCAATCAATAATAACATGCAAAGTTGACATAATACTTCTTTTGCAGATTAGACAAGAAATGTATAAAAAACAAGTAATGAAATTTGGTTTTTTGCATGATATCATGAATTGTCAACCAGGTGTCTGTGTAATCTGTCTCAACTCAGACCTTGGCTTTAATAATTCAGGATATCATGCTCAACCTAATCCAACAATTGCTTATTGCATTTCTTGGTCACATTTCATTTAATTCATTTTTTTTATATGGATTTGCAAAGTAATATTTAACCTAACTCTGGAAATGTACTTTTAAATCTTAATCAATAAAATATCTACCATTCTATCTACAGTGTCCTCCTTTTCAGGCAGTAAATGGCTAAAAATGCTGCCTGTAGTAACTTGTATTACTGCCTAAAATATTTTGGAATTTTTTTTAAAATTCAACAGGATTGCTCTTAACAGTTTGGAAATTTATTTTCTTGATTTAAAAGTTTTTCACTCTACAGTATTATGGCTTTTGTTTTTGTTTGTTTCAGACTATGACAATGAATACTGTAAAAATAAAAAAACTGCTTTGAAAATTTTAAACCATCATGAAATTTTGAAACACAGCAAATGCAGTTAATAGACAGAATTGTGAGGAGAGATTTCTAGCCTCAACTAACTTACTGGAGTGAGGTGAAGAACCTGTATTCCACCTTGGACAGTTATTCTGCCATACTGCCTATGTCTGTACACAAATGTGTTTTGTGCTCCAGCAAGCATCCTACAAAGAAACCATGGTTTGATTAAAATTCTAATTTGTAACCAGTTTGATTTGATTTTTTCCTTTTAATTTGTTTCATATTACAGTTATGAATACATGCACAAGAATCCTAGTGGTAAAAATTAATGAAGGCTACAGACAAATGTAAACTGTAAGCTTTGATACAAATATCTTATTCAATGTTTTGGTGTGTAGTATCACTGAATATTTTTATGAGGTGTGCCATATTTTGACAGGGTAGCAATGGTCAGCTTATCAGAAAAATAATGACAAAAAATAGGCGAAAGATTCAAAAGGCAAGAACAGATCAATGTTACGTCTCACCACAAGGTCTCCCTCACAATCTGAGTCTCTGTGAGTGTCTTGTTACAATTGCTGTGATAAAATGGATTGCGTCCACTTTGATAGCTATCCCTGGTTTTACAGAGTTAAAAAAATGAAGATTTAATGTTAGATAATGCTTATACTGTAAAGCTGTAAAACTGTAAAGAGAAACCACTTCATCAACCATGTAACTCCCACAAGTGACCAAGACAGAATTTCTCCTTACAATATCAACACAATATCAAGCAGGCAAGTGACGAGAATCAAGAAAAACATTAATTAGGGGACCATTAGTTGATCCAAAACCAAATTCTCCAAACTAACATCACAAGAACCGTATGGCAGACAGTAAGGAGAATTAGTAATGTGATCTTGGGAGTTAAAGGGTTAAATTTCCCAGGAGTGACTAACATCCTATTTCTCCTCACAGTGTCACTTCTGAATCACATGTTAAGGTCATGACTACAAAAAAAAAATGATCATAAACTGAAACTACTCTTGATTTTCAAACAAATTCCCCCTGGTCAGCATGTTAGGAAATGTATAGAGAACAGTATGGAGAATATGCATACTGATGTTAGGGTGTATATAATTGAGGCTGCAGTATTAGAGAGCATTGAATCTAAAGAGTTGAATTCAAAGTAATTTCAATCAGTACTACTAAGTAAACATTGGATCAATATCAGTATCTGGGCAACTGCCCACCTACCCCTCCCCTGACTCAACAACAGTCAAATGATAACAAGTTAGGGTTAATGTTGGGTTAGGGGAGGGGTAGGTGGGCAGTTGCCCAGACACTGATATTGATCCTAAACATTTATGTAAGACTTCGTAACCCTTTGACCCCTAAGAGTGATTAAAATCTAATTTCTCCTAACAATATCATCACCAAATTACACATTTAGGTTATGAGAATAAAGGAAATGATCACCAACTAAAGAAGCTCTTGATTGTTAAACAAATTCTCCTTGTCAGCACCTTAGAAATGTATAGAGCATAGTATGGAGAGTTTGCATACTGATGCTAGGGACTGTTAAGGGTCAAATAGAGATGTACTGTACCATGACTCTGCTATGGAACAATTCCATTCTGATGTGTTTGTGTGAGTGAAATTGTTGGATGTGTTCTCCCAATATTGAGGAACTATTTGATCTGAAATCCAGCTTCCTTCCTGTAAAAAAAAAAACAACAAAAAAAACCACTTAGATTTTAAATTTTGTTCTTCAGGAGGGGGGGGGGGGGGGCAGAGCAATGCTGTTGGCATTGGTCAGTGAGAAACCCACAATTTCGAGGATGAAAAATACAAACTTGTTACTTAGCCATTCAATTACCCTATTACCCTGCTATTAAAGTTTTCAATGAAAACTCTACCTGACCAGTCAAGATTCCTTTGAATATCTGTTAATATTCCATTATTATTTACAGTAACCATACCCTGCCATCCCTGGGGCTTATGATCCCTTCTCTATCACTGACATTGTGCTCTACACTTCTCTGAGATTCTTCTTCATTGTCAGCCAATTGCCTCTCAACAACGCTGATCCCAGAATCACTGATCACATCCAAGTCCTCATCCTGTATAGGAATAATAGCTTTAATTAACCATTTCACTCTCAACTTGATTCATTGGTTAGTTTTCCCCATTTTTATTATTACAATATCAAGCAGTGATGCATTGAGAATCAGAAAAATTATCAACCAAACTATATTGCCTTCAGTTGATGGAATATGCAATTCTCAGCATTAGCAAATCATGAAGTGTATAGTCATGTGTGGGAAGAGTTGGCTCTCTCATCTTAGAGTGAAACATTCAACCCTTCTAACTCCTACGATTTCATTGGTAATTCTCCTTACTGTCTGCTATACAATTCATGTGACGTTCATTTGGAGAATTTGAAATTGGATCAACCAGTAATCCCCTAATTGATATTTTTCTTTATTCTCATAACTTTTCTACTTGATATCATACTGATAGTGTAAGGAGAAATTCTGTCTTGGTCACTAGTGGGACTTTGAGGGTTAAAATGTAACATGGCCATGGTGGACCAAAGATATCTCAACAGTTGGCAAACAAGACACAATATCTAAAACGATGTTATTTACAACAGAAAAATGTTTTTACCTCTTCATCCGACCAATCCTGCAAATATAACACAAAGTAAATAACATATCATGTAAAAACAATTTTATCAAAATATTAGATCGAGACTGAGAAACTTCACTCAGTTCAGAGATTCAACAATCTATTTTATGAATATCATGTTTGTTTACTCCAAGGGAATTCCTCCAAAAAAAACAAACAAAATCGGTAAATCAAAGTCAATACCTGATCATACTGAACAGGCAGGCCAAGAATTTCTTCTTCTTCTCCATCAAGTAAATAACTTTTCCAGTCAAACCACTCCTCTTCTACAAGTAAAACACAGAAGAGACAACCAATTTTAGGACTTCAAGGCAAAATGACATATCACGCAAACAACAATCACATCAAATTGATGTGTATATAAGATATTCAATTATACTACATTCATTTGGAAATCAGTGGTAATCCTTGCAATCTGATTGGCTCTCAGTAGTGCAATTTATTCATGAATCAGTTAATGAATGGATAAACAATTGCTCAAAACAGGATTTTAATCCAATTCCTTTATTTTTCAAAATGGCGCTGATACTTGAGATAGTCAAGAGTTTATTTAAACCTTATCACTGAGAAGATATGTTTTGATATTATAGGATTGTGGGTGCATTACCTAAAAGCCATTTGTTGTCCTTTACAAAGTAATAACCACCCAAATTATAGATGGGGATCACCCCTTACTCAGCCAGCAACAGGCACCAAGCAAAAACCTTCACCATACCTGAAGATTGTTGAGATTGAGGTGGCTCGTAATCGACATTAGTTGGAGAATCAGCAAGAGTTAACAATAACAGGATGAGAGAATAATGGGCATCTGTCTGTAAATTTAATAAAAAAAACAAGCAGTTACTCATTGATAAACCTTTAACAGCCAAGATCTGATTGTTAATTCTTCTGTCAAGCTGTCACACTTTTTCTCATCAAGACGTTATAAGAATTTTGTGTTGGATCAAGATGACAACCTCCATCTGACAAAATGGTGATCATTTCTGTTATTCTTGTGACCATAATAGGTGATTGAGGTGTAATATTGTGAGGAGAAATTAGATGCTAGTCACTCTTAGCAGTCAAAGGGTTAAGTGTTTGATACATGAAATCACATGAGCTAGAAAAAAATTCTGAATAACCTACTCCCAAATAAAATGTACCTTTATCAATTCCTGGGACTGTGTAGTTAAAGGCAAGTTCAGAAACTTGTTACATAAATCTCTCAAAATTTCTGCCTTCTCCAACTGAGAATGAACTTTCAGCTTCTGGCAAACACTGTCAATAAGATTCAAGCAAAATACATCACATGAATGCACATCTCATTTAACTTTGTGTATGTCTCTTCATTCAAATATTATAATGTCTTTTAACCCTTTAACTCCCAAGATCTCATTACAGTCTGCCATATAGTTCTTGTGATGTTAGTTTGGAGAATTTGGTATTGGGTCAACTAATAATCCCCTAATTAAGATTTTTCTTTATTCTCATCACTTGTCTGCTTGATATTGTACTGATATTGTAAGGAGAAATTCTGTCTTGGTCACTTGCTCTGATGTTTAACCCTTTAACTCCCAAGATCTGATCGCTAACTCTCCCAACTGGCTCTTACACATTTCCTTGTAAATTTGTTGCAAGAATTTGGTATTGGATCAAGATAACAACTTCTACCTGATAAGGTTGGAGTATTCTCATTACCTATTTGCTAAGTAATGTATGAATATTATAAGGAGAAGTTACCTCTTGATCACTTCTGGGAGTTACTGGGTTAAGTACACAAAAATTACTAAGCATATTTCTTGTAACAATTCAAAACTGCATGAGCAAAATAATTTAAATTTATCATAATTAATTACACAGCTATACAATTTATTCATTTTCAAAAAAAGTTTTTATTCAAATATATCCACTGATATTAACTCACCCATCAATATTCCTTTCCACTTTTTGGCTATTGACATCCAAAAACTGGTGGTACCTGTAAAGTAAGCCCACTTAAGACAAAAAGGGACTGAAAAAAATCACTGCATTGAAAATCTAATTGCTTGCAGTCTTAGTTATTTTGGATTTCCTGTTTTAATTAATCTGGTCAAGTGTCTTTTGCAAACCACGACCAATATATCAACAAACGGCCTATCGACAAGTACACGACACGTCAAGAAATCTGAGTTTAAAATCACAAACTAGCAGGAACTAAAGAAACCTTTTTCTTTTTTATAACTGCATTTTTCGTCAAACGTGTGCCTCATCAATGCTTCAAGGACTGAGACATGTTACCATTGCAAAATCAAATTTCAACTCACCGAAAGTTAGATAAGACGAACTGGACAGAGAGAGTAAAATTTCTTGAAGATCTCTGGAAAAAATGAAACCGATTTGCTTTCAGAAATATCATTTTACACTGTGGTAAAAAAGATACCAATTACCTTAAAACTGGTCAGCTCTTTTACCAACTCTTCGGCAAGTGCCTGTATGTTTGGATCTTTAAGCGAAATAGGCGCCATTTTTTTGTTTTCCTCTCCGCTGACAAAAATAGCGCAGGCTCTACCTAATATTCTGTGTGGTGTATAATGCACGAGAGTTAGAATATTTCTTTGCAACTATACCGCTGACAAGAAACTCAAATGACCCTGGGCTCGAGATTGTGCAAGAACATACGTCATTTTTTAAGTTGACCGCTGAGCAGCAATTCCGTTGAAGTAGAACCAAACCTTCCAGCCAATAACTATGAACGCAGTCATCAACAACAATTGCAAAATGGCTGAACGGGAAAGGAAAGTCTCTGACAATAATTCGTCTTCTACTTGCACAAATACAAGCGGGGATACTGCCAGCAAGTAAGACAATAATGACATTAGTACAAATTATGATTTGGACAAATGACAGACGATCTGTGTTGTTTTTTTTTAAGATTCGATCGCGTGGTTCTTCTTCATTTCTTCATCGTGTTTGTATCGAGCTTTGCACTGGGTTTATTGTTTCTTCATTCATCACTAACATTCTGGAGATTACAGGTGGGTAAAGGAATGCTTATCTTACATCAAACACATGATCACAGAGAATTTGAGCCAGCTGTTATTTCTCGAAATTTACCTCAAATCATTTTTTCCTTTTTTCGAACTGGTTCCGTCCAGAGGGCAATCGTAGTTTCGATCAAAACTGTTCTAATTTATTTTGTTGCGTATCAATTCGTATTTAGTTATAGCAAGACTAACAGTTACATACAGTTACTTCAAAGTTCTTCGATACGTAATCTAACCCTTTAATGAAATATTTTGTTCATGTAATGAAATCACACGTCTGGTACCACTTCTTGTTTCGATATCGAATTTCGTCGTTTCGCATTCTTCGTGATATCGTTCTTTGTTTGCTAATTATTCATCCTTCGATTTAGTTAACACGCAGTTGTCTTATCGCAGACAGAGCGTAGGATACACCTGTGTTATTAATGGGTCACTTCAAAGGCTTGTAACCCATTCTGGCCTAACTTCCTGTTTGAATAATATTTTTAATATGTTTTTTTAATCTCGAAAGTTAAGGAGACTACGGAAAGAGAATACAATATTTCCGCCCGTCCTTTAGAATCTTTAATTGCGGTGGATCTTTATCAGTTAATTGTTACAATGAAAGTGTTTCACAAACTCTAATTTTAATCGCCAATTGGACTACGCTTTATGAATAAATTTATTATTGAAAATAACTAACAAACGAAATAACTACACAGTTTTAATTTTAGATTCATCTTTGTAAATTATTGTTACGTTTATGTGATGCTTTTCTCCAAATCAGTTTACAGCGCTGGTTACATTTTTATAAATCAAAAGATAGACACATTTAAAGATTGATACAAAGGGAAAACTTTGACCAATTTAAGAGTTCTTTTATCAGACTTCACATTCCCCAAACAAACCTCTATTAAGTGGACATTAAGTGGATGCAGACACTTTTGTTAAAAACCTCTGTTGACCCTTTAACTCCCATTAGTGACCAAGACAGAATTTCTCCTTGCAATATCAATACATTATCAACCAGATAAGTGATGAGAATAAAGAATAATATCAATTTGGGGATAACTACTTGATCCAATACTAAATTCTCTAAACTAACATTATAAGAATTGTATGGTTGACGGCAAGGAGAATTAAGTGGTTAAGTGGACACCAGACTGAATTGACAATGTAGAGTATGGGATTATGTCCTTGATTAAAGAGTCTATTAAATATAATAAATCCAAAGAGTCATTGTACAGTGCATAATTTGTCATCACTGTTTTTCTTTAAATGTTTTTGCATTATTACCATCAAATTATTAGTTGGTCATGAAAAGTTATGAACTAGAACTCTAGATAGCTTCGCTAACAACATGGACCTTAATCATAGTACAGGGTAACTGTTGAATGTTGATTGTTAACATACATTGTGCAATTCATACAAACCCTTTATTAAGCGGACACCTTCTTTAACTCCCAAGATCTGATAGTTAATTCTCTCCTGTAGCTGCTACACATTTCCTTGTAAATTAGTTACGAGAACTTGGTGTTCAATCAAGGTAATAATTATCTTGTACCTGATGAGTTTGAATATTCTCATTACCTGTTTGCTGGATGATGTATGGATACTATAGGGGGAAGTTACTTGTTTATCACTTCTGGGGGTTTAGGAGGTAAGCAGACGCTTGAGAAGGTCCAGAGGGTGTCAGTGTAATAGAAGTTTCACTATATTTTTTTAATCAGGTGTAACTGATTTGTAAGGAAATGTTTAGCAGCTAGAGGCAACAATTGATAATCAGATCTAGAGAGTATATGGGTTGAGAAGAGGGATGTTGATATTGTTTTGTCTATGGTGTTTGTTTTGCAGATTTACGAAGAGAGTGGATTCTTTGATAACACTAATTTAGATGCCAGCAGTCGTTACATTCCAAAAGATGACATTGTCAATGTTGTCACCTACAATGCCAATTCAAGCTTCTCATTAGTGAGATGACATTCCCAAACAAAATGGCTGAGACTGAAAAACTGACATATGTTCACATGCATTCCCATTACTGTGAGTTCTCCAAGGTAGTGATCATCACCAAATGGTGGAACGGTTAGAAATCCTCCAGTGGATCTGTGCAAATAGACACAAACTGGGTACAATTATTGTCTGAATTTACGTATGAATTAACAGAGTAAGCATGTGCATTAATCCACATGCACAACTCTGTGAGGCTTACATGGATAAGCTCTAATTTCAAACACTGCAACAGTTGTCATTTCTCTAAAATTAAATGCAAAACTTGTGGATTAAGAATTTCTCAGCATTATGCTAGAAATATAATCTCAAGGTTTAGGAAAAAACTTGAGAACTTTGAAGACATGAAGTGCCGGCAAATTTTAGTTTGTATATTATGATGGTTGTCAGAGCACTTGTCAGAGCCTAAGCATCTTGATGCCTAAGTTACATTAAGATGTATTAATTTATTATTTTGTGTAGGCTTATTGAACCTCATTATGGTGGGGGTTTACTTGGGACAGTGTTGAAGTGGTACTCAAACTTGTAAGAGCACCTCCCCTTGTGTGAAAAAAATTTGAGTTGTGAGGATATTTATGAGTGGAAAGAATCAGAGCAGTTCCATTTTGTTCTACCATGATAATCAGTTGAGTGAGGTGCAAAAATATTTGGCAATGGGAATTTTGACTGCAGAGTAACAATGCGGTCATGAGCAACCTTCCTTGTTTCCGAAGGTAACTAAATCTCAATAGCTGTGTGTCAAAACTATCCAGTAACATGAAAGCCTGTCATTAGAGGTCAAACAACATGTTGGCACTGAAAACACTAGAAACAAAGCCAGTGGCCAGTGACAACACCACAATTTAGACGTCCATCAGGCCCCAACCAACTGAAAATGGTTGTATATAATTCTGCTTTTGAATTTGATGCTTATGGTCTTGACAAAACTATATTGTGCAAGCAATGGCATATATACTATGGTAGTTTTTATAGATCATAACCAACAGAGTCATAAGCAGTGTTGATAATTTGCTTCTGATTTGTTTGGTTTTTTTCCACATTGTATCACTTTGACTCTGTCGCCAACTAAGACGCTAATGAAAACCAACCTCAATGCAATGAGGCTAAATATTATTTAGCAAGCTCAAGTTCCAGTGTATAATGTAAAGTGACAATAGAATCATGTTCAGTTTATAATATACTACCACATAATATGCACAAATTTGAAACAGTATCATTGTAATTACGAGAGCCAAAAAAGTTTTTACCCCAAGACACAGGTCACACCAGTATGAGGCCAAGCTTTTTTTTTTTTTTTTGTACATGGCCAAGTTTGCTGTGCAAAAAATGCTGCATTTGGTATTTATGTTACTTATAATCCAAAAATGTTTTGTCTCATTTGAACAATACAAGTGTTACTGCTATGCACTGAGTTGCTTATCCTAAGAATTCACTGGTTGACCAAACTTGACAAGGATTTGAAACATGTATTTGTGAATATTATAAGTAGCTTGTGGTCATGTACATGACAGTTAATTTTGATAACTAAAGAGAACAGTTATGATAACAAGATAAATTTAAACGAATCAGATTTATAATAGACTGCTGCTAGCAGCCATTAAGTGATGTATAGTAAATTGATACAACAGTTGTGTATGTATATAATTGTTTACGTAAGTAAATTCAAGCATTAAAATTTTTGGGGTGATTTAATTATAATAAAAGCAACACATTTTTCCAAAAAATACTTGTGAAAGTTGAGGTGATGTGGAGGAACTGTATAATGGTATTGTTAGATTGAGTGACCACGCCTCGGTTCAAAGCATGGATAATGTTATCCACAGGATAAATCTCTATCTGGTGGATAGTGCTCTACGTTTTTTTTCACAGTTATCCGCTGGATAGGGATTTATCTGTTGGATATACAACTGGACCTAACCTTTATACAACTGGACTTAAGTGGTTAGTGTGCCCTACTCTTGATTGTTAGACAATCAAGAGCATTTTTAGTTGGTAATCAGCTCCTTTATAACTGAGGCCCTCGGGCAACTAAGGTAGATAGAGTGGCTATATGAACCACCTCATGCAAGGCATGCAGCCTATCTAACTTTGATGTATCCCCCAGCTTCCCCTCCCCTTTGAAAATCCCAGCTACTCCCCTGCAAGGTCGGTAATGGAAAGGGCACTCCCTTTATTGGCATGACGAAAACAAGTATGCACATGCGCCAACCGACAGGGCACAGCTTCTAGTGGTTTTAAGTCGTAACAGAGTACTGCGCAATTTTGGTTACAGGTACTGAGGAAAATACTTTGCGTTCTGATATATCAGTGTCAGTTTGGTAAAACAAGATATTTCAATATATGGTATGGTATGAAAACTAAACGGAACTACAAGAAACTTTTCAATATAAGGAAAAATGTGTCGACCTCAACAGGTTCTATAGTTAAATTACTCAGACCACACTAAAGCTCTCCTCTTTCCATCTCATTTGTATCTCAAAATCTTTGTAAAGATTAAAATCATAAATTTTTTTTCTTGTTCTGAGAAATACTCAGAGAGAGCTAAAGAGAAACCTTAAATAAGTCAACAAGTAAACCCTGGGCAATATTCGGACAAGCACTTCCAACGGAATGATTGACAAGACACTCTACTATCGCTTCTAAGTCTAGAGCGTCCTCTAGCTTTCGTTTCTCCATTCTTGTTTCTTCATTCAGATTTGTTCTTTGCCGAATTGTTCCTTGATCCTATTGAATTCAATTAATACAACTCAGGTGAGTTATCGATATTATGGCAACACAGCGGAACACAGTGGTGAAATGTCGGGCATGGGCGATGGGATGAATTCTGGCCGGCCGCGTGCCAATTATTTCCCGCGTAACTTTTGAATGAAAACGCAAGAAACAACTGCTGTCACGTACGTAAGATAACCCAAACAAAAATTAAATTGTTTATAGAAATACGTACACAAAAGTAGGAAAAAAGAAAACTCGAGACTTTTCCGAACGCTAAGCTTATTGAATTACGGGTATCCGTTTCATTTACAATTCTGTTTGGAGTTTTAACGAAAAAGTTAGACGCTGTTTAAACACCGTGACTTACAAGATTATTTGGCTCTTTTTAACTCGTGTAAGACGCTGACGCTCTGACGAAGGGCATTCTCTCTAACGAGGGCTGGGCTAACGCTGGAAACGTCAGCTTCGAAACTCTAAACGGTGGCTGAGTTACGTTATCAACTGAGTTGATAATACTGAATTAATTTAATATAACTGATGTTTTTCTTTATCATTCTATCTTGTCTGCTTGATACTGTATTGATATTACAAGGAGGAATTCTCTCTTGGTCACTCATGGGAGTTAAAGGGTTAAACCAACCTTAGCAGGCTTTTCATCCATGAAATAGCTTCTCATATGCGGGTTGAAGTAACTTGCCAGAGCGGCTACACTGGACTCGGCATGTAAAAACACGTCACACTTGGCTAAGAGCAGAATGTCCATCAGCACTTGGGTGCCAATTTCTCGCTCGTACGGGTGAGTTGCGTTGTATTTGAATTTAAATACATGCGGAGGCGTCTGACTGTGATATTCCTTTGCTCGGAAAGCTTCTGTGAAAACAACCTGCAAAGCAATAAAGCAACAAAAATCACTGGATCAAAATATGACCCCCTGGATTCAAATTTGACCGCCCCCCCCCCCCCCCTTCACGATTGCACAGCAAGATGGTAAATTTCCACTTGTTACATAAAATCGCCAAATTTTATCCTCAATAAAACTTATAGATTTATTTGGAAAAAAAAGACAAACACAAGTTTTGAAGACAAATGTTGTAAAATTCGCCACACGATAGCTTCTTTGTCTTTAATTTTCCTGCAATTAGTTACTTTAAACAAGAAATGAAATTTGATTGTTTGTTTTGTTTCAGGGTCGCTTTCTCGTTGTTTGGGATAGAAATGATACTTAAGCAAGAAATGGTGCAATTTGGGAAGAAATCGCACTACCGAGAGCCAATCAGATTACAAGGATCACCAGTGATTTCCAAATGGGTGTAACAAATCTGTCACAATCAAATGCGTGAAAATCTATTCCTTTTTTCCTTTTCCGTTACTAGTAAATTAACGCTTGTAAACTTTGAATAGAGCGACTGCAACGCTGAATGGACTTACACTATACAAAATCAACACTAACCGTTTCTTTTCCAAAAACACCAATAAATTTTTGGATAACTTCATTGTTGTCGCTGGCGATGAAAATCTTTCTTGGCTCAGGCAAAGTTTCAAGAATTTCTCGTGCTCTCTCCACCCAGCTTATCACGGACGGCAGCTTATGATCTTTCGCTTCCATCCAGTGATCTGTTGCTCTAACTTGAACTCCTAAAAGAGTGAACCCCGCCATATTTCGACGATAAAATAGGTCTGCTCTCTCTTTTACTCGAGAATTGGGCTTAACATACTGACGAATTAATTTGTTTACACGGATTCTTTCCGCTGTTGTTATGATCCGGCTTTCACCATATCCCTCAACGTCGCTTCTATCACTAAAACTATTATCTATGATCGTTGTCCTTAAATCAGCTTCATCCATGTGGCTAAAATAATCTAACCTGACTTCTGTAATATCTTTAAGGCTTAAAGGACAAAAAACATTTTCAACTTTTGATTCCATTCCTTCGTTAACAGGCTCGAAATACCACATCCACGAGTTTACAGCTGGGTCCCGCGCGCAAGCGGAATTACAACCTCTCCAGAGCACAGTTTGCTGGTTGATTCCTAGAGCGCGACACACCATAATATGATCCAACGTGAACAGGAGAAAGGAAGAGAACCCACTGCCGCCACATTCAGTCATTGCTGGATCTACAACACAAACCGCCGTTCCAGAAGTCCCATAAGAATTTTTCCTGATCGCACCCACAAGTCCGTTCTCTTTCTGAAAGCGTTCTCTTAAAATTTCAGTCTTTGACAGAAACCTGAAGCTGTGGTTCAATTTGCTTTTCACTTGTATAGTTGATTCTTCCCTTTTCGACGATTGGCGATAGAGGCTGAACAGCAAAATAACGGTTAAAACAAGCCATGCTGGAATTAGATATCGAAGCAGGAAACGAGCAGGTTTGAAATTTTTGATAATTTTGACAGAAGCCACCCAAGCCGGTTGCATGTTATCAACGAAGAAAAGTAAAAGCGAAATACTTTTTGCTATTTTTATTCCGGATGATAAATGGTGCAAAATACAAGGTATTTATCATAATTATGTATTCAGATCGAACACAAATGAGCATAATTACGCAGAGAAACGACGGGTGTCAAGGAAGTAATACAGTAATGAAAGACAGGTCGAACCGTGAATCCAATAACATGCGATGCGAGTGGTTTCCCACGTTACGAAGCAGAGGAAGACGCGCCATTCGGGCTCCAAGTTCATCAGATTGAGGAGACCACTTGCCGGGAGCCTTACTCACGGAATAGTGAGTCAGATCCAAGTTTCATTAAGAAGAACGACAGCTGCTGGGCTGTGTTAGGTTTCATTAGAATTGATGAACACTTTTCAGTGATTAAACACTAGCAATTGAGTACTTCAAGGGCTTTTACGACTATTAATGAACGATAGAAAAAAGTGAGGGACAGTGCAAAATTCGTTCAGTTTTGAAAAGAGCGATGTATCACACGAGAATATTTTATTTATAACTGAGATAAAAATGAGCACGAAAAGAGCTCTCAAGTGACATTTAAAAAATTGCTTTTTCAAACTGACGCTGAATGTTTTTAAACAAAAGCTAACCAGTATTCCTCTTTGAAATGGCTAATGAATGACAGTGTAATTAACATACGTAATGATTGTTCAGCGTCTTGCTGGTTAATCAAGTTTAAATTTAGATTTTCGTTTTAATTTGCTACCATAAAAAGGCCTTCTCTTTCCTCAGCTATTAAAAAATGACCAAGTTTCTTGCTCCAACTTTAGCTGTGGTCTGGAAACGTTCGCAGTTTGATGCGTTTTTACCCTATTATTTACACGGAAACACCAACAATTCGAAACCGCTGAAGAAAATGGCCTTTGAACGCGTTTTTGATAGAGGAGTCTTTTGACTGAAGCAGGTGGAAAAAAAAAGGTTTGATCGCGATGACGTAGCATTCATCCTACGCAAAAATCAGGAAGTTTTAGCGAAATGCATCAAAAAGTATGCATTTTTAAATGAAAACGCAATGTTAGGATAAAAAGTCTTAACTGCAAAAATAACGCAAATAAATTGTGAAATTCAGGCCCCAACCATACTAATACGCTTTTAGAAAGGCCAGCAACGCGATCAATATAAACCGATCTTTCCCGAAGTTACGTTTACTAATTAAACACAAAGACAGCAAAGTTAGACGGTTTTGTTTTTTGTTTTTTTTGTTTTTTAATTGCAACAAGAGGCTCTAAAATAGTAATGAACGAGGTAAACAGGAAAATGGATCAGCGGATTGTGACAGTATTTTTGCCGGATGTCGGATTCAGAGCGAAATTGCAGATCCTGCATCGGCAGTGGTTTGCGGTTTTCATCGATTGTTGGGCCCGAACTTTGGATTTTTTTAAATTTCGGATCGTATATCTCTGCGATCGTTGGAAATGATTTGTTTTGTTTGTTTTTGTGTGTGTTTGCGTCACAGTTACTGTGGTTTTTACTCACAGACAAGACTTACCGAAAATGGCTTGAAAGTTGTGACGTGTTGCCAGCGGGAAGTGCCATTTAATCGATACTTACTGAGGCAGTTAGGGTTATGAGATATATTGCAGCCAGCTGAGGGCGGCTTCGGTAATTATCTATTAAATATTGCTGGGTCGAACGGGGTACTTTTTTTTAATATTGAAAACTAAATCAGCGAGCAGCACTCTGCGAACTGTTGCTGTAAACCTTGTTTTATTCTCCAATGCGTTTCGTCTATTTGTCGTAGACTTCTTCAAGACTTCTTCTTTACAAATATTTATTAGCCATAGTTGGCAGCCATTACGTGAGCTAGAAATCCCAAATCTTTTTCTCACCTTACAAAAAAAATTTGAAAAAAAAAAAAAGTCTGTTCCTGTTGGCAAATCCGGTCAAATCTTTATTGTCTTTGGCCCACGTAATAGCTGCTAACTATGGCTTATGAATACAGGCGTTTAGGATTTACGCGACGAAACGCATCGGAGAGTAACACAAGTTTTACAACAACTGTTCGCAAAGTGCTGCTCACTAGTTTAGTTCTATAAAAATGGTTTAAAAATTAATAAATTTGTAAAAAATTGTTTTGTTAGTTTGTTAAAGGTCCTATAAAAAGCGTGAGAACGATATTTTAAAAGTCGTTTAGCTAACACACAAAAGCTTTAGATAGATTTTCCACAAATCCTCTTGTCAAGCAGCAAACGGATTCGTATTTACGAATTTGGTTATTAAATCACAACGGATCTGCGGATTCACCCCTCGGTAATGGAGCAATAGTTGTAGACGGTTTGTGGGGACTCGAGCCTATTGGCCATAACACCGTTCAGTTCATTTCCACGGCAATGTGGAGCTTCTTTTTATAAGTTTTTCCATTAAGGCCTCGATCATCGTGGAAGGACATAAGATTTCGCAACAAATTGCCCATTCTCGTCCATAGAGGGCATGGGGAGCCTGGTAATCAGCGCCTGCGCAAACACGACGAAAGTGCCTTTATGGAAGGACTGTATACGATATGCGATATACAGGATTTGCCACAGGAAGCTCATGTGATAATAAACATAATTAAATTTATGCACAAGAAATAAATCCACTCGTAAACAAGCGGAAAGAAACCAGTCATATAGTTTCAGAGTTTAACGATGCGAAACGAGTAGACAGACCGCATTCTTATTAAAGGTGGACTAAAGGGTTACACCTTTATACTCTAATATCGGTATACAAATTCTCCATTTTGTTTAAAAATCAAAAGCTTCTTTATCTAATGATTATTTCCTTTATTGTAAGGAGAAATTTGATGCCAGTCAGTCTGACAGGTAAAAGGATTCAGACAACCAAATGAATCGATAAAGACAAACATTTTATTCAATTAAGACACAGGTGAGTTTGCCTATCCTCAAAGTTCAGAGGGACTGGAAAAGAGCTATTAGATCAATTATGATTGGTCAGTGGTTTCCAATAGCAACTATTGAGAAAAGTTAAATATACAAGTCAATACACAAGTCAAAGTCAGGCAACATGAACTCTTCCCAAGCAATGAAAAAAAAATGAATGGAAGGCTTTAAAACGAACAGGGGAACTTTCAGTAAATAAAAAAAGTTAAGCGTTTAAACCACATATACTCCATTTCCTTGCAAAACTGGTTTTTCAGGAACAACTGGTTTTTCCTTGAGCATTTTAACAATAGCCTCCAAACTCATGGCCATCCTTAAATCACCATCAACTTTCAAAGAGCCTTGCATGTAAGCATCAAAAGCTGTTGTCTGTCCATAAAATATCTGCTGCATATCCTGCACCCCCATGGTGAGCACCACATTGGGGTTATCGCCCGGATTCTCGGTATATATTTTTCCATGTCCACTCTTCAGATCTAAATACCATGTTCCTCCATTTTCACCAACAATGTTGAATTGAAACATGCCACCAATTTCCTGTACAAGTTTCTCACTTAGAACACCACTGACCAGCTTGACAAGCTGCTCAGGAGTAAGCAGATTGGACCCAGGCTCTCCGTTAGAAGACTGTGATGGGTCAACTGATGAAGCCATGGGGGTAGGGAGAGTGGGTCCACTTCGGGTACTGCTACCATCAAAGGCTGCAAATGGAAAGGAAAAATGTCCATATAGACATTTCTACAACATAAAAACGCTGCTTATCTCAGAATGATGATAAATTTGGTTTCACTTCATGTTTGAGTACAGAAGAATCTCCTTTTCACTAGCCAAACTCAACCCATTCATTTGGGCTTGTCTGGCATGGGTTTCATTACAATTTTTGCCATAAGCAGCTACTGATGATGTGATCTGCAGCTGCATACAAATAAAGGGGCTGTAAGCAAGAGCCAGACTTTTTTCCATAAAATACAATATCTTCAATTACATTTACTGCAATAAATACTATCAGTCTAAAAATAGTCTTAAAATGAATCATTTCATTTTGGATGATGATACAAATGGTATTTAACCCTTTCACTCCCAGACACAGGCTTTGACTTGATTTTATGTGGTTGTGACTTATTTGGATAAAACTCTTGTGTGTGAACTTTCCGATGCAAGCTGTCAATGTCATATTTCGCGCAATCTAACATCCTGCCAATAACAATGCTCTACTTCAAACTTTCATCAATCTTAATGCTTGATATAACCACTAACTCTGCACCTAAATATATCTGCAATCTTTTTATTTCTACACAAGACATACATCAGTATAATACCCGATCAGCATCTTCGGGTAACTACTATATTAACTATTCTAGGCTTAATCATCATAAAAACTCTTTTTCTATCGTTGGGGCTAAAATTTGGAACAGTATTCCCGAAAGCTATCAAAGTCTGCCGAAGCACATATTCAAAAAGAAAATTCAAGCATTACTATTTGCAACTCTAGGAAGTCTGGATAGTTATGCTGACACTAGCACTCTTATTTCTGAAATAAAAAAGGCATCTTAATTATAATTCAAACATAATATATTAATTTACTTTTTATCACCTTTTCCCTCTTTTGTCAAATAATGTATGCAAAATCCAGTAATTCGCATAATTCGTGTTTTTGTAATTCGTAATTGTTGTATGTCCTTAACACCGCCTGCCTAGATTAGCTCGCTATTTGCAGGAGGTGATTATTGTACAAAGATTTTCCTGCAAACTTAATAAACTTGAAACTTGAACTTGAGCACTTTCATGTTTTACCCTTTGTTTTTGTTGATTCTGCACATTGAAGTTCAAAGATTTCTTCTCAAATTTTGACCTAGCACTCTTGGGAGTGAAGGGGTCAATTACAGTTAAATATAATTGATTTTTTAATTAAAATCTTGTTGTAACTGTAACAATAAATTAGCTGCTGTTTGTCTTTTTTCCTGGGCTTACAGCTTTCCCTGTTAGCCTTGAATGAGGTTGTCTACAAGAAGCTTGACCATTTTGTATCTGAAATTCCATGACATCTGAATTTGAAAAAATATATATTCATATATATATAAATAAATATATTAAAAGCTCAGACAAGGCCTTAGATAGCTATAAGGAAAAGGGCATTCATTGGAATCTCAATTTAATTTTGAATGTTCCCAAAACGTGACTAAAGTAATCTTGAAACCTTACTGATAGATTTCATTGTAAAGCATAAGCTTAAGAAACTGCGGCATGCAAGTGACCGATTCGATTCTCAGAATTATTCTAGTTTCCGTTGCACCGAGCGTTATGTAAGCTTAATTCAAGCCGTTATACCTATTCTTTGATAAGATTTTGATCACGTAACGACTATCGCAATTTTTACTCACCACAAACTTTCAAAATCGTAGCTTTATAGATGGCCTATCGACCCTTGTTTATACCAGTCAATATGTCAACTGTTGTCCCTTCTTTTAACTCCACGGCGTCAACGACTTTTTTTTTCATTTACAACACTCACGCTGTTCTAGTTTTCCCAATGAACCAAAATAAAACCTTTCTTTAGAAATGTTATATTAGGCAAAACAGTTGAGAAAAGAAATAACTTAACACACGAGCGATCAACCGATGAAAAGTACATTCAAAGATGAGCGCCAAATGGAGTCTTCTTTGTTTCTGATCACGGGCATGATCACGTGGATCGTTTAGGACTTGTCATTGGCTGTCGTTTCCTCTGAACTTAAAGCGGTGATGCCAACAGAGGAGAGTGCGTCTCATAAAGGGGAAGCATTTGTACAAGAGACAGAAGCAACTATATCCGATTACAGAGGTGTGTTAGAACTCTGGTCCACAAATGGTTATGCACTGTCCGAAGTGTAAAACAATTTTATTGATAGCTGACAGACAGAGAAGAACAACAAGTAAACTTTAGAGCTGTTATTATTGAAGTGTGACTTGCACTTTTCATTTGTATATTAAGGCGGACGTGTATTTCGCACCAAAAATAAAAAGAAGTAATATTTTTTGGGAGATTCAGTGATTGGGACATTAAAGAAATTAAATTATGAAAGGAAACTCGGTTTGTACTTTTCACTAATAACAAGTCTTGTTTTAAAAACATTTTCAGATCAGGGTTTTAAATAAAGTAAATTGAAGAAGTAATTTAAAAGGTGTAAAACAGGACCTGAAAAAAAATTTCAGGTCCTATTTTCAACTACTAGTTCAGTAGTGTTCTTAACTGCAAGAACCTCTTAAATTCATTTCTTCACCGCAGTGCAAATATATGAATTTCATATATCTAAAATCATTATTCATCACTTGGATGGTTTGTTTGGACCCAACAAATTGACCAGCTCCCAATTGGCTTGTTAGCTCAGTTGGTAGAGCGCTGCACTGGTATTGCAAAGGTTATAGGTTCAAATCCCATACGGGCCTGAATTTTTTTCAGGTCCTATTTTCAACTACTAGTTCAGTAGTGTTCTTTAAGCTGCGAGGATCTCTTAAATTCACGAGACATTTTGCATCACAATAAAAACTTTTATGATCATGGAATCCAAGAGTCCTTTGGGGTTAGAAAGCAAATCTATGATATGAGTACATTGGATTAATTGGCAATTTGCATTTAACATAATTGACATCTGCTTTATGAAAAATCCATATTAAAGTAGAGATTTACTAAAACTTAGTTTGAATAATAAATTTAATGATCTTTAAGTTATAAACATATACATGTATGTATATCTCTTGGTAAATTTTGTATAGCATACCTTTTATTGAGCCAAAGTTTTAAGCCTCTAAAATTACCCCTTTTCTTAAATACTTCTTGGAATTGATTTGGACCTCAGGGTATTTAAATTGCCTCAAATTCAATTCTCAGAAATTCCCAGGAATTCCACCCTTCTTAAATTATAGGTAGTTTGCATAGCTGAGAATTCCTAGGAATTCCAAGTCCTCACAGAACTGGAGTCTTCTTTTCCCAGAAATTCCAAGTAATTCCAAGCTTTTCAAATCAGAGCTCATTTGCACAGTTGGGAATTTTTGAGAATTCCTAGGAATTCCTAGACCTAATTCCAAGACCTAGCCTTTATAAAACAGGACTTAAGTGGTTAGTGTGCCCTACTCTTGATTGTTTGACAATCAAGAGCATTTTTAGTTGGTAATCAGCTCCTTTATTACTGAGGCCCTCGGGCAACTAAGGTAGGTCCCCTGCAAGGTCAATAATGGAAAGGGCACTCCCTTTATTGGCATGACGAAAACAAGTATGCACATGCCCCAACCAACAGGGCACAGCTTCCAGTGGTTTTAAGTCGTAACAGGGGTACTGCGCAATTTTGGGTAAAGGTACTGAAGAAAATATTTGCGTTTTGATATTTGGTGTCGACAATTTAATATAATTTATCAGTGTCAGTTAGGTAAAACAAGATATTTCAACGTATGGTATGAAAACTAGGCGGAAATGCAAGAAACTTCAATAGGAATAAGGAAAAATGTGTCGACCTCAACATGTTCTACAGTTAAATTACTCAGACCACACTAAAGTTCTCCTCTTTCCACTTCATTTGTATCTCAAAATCTTTGCAAAGATTAAAATCATTAATTTTTTCCTTGTTCTGAGAAATACTCAGAGAGAGCTAAAGAGAAACCTTAAATAAGTCAACAAGTAAACCCTGGGCAATATTCGGACAGGCACTTCCAACGGAATGATTGACAAGACACTCTACTATCGATTCTAGAGCGTCCTCAAGCTCTTGTTTCTCCATTCTTGCTTCTTCATTCAGATTTCTTCTTTGACGAATTGTTCCTTGATCCTATTGAATTCAATTAATACAACTCAGGTGAGCTATCGATATTATGGCACAGTGGTCAAATGTGGGCATGCGCGATGGGATGAATTCTGGCCGGCCGCGCGCCAATTTCCCGCGTAACTTTCGATGAAAACGTAAGGAACAACTGCTGTCACAATTAGATAAGCAGAAGAAAAAATCAAATTGTTTATAGAAATATGTAAACAAAGGTAAGAAAAAAGAAAACTCGAGATTTCTCGAACGCTAAGCTTATTGAATTACGAGTATCCGTTTCATTTACAATTTTGTTTGGAGCTTTAACGAAAAAGTTAGACGCTGTTTAAACACCGTGACTTACAAGATTATTTGGTTCTTTTTAACTCGTGTAAGACGCTAACGCTCTGACGAGGGGCATTCTCTCTTACGAGGGCCGGGCTAACGCTGAAAACGTCAGCGTCGAAACTCTAAACGCTGGCCGATTTACGTTAATACCGAATTATTTTAATATAACTGATATTTTCCTTTATCCTCAGATCTTGTCTGCCTGAGACTGAATTGATATTTTGAGGAGAAATTATTTCTTGGTCACTCATGGGATTAAACAAACCTCAGCAGGCTCTTCATCCATGAAATAGCTTCTCATATGCGGGTTGAAGTAACTTGCCAGAGCGGCTACACTGGACTCGGCATGTAAGAACACGTCACACCTGGCTAAGAGCAGAATGTCTATCAGCACTTGGGTGCCAATTTCTCGTTCGTACGGGTGAGTTGCGTTGTATTTGAATTTAAATAGATGCGGAGGCGTCTGACTGTGATATTCCTTTGCTCGTAAAGCTTCTGTGAAAACAACCTGCACAGCAGTAAAGCAACAAAAATCACTGGATAAAAATACGACTCCCCCTGGATTAAAATATAATTCCCCCCTCCCTCCACGATTTCACTGCAAGATAGTAAATTTCCACTTGTTACATAAATCGCCGGGTAAAATTTCCTTACAGCCCCATACTACATTATGTTTTCAGTTCTTGAATGGAGAAAACAATGACAAAAACAATACATTTCCATTGGGAAAACAGATTTATAACGTAGCTAGTTAATTTTTCTTATCAAATTCAGTTGCGCAAGCGTGCTTCATATACCAGTGCCTGCTCATGACGTCAATTTTCCATGGGGTTGAAAATGTTATAAAACAATTGGTTCATACGTCAGCTGTGCGTTCATCGAGATATGAAGCACTTGGGAAGTTTGGAGAGCACTCAAGAAGCTAGAGTTGCTCTCGGTTACGCCTCGAGCAACTCTTACGCATCTTTCGTGCTCTCAAAACTTCCCAAGTGCTTCGTATCTCGATGAACGCACGCTGACGTGTGAACCAATTGTTAATTGAAGTTTGATCGTTTGTTTTGTTTCAGGGTCGCTTTCTCGTTGTTTGGGATAGAAATGATACTTAAGCAAGAAATGATGCAATTTGGGAATAAATCGCACTACCGAGAGCCAGTCAGATTACAAGGGTCACCAGTGATTTCCAAATGGGTGTAACAAATCTGTCACAATCAAATGGCTGAAAATTCGTTCCCGTTTTCTTTTTTTGCTACCAGTAAATTAAGGCTTGTAAACTTTGAATAGAGCGAATGCGCCGCTGAATGGACTTACACTATACCAAATCAACACTTACCGTTTCTTTTCCAAAAACACCAATAAATTTTTGGATAACTTCATTGTTGTCGCTGGCGATGAAAATCTTTCTTGGCTCAGGCAAAGTTTCAAGAATTTCTCGTGCTCTCTCCACCCAGCTTATCACGGACGGCAGCTTGTGATCTTTCGCTTCCATACTGTGATCTGTTGCTCTAACTTGAACTCCTAAAAGAGTGAACCCCGCCATATTTCGACGATAAAGTAGGTCTGCTCTCTCTTTTACTCGAGAATTGGGCTTAACATACTGACGAATTAATTTGCTTACACGGATTCTTTCCGCTGTTGTTATGATCCGGCTTTCACCATATCCCACAACGTCGCTTCTATCACTAAAACTATTATCTATGATCCTAGTCCTTAAATCAGCTTGATCCATGTGACTAAAATGCTCTAACCTGACTTCTGTAATATCCTTAAGGATTAAAGGACAAAAAACATTTTCAACTTTTGATTCCATTCCTTCGTTAACAGGCTTGAAATACCACATCCACGAGTTTACAGCGGGGTCCGGCGCGCAAGCGGAATTACAACCTCTCCAGAACACAGTTTGCTGGTTGATGCCCAGAGCGCGACACGCCATTATATGATCCAACGTGTACAGGAGAAAGGAAGAGAACCCACCGCCGCCACATTCAGTCATTGCTGGATCTACAACACAAACCGCCGTTCCAGAAGTCCCATCAGAATTTTTCCTGGTCGCACCCACAAGTCCGTTCACTTTCTGAAAGCGTTCTCTTAAAATTTTAGTCTTTGACAGAAACCTGAAGCTGTGGTTTAATTTGCTTTTCACTTGTGTAGTTGATTCATCCCTTTTCGACGATTGGTGATAGAAGCTGAAAAGCAAAATAACGGTTGAAACAAGCCATGCTGGAATTAGATATCGAAGCAGGAAACGAGCAGGTTTGAAATTTTTGATGGTAAAATTTCCGCACAGCCCCATCCTACTCTTGAACAGAGAAAACAGTGACAAAACAATACATTGCCTTTGGGAAAACAGATTTGTTTTACAATAGTAAGGGGCTGTGTGGAAACTTTACCCAGGGGACAGCTGCAAACTAATGTATATTGGTGCAAACAAATATATGTGGATGTAAACAAATATATATTATAACATAGCTTGTAAATTTGTCTAATTAAATTCAATTTCGCGAGCGTGCTTCATATTCCTACTGTGCACGCTCGTGACGTCAGGAAACAAATCCCTCGAGAGAAAAAATTTTCCATCGGGTTGAAAATGTTATAAAACAATTGGTTCATACGTCAGCTGTGCATTCATCGAGATATGAAGCACTTGGGAAGTTTGGAGAGTACTCAAGAAGCTAGAGTTGCTCTCGGCTAAGCCTCGAGCAACTCTTACGCATCTTTCGTGCTCTCCAAACTTCTCGCGTCCTTCATATCTCGATGAACGCACGCTGACGTGTGAACCAATTGTTAATTAATGCAAAAATAATAAAACATTACGTAAAAGTAATAAATGTTGCTGCAAATTAGTAAAAGCTCCAACAAATAAAAGCAAACATCACGGCAAAGTAATAAATGCTGCTGCTAACAAATAAATGTTATTGCTTCAAACAATTAAAAGTTGTTGATAACAAAAACCAAGAATCTCTGCGCGCGCGCAGGAATCGGGAGAGACTGGCACTAGTTGTTCAATGTCCAGAATGGCTTAGAATTTAATAGCTCTAAATGACGGGAATAGCGATGCTGTGATGACTAACCCAAGTGGAGATGTTTTGTACCCACTGCGCTGCCGAGGTTCTTTCCAGCGCCGCCAACTTCTGTTATTCTTGTGGTAAAGAGCTTAATGAAAAAGCGGATGAGCCAAAATCTCGAAAATTGTCCTATGAAGACTTTAGAAAGCGGAAAGCAGAGGAACATGGTTCGAAGTTTTGTAAGAAGGCTAAAAGAAATGCCCCGATTTTCAAAAATACTGAAGCAAGTGAAGTTATAATTCAGATTGGGGTGATGATATGGAAAGATGGAGAGCCAGCGACAAGGAGAGGAAGCAGTTACCTTTGAAAGTACTTTCCAACGCGACTTCCGTGGTACTAAAAGCTAAAGCAGTGGCGAAGCAAAATCGCTTCAATTCCAGTTTAATCAAGAGCGACAAACGTTAGGATACAAGCTTCTCTATCCCGACAAGTCAGAAGTACTAAGAGATTTCATATGGCAAAAGGGTCTCGAGTTTACTCTTGGGAAATACAAAGAAGAACTCGGGAAACCATACTCCCGAATAAGTTTTTATCTCTGCAGTAACATTGACTACCTGAGTTACGTTGCGGATGGCGTTGATTCCTCAGATCAGTCTGAAGGTCAGTCAGTTGAAGAATCTGATGATAGCGTTGGACAAAGGTCTTCAAAAAGTGTCCCGACTTTAGCTCCAAGTAAGGTATATACTATAATCAGAGAATATTTGCTCTTGATCAATTTCTATCAGTATATTTGCTTTGGTCCAATAACTATGCATTGTTAATTCTTTTTCTATCTTTTTACCCGCTTGCCTGCCTGCCTTATTTAATGACTTTATTATTTATATAGCGCAAAATACATGGGTATATGATCTAATGCGCTTATTTTATTCCCAGTAATATTCTGAATGAATCTTGCTCTTACCTCTTTTCATCTGATGTTAATTATTTGCTCAGCTGGTTTTGTTTGTTTGCTGGTGTGATTTTTGGTATATCACTACAATTTTATAGTGTAATGCAAATTAATTCGTTGCTAGTTACCTCAGGTGGATGTCTTAAGTTACTTACCTTATCCAAGTGAAAGTACAAGTACAATTACCAGAATTACCAGTACAACCATGAGTACAAGTACAAGTGATGCACAAGATGCACAAGAATGTGATTTTATTTGTGTTGAAGATGGCCAGGTAATCAACAGTTAATAATGCAATGTCTTGCAATTATAGATTTCCTATATTTTGCAACAACAACAACAACTTTGGCAACCAAAGAACGAGGGACATGCACATGGTGTCTTAAACGCGAGGCATGCCAGATATTTCTGTAACCTGCAAGTCTTCCTGCACCTTCGATTTCTCTTCTAATTCAATCTGGGATTCGTCCATTTCTGTTTTTCCTTTTCTTTTCAGTCTTAGATCAATCAGCCTTCTTTTAAGTGTTGTCAGGTGCATTTTGTAGCTGTTTTTCACGAGTAAATGAACGATAACATCGTGACGGTAACCGCGATGGAACATTTCTGTTATTAAATCATTTGCTGACACTGCTGACGAATCATCACTCATCTCAGATTTTGGCTCATCTGCTTTTTCATTAAGCTCTTTACCACAAGAATAACAAAAGTTCGCAGCTACGGAAAGAACTTCCGCAGCGCAATGGGTACAAAACATCTTTACTTCTGCTAGTGATTACTGCATCGCAATTCCCGCCATTATATTAAATAGCTCGTGCCAGTCTCTTCCGATTGCTGCGCGCGCAGAGGTTTGCAGCAACTTTTACTTATTTGCAGCAACTTTTATTTGTTTGAAGCAATGACATTTATTTGTTTGCAGCAGCATTTATTAAATTGCCGTAATGTTTGCTTTTATTTGCCGGAGCTTTTACTAATTTGCGGCAACATTTATTAAGTTTAAGTAATGTTTTATTATTTTTGCATCAATATATTTAACAAATAGAGAAGCCTTGACTGTGCTCTGTTCTGTTATAAAGCACGCAGGAAGCGGCTAGAGCACGAAAGAAGTTTAGGGAGAAACACTCGACTACGTCTCGTGTTTCTCCCCACTTCTTGAGTTACTGTGGTTTTTACTCACAGACAAGACTTACTGAAAATGGCTTGAAAGTTGTGACATGTTGCCAGCGGGACGTGCCATTTAATAGATACTTACTGAGGCAGTTAGGGTTATGAGATATATTGCAGCCAGCTCAGGGCAGCCTCAGTAATTATCTATTAAACATTGCTAAACGTGGTACTATTTTTTTTTTAATACTGAAAACTAAATCAGCTAGCAGCACTCTGCGAACTGTTGCTGTAAACCTTGTTTTATTCTCCGACGCGTTTCGTCTATTTGTCGTAGACTTCTTCAAGAGTTTTACAAATATTTATTAGCCATAGTTAGCAGCCATTACGTGAGCTAGAAATCCCAAATCTTTATCTCACCTTACCTTAAAAATTTGTCTGTTCCTGTTCGTAAATCCGGTCAAATCTTTATTTGTAATAGCTGCTAACTACGGCTTATGAATACAGGCGTTTAGGATTTACGGAGAGTAACACAAGTTTTACAACAACTGTTCGCAAAGTGCTGCTCACTAGTTTAGTTCTATAAAAATGGTTTAAAAATTAATAAATTTGTAAAAAATTGTTCTGTTAGTTTGTTAAAGGTCCTATAAAAAGCGTGAGAACGATATTTGAAAAGTCGTTTAGCTAACACACAAAAGCTTTAGATAGGTTTTCCACAAATCCTCTTGTCAAGTAGCAAACGGATTCGTATTTACGAATTTGGTTATTAAATCACAACGGATCTGCGGATTCACCCCTCGGTAATGGAGCAATAGTTGTAGACGGTTTGTGGGGACTCGAGCCTATTGGCCATAACACCGTTCAGTTCATTTCCACGGCAATGTGGAGCTTCTTTTTATAAGTTTTTCCATTAAGGCCTCGATCATCGTGGAAGGACATAAGATTTCGCAACAAATTGCCCATTCTCGTCCATAGAGGGCATGGGGAGCCTGGTAATCAGCGCCTGCGCAAACACGACGAAAGTGCCTTTATGGAAGGACTGTATACGATATGCGATATACAGGCTTTGCCACAGGAAGCTCATGTGATAATAAACATAAGAAATTTATGCACAAGAAATAAATCCACCCATAAACAAGCGGAAAGAAACCAGTCATATAGTTTCAGAGTTTAACAATGCGAAACGAGTAGACAGACCGCATTCTTATTAAAGGTGGACTAAAGGGTTACACTTTATACTCTAATATCGGTATACAAATTCTCCATTTTGTTTAAAAATCAAAAGCTTCTTTATCTAATGATTATTTCCTTTATTGTAAGGAGAAATTTGATGCCAGTCAGTCTGACAGGTAAAAGGATTCAGACAACCAAATGAATCGATAAAGACAAACATTTTATTCAATTAAGACACAGGTGAGTTTGCCTATCCTCAAAGTTCAGAGGGACTGGAAAAGAACTATTAGATAAATTATGATTGGTCAGTGGTTTCCAATAGCAACTATTGAGTAAAGTCAAATATACAAGTCAAAGTCAGGCAACATGAACTCTTCCCAAGCAATGAAAAAAAATATGAATGGAAGGCTTTAAAACGAACAGGGGAACTTTCAGTAAATAAAAAAAGTTAAGCGTTTAAACCACATATACTCCATTTCCTTGCAAAACTGGTTTTTCAGGAACAACTGGTTTTTCCTTGAGCATTTTAACAATAGCCTCCAAACTCATGGCCATCCTTAAATCACCATCAACTTTCAAAGAGCCTTGCATGTAAGCATCAAAAGCTGTTGTCTGTCCATAAAATATCTGCTGCATATCCTGCACCCTCATGGTGAGCACCACATTGGGGTTATCGCCCGGATTCTCGGTATATATTTTTCCATGTCCACTCCTTAGATCTAAATACCATGTTCCTCCATTTTCACCAACAATGTTGAATTGAAACATGCCACCAATTTCCTGTACAAGTTTCTCACTTAGAACACCACTGACCAGCTTGACAAGCTGCTCAGGAGTAAGCAGATTGGACCCAGGCTCTCCGTTTGAAGACTGTGATGGGTCAGCTGATAAAGCCATGGGGGTAGGGAGAGTGGGTCCACTTCGGGTACTGCTACCTCCAAAGGCTGCAAATGGAAAGGAAAAATGTCCATGTAGACATTTCTACAACATAAAAACGCCGCTTATCTAAGAATGATGATAAATTTAGTTTCACTTCATGTTTGAGTACAGAAGAATCTCATTTTCACCAACCAAACTGAACCCATTCATTTAGGCTTGTCTGACACGGGTTTCATTACAATTTTTGCCATAAGCAGCTACTGATGATGTGATCTGCAGCTGTGTACAAATAAAGGGGCTGTAAGCAAAAGCCAGACATGAGCGCCAGTTTGCAGAAGGAGGTGATAGGTCTTACAGGCAGTTGCAGACTGCTGATAACCAGTTTTTACTGAAACTCTTGTCTGCTAACACAAACATAGGAGAGCAGACCAAAGGCCATATTACACTACAAGCCCTGAACTACAGACTCAGAGCTCCATTGATCTTCCTCTGACTTACAGAGAACTTTATGGTTAGCTTGGTCATGACTAAGTTTATATGCAACATGTATCCTACATGCTGCTAGGATCAGCAAACATACATGAATAAACAGATTAGGAAAGAGTGACCACAAATTTTGTGCTTGGTAGTGAAATAGAGAAAAGAGTTTTCTTATTTCTATTTTCAATCTTGACATGAGTCTGGGACAAGAACGGAATCTCAAGTAAAAAGCTACTGAAATACTGTAGTCATAAATCATTCATACAAAGGATAGTAAGCCAGTTTAGCAAAACACACCTGAAAACATACTGGCCATCCCAGGATCACCAAAAGTCATATTACTAAGCTTCGTACTCTGGGATCCTCCACCAAATAAAGCTGACAGTGCACCAACAACCTCATCTGCTTCCTTTAACACACTGACCTCTGACCTTAAAGGGAAAATCAAAAAGTCGACTACAGATCTGGAACTTCCAGCAGCTTACCACATTGATTATCAACGATTATTAATATTTTGTTAATATCACTCTAAATCATTTAATTGCACTTATTGCATCTGTTTTGGAAACACTTGTCATCCTTGCAATCTGATTGGCTCTCATTGGTGCAATTTATACACAAATTGCACCATTTAATGCTATACATCTGGCTTTTTCCCAGACCATGAGAAATTAACTAAAACACAACAACCAATCAGATTTTAAGCCTTATTTAGAGAAACCAACCAAACTGCAGGAAAATGAAAGACAACTTTTACAACTTTTGCAAACCAACTCAATACTGAATCAATAACATGTTTGTATAAACTAAAGTATAGTATCTTGTTATTAGTGATTGAATTTTCAATTTCAAAAAAGATGACGTAGAGTAGTAATTGAACTTCAAGTTGTGCAGTTTTGGTCTGAAATCATACTTGTCATATTTTAAATCATGCCTATGATTTCAGACCAAATTGCACTCCACTCAGTTCAACCATCATTATTAATCATCCTGCAAGCAGATTTGGTTTGCAGTTTACTGGAAAGAAATGGAATTTGCTGATGTGTCCCTTGCAAGGGAGACTTAGCAATTCATAAATAAAAAAGTTCTGATTTAATACATAACAAACAACTTAAAGTTGATGATAAAAAGATAACATACTGCTGATATAACACAGATAAGTTAGGAATGGGGATTTGAGGTATTCAAAATTTACTTACATTTCAAATCTTGTTATATTTACACCCCAAGATGCAGCAGATGCATTGACCATTTCCTGTTCAGTTCAACCATGAAATAAAAGAATAGGAATTATCATTATTGTCATCAGTAAAAACTGGATCATTGGAGTTTCATTGGCTTAGCCATCATGCATTATGAGCCAATTTATATCATTCCCAACAAATATGGTCAGTGTGTGCATCAGCTCAAAATTTAAACAAAGCTAAACCATTTTGATTTATCTATATTTTGGGGCATTCCACTGTTGTTGCATGATTATGAGATGATTATAGCCAATGTGAGCTCATGGAATAATTTTCAATCATCCATGGATCATTACATGGCTGGACATGCAAAGGAAGGGATGGGCCCAGGAATATTCAAATATTTAACAGGGGGTCCCAAATGAACTCTCCACTAACCTACTCACACACACCCCTCCCCCTCCCTCGTGTATTACTTACAGTTACACATTCAAACAAACACACAGAATCTCGCTAGACAGCTGAGTGTTAAAACATGATCCTGTCCTTGTAAAGATTTTGGTGTAGAAAAAGTAGGTAAAATTCCCCCAGGTATGAGCAAGGAGGGGAGGGAGGGAGGGAAGGATGACTGGTCTCTGGAGGGGAGGGAGAGTTAGAGCTCCTGAACTCTCCCTCTGGATTTTATGCAACCAAATATATGGGCTTTGGGGAGGGCCAGGTCACCTGTGGAAGAGTGGTACTTCCCCCCTCTAACAAATGACGTACCCGTTATCTTACACAGGTATACCAACAATCTAAAACTGCAGACCAGGCATCCTAAAACACGAGTGTAACCATGACAAAATAGTTTATACTACACAGATAATTAAATACTTCATGATGGTGTTACCTGGACTTGTTTGTTGATGAACTTTCTATCATGCTGAACTTCAATAAG